TTTATTCAAAGTAATTTAGTTTAACCCAGGTTATTTCGCTTAAAATAGACAAGATCCCACTTCGTTATCATGATTCCCAAAGTTATTCCAACACTTTACGACTCACAGTTTACATTTCTGCTTTTATACGTGTCCACCAACTTTGTTTTTACATTCCTTTTTTGACAACAATAAATAAAAATAAAACAAACCTTGATGGAAACAAAGCGGAAATAATAAAGGGGGATCGCTTCGGGGAAGTTAATTTTGTGGTGCAATTTCGATTTTGAGGAACTTGATTTATTTATTTTTAAATAGTTTTCTTTCAATTTGTTATGATAAATTTAAATCTTTAAATCAACATGTCAAATCAAATTAATAAATTTGAAAATATTAGTGGAACGTTAGATAATGTCCAGATCTAAACAAGAATCTATTTTTAACGTTCAAAATATTTAGAAATGTTAAAAAATGTTTTTATTATTTTCAATATATGTAGTTAATAAATCCGTTTGAATGCATTCAATTCGGTGTAAATAATTAATTTCGGTTCATTAAAGCTTTAAACGCGTCTATTAATTTTGGCATTATAGCTTTAAAGCGATGAGTTAATAATACATTTCAAATCCGTAACGAACTATGAACATTTCGTAATTCAATTCCAACTAATAATAATAATAATGATAAAATTTTAAAAATAAAAAATCTTGTAAAAGATTTTTTTTTCGTAGTTCATTTTAAAGTGCGCCTTTTTTGCACATTTTCTCCCCGTTTCAAGTCTTCGTCCATTAGCTCTTTTGTGTAAGTACAAAAGGCACTATTGTCTGTATGATTTGCCATGCTGCGACGACTCTTTTTCTATATTTATTATCTGAATAAAAGGAACGAAACGAAATATTCAGGAAATTTAATCAAAAATTAAATACGACATATCGCAATAAAATCGTTATTGTATAAGACATCGATAAAATCGGTTTAAATGAGACGTAAACCAATAAAGTGTACTATATCTCTACGAGATATTTCCTGGATAACATCGTTTCGCGATTAGGAAAGGAAACTTTGCTCATTATTTTCAATTTATAACTTCAATAAAGTTTAAAATGTTTCCTTAAAAATTATGAAATTGCAAACGATATATCTTAATTTAGATCTAAAATTACTCTTTTAAGAAATTACTTTTTAGTTAAACATAACTTGATAATCTCCAAGGATTTATATACGAGGTTGGCATTGAAATCAATCTTGATTTATTTTGTCACATCTGGTGTATATGGAATTATCTTTACCTACAACGCAGAAACCTCGAGGTTTGTTAGCGTATGGGTTTATGCTTGCGTGAACACATCTTCACTCTAATATACGATGCAAAGATTCGTTTGTAGATCAGACGAAACCAAACTAGACAAGTTAACAAGCATGTAATCAAAAAGGACGAGTATAGTCTGTCTGCGAATGTAAAGGGGTTAGGAATAATAGGATCGAGGTAGATGCAAGCGAATATACCAAATGCTGTCTAATTACGCATTCAATTATATTTACTCGTATTATTATAACAAAAAAATACTACTACTTGTGTAAAATAATCGATGATGTAAATTAATGTAGCCTAAGAGGATCGGTTTATTAATAAATTTGCATTCTTAGTTTTAAACTTTCCCCATTTCATCGTCCGATTATATTAGTGGAGCACAATTTTAGGTTTAACAAGTTCCGAAATAACTTACGTTAATTTCTTTAGAATTAGTATGCTATTTAAAAGCGGCAAATTGCTTTCTTAAGTTAGATGAAGACCACTTCTGTTATTAGATTCCTTAGTTCATAAAGAAAAAGAATTTTCTCCAAAACCAATTGGAATTGGGAACTGAAACTTTTTGGGGCTATAAAAGAATGTGTCAAGGTAAATTAAACCAAATTTCAAATTTCCTAGGTGAACAGTTTTTTTATAAAAATGTTTAAACATCATTAATTTCAATTTGACGTTTCTTGAAAATCTAGGTAAGAAAAAAATTATTTTTCTCTAAAATGATTTAGAATTGGGAGTTGAAACTTGTTGAGGTTATTGAGGAATGATTGAGGATGGGTTGTGCCAAATTTTAGGTTTCCTAGATAAATAGTTTTGTTTATAAAAATGTTTAAACAGCATTAATTTCAATTTGACGTTTCTTAGAAATCTAGGTAAGAAAAAAATTATTTTTCTCCAAAATGATTTAGAATTGGGAGTTGAAACTTGTTGAGGTTATTGAGGAATGTTTGAGGATGGGTTATGCCAAATTTTAGATTTCCTAGATGAACAGTTTCTTTTATAAAAATGTTTAAACATCATTAATTTCAATTTGACGTTTCTTAAAAATCTAGGTAAGAAAAAAATTATTTTTCTCTAAAATGATTTAGAATTGGGAGTTGAAACTTGTTGAGGTAATTGAGGAATGTTTGAGGATAGGTTGTGCCAAATTTTAAATTTCCTAGATGAACAGTTTCTTTTATAAAAATGTTTAAACATCATTAATTTCAATTTGACGTTTCTTGAAAATCTAGATAAGAAAAAATTTATTTTTCTCCAAAATGATTTAAAATTGAGAGTTGAAACTTGTTGAGGTTATTGAGGAATGTTTGTGGTTGGGTTGTGCCAAATTTTGGATTTCCTCGATAAACAGTTTTTTATATAAAAATTTTTAAACATCGTTAACTCCAATTTGAGGTTTTTTGAATTAACATGTTAAAAAAAATGTTTTCTCTCCAAACGGATCTAAAAGTAAAACCTGAAACTTTTTGAGGTAATTAAGGAATGTTTCAGATTATATTATACCAAATTTCACGTTTCCTAGATTAACAGTTTTTTTTATAAAAATTTTCATACATCATTAATTCCAATTTGAGGTTTTTTTCAATTCGTATATTAAAAAACTTTTTTTTTCCAACCTGATTTAAAATTAAAAATTGAAACTTGTTGAGGTTATTCAGGAATGTTTGAGGTTGGATTATACCAAATTTTAGGTTTCCTAAATGAATAGTTTTTTTTTTATGAAATAAAATATATATTTTTTATTAATAATTTCAAAGTTTTACTTCCTACTTATTTTGTGCGAATTCAGCCAATGCATAGCAATAAAGCGGTAATAAAATTTTACGCTTTTAGATAGGATACAAACGAAACAAACGGTTTTTAAGAGAAAAGGAACAAATTCAAGCCCCAATTTAACGCTCATTTTTATTCCCTTGATCATAAAACTTTTAACAACCCTAACATTTTTATGATATTTAACATACCTACTAACGTTCCACATTCCAAAGTCACGAAGAACTTTTTATAATTTAGTTTCAAAAATAAATCTTTAATTTTTTAATCACATCTCAACACTTCTCTATGTATCGTCTTTTCTCAACGAAAAAGTTTTTCTTATTTTAAAGTAACTACTTTCAAGTTTTATCTAAGTTTTTTTAGTAAATTAAAAGTTTTTTTTTTAATTTTAAGTTTTTCTATTTTTCTTATACTTCAATTCTTTCACGAACTTTTCGTGGTAAAATAAGAACTCTGTTTCCTAGCTGGTTAACCGAAAGTTCCACGACGACTGTATCCCAAAACTTGGAGCGAAAGCGTCGCGACGCACAGCGTCGGTTTCGAGTTTGCGCGAACTTTCGGCGATTTCAAAGAAAAGAGTATACCGAATTCGCGTTTTAATCTCAAAATTTGTAATAAAAAACAGAATTTGCAATCTATTCCCGTTTAATCAATTACTACAATATTTAATAAAATCAAGTAATTAATACAATTTGTGCAATCATTGAAATAAAAATGCGTTTAGTTAATTCAACTTTTTTTGATTAAATATTGAAAGCTTTATTAAACTTTTTTTTACTCTTATAAACGTGACCTGGTTTTATTATGAGTTATTTCTAGGTTTACAGAGCGGTTATTTTTAATTTTTTAAACAATGTTTGAGTTATTTTGAAGGTAAATTTAGAAGACTTTCATCGAAATCATCACATTATTTATTATCTTTTTATTTGTCGAAAAGGTTTAAATTAAAAAAAAATAATTTTATGGATTTATTATAGGTAAATCTCAATTTGTATTTCTTGTATTACTTATTTCTGTATAAATCAACCAAAGTTGAATTTTGTCTTTAAATAACAAAAATTGAAACGTCACATTGACGCAAAACATGACATAAAAATGTTGCTAACTTCACAACAATTTGACGTAAATAAAAATTAAATTGACAGCAGAAATTCGATTTGACAGATATTTATAACCAATTTTCATTAACAATTTGTTACGTAGATGAACGATCCCAAGCGAAACTAAATAATACCAAAGCACAAACTCAATTAAACTACGCTAATCTGGCACAGTGCGGGTTAGGACACGTTTTCAAACGTTTTTTTTAATGGCATCTCCTTTTTACATTTTCCATTTACTCAAAATCTTCTGTAATTCCATCCTAATCTAAAGTAACTGGAAAGAAAAACGATTAAAAATGTTTTTTTTTTCGTATTGAATTTCCTTTAAAAGTAAAGTAAAAACCGTCAATCAAACTTGTCTGAAACCGGATGTGGCTAAAATTTTAATTAAATCCATCTTCTTTTAAGATTTAAGAACATTTTTATTAAGTTTTAACGAAGGACCATCTTTTTTCGTTATTGATCGATTAACTCTCGTTTAAAATGGACATTTAATTTTCTTTTTATCTCGATAATTCCTCAAATAATTTAAGTGTTGAAAGCGGTGATTTATTATATTCACGTTTCATTCCAATAAATCATAATAATAAGATTTCCCAGTGTTCTTTTGGAATTAACAAATAAAAAGTGATAGTTATGATCCCTGCATAAATTGAATTAATTCAATTTCCATGTTGGAAAAGTACCTAAAGAACACCTGCCTCGATGTTTATGTTCTAAAGTAAAGAAAGGAACAGCTCGGGTTTCCTTAAACGAACTTTGAAGGTTTTAAGAAAAGAAAGTTAATTATTTTGTTATTCCAAAGTTAATATTTTTAAGATTTTATTATTTTGAAATCAATGTTAGAAAAGAAGCTTTATTTGTGTTTTAATAAAATATAAAGAAATAATTTCTTGTTATTCCTCGTTTAAATCGAACTCTGGGGATATAGTTATTAACCGACCATCTACAAAAACAAAAAAATGAAGTAATAAAATTAAAACCGGATAAATCTCTTACCTATTGAATCTCTATTCCTCAAAGTTTCCTTTCTCGTTCTATAAATACGATAAAACAACAAAAATCCAAAAAATCCCACTAAAACCGTTATAACACTTATCAAAAGAACATAATTCGTACCAAACCTACAACAAAAACCATCATACATACATAAAATAAACAATCTAATTTATCTCTAAAAATTATTTTTCTTACCAGCTTTTGGTTTTAATATATTCTTTTAATCTATCTCTTTCATCGCACCGACTTCCAATCCAACCATCATAACAAAAACAAGTCCCATTCTCGCAATAACCATAAACGCAATCTTCTTTGCATGGAAATTCACAATCTCCAGTCGAATTATTAAACATGAGCCCTTCAAAACATAAACAAACATCCGGTTCTATGCAAATTCCCTTTTCACAATTATCGCAAAAAGGCGAACACTCATTCAAAGTGTTGTTCTGTTCGGAATTCGTCCCATTTTTGTTAACAATAAAAAAACCTTCTAAACAATCGCAATTGTACGGTGATATACAAGTTGCATTTATACACGGCGGATCGCAAATTGGTTCGCACTCATTCGGATTTGAATTAGTTTTGATATAATCGTCGAAACATGTACAAACATTTGGTTCTGTACAAGCCGAATTGATACAAGTTGATTCGCAAATTGGTTCGCAATCGTTCGATAAAGATTTATTATAACCTACAAAATTTATTAATTAAAATAAATAATAATAAAGAAATCGTTTTATTACCCGGATTACAAACACAATTTTCAGGAGCATCACAAATTCCATTAAAACATCCATCCGAACAAATCGGATCGCATTTAAAAGAGTCATTTTCGTTCTCGACATAACCATCTTTGCACGTACAAATGTTTGGTGATGTACAAATTGAATTAATACAATTTTTATCACAAATTGGGTTACATTTGTATTTATCGTTTGGATCTAATAAATAATTTTTATTGCATGTACAAATTTCTGGTGATGTACATTCTCCGTTTAAACATTCTTTTGAACAAATTGGTACGCATTCATAGTTACTAATTTCCCTAAATCCTTCATTACAAGAACAAATATTTGGTGAAGTACATTTCCCGTTAATACATTCTTCATAGCAAATCGGTTCACATTTATTCATATTCATTTTAAAACCGTTATTACAGCTACAAACGTTTGGAGATGAACAAAAACCGTTTATACACGGATCTTTACAAATAGGGGAACAAGAATTATTCGTTTTCATCTCAAATCCTTCGTAACATTCGCAAATATCCGGCGAAACACATTTCGAATTAATACAACTGTTTTTACAAATTGGTTTACAAACGTTTTCCTGCGACATTTCGTAACCAATATTACATTTGCAAACGTTGGGAAGGATACATTTGCCGTTGGAACATTCGTTGTTGCAAATTGGATGGCATTCGTGGGTTGAATTTGGTGAGTACCCGGAAAAACATTGGCATACATTAGGTTCGACGCATTCCGAGTTGATACAATCGTTTTCGCAAACCGGAACGCATTTGTATTTGTCGTTTGAGTCTTTTTCGAAGCCGTTATTACATGTACACACTTCCGGTGATGAACACATACCATTTAGGCAGGGTTCAGAACAAATTGGAATGCATTTAAATTTATCGACTGAAAAAAAATTAAAAAATCATTTTGTTTATCATATTCAATTTTTGTATTAATATTTTGTACTTTGTAAAGTTACGTATAATCTTACCTTCATCTAATTTATATCCATCCTTACAACTACAAGTTTCGGGATTACTACATTCTCCATTTACACATACTCTACTACAAACAGGACCGCATCTATTTAAATCAGTTACATCCTTCTCAAATCCTTTTAAACATGTACACGTATTAGGTGCACTACAAAGTCCATTAATACATTCTTTCTCACAAATCGGAGTACAAACACGTAAATCTTGAAACCGATACCCCTCGAAGCATTCGCAAACGTCAGGTTTAATACATTTTCCGTTAATACAAACACCGGAACAGATCGGTTCGCATTTTTGATTGATCATTCGGTACTTTTCGTTGCAAACGCAGATATCTGGAGCTACGCAAAAACCGTTTGGACACCCAGACTTGCAAATCGGGTGGCAAAAAGTCGAGTTGGTCGTAGAAAATCCGGGGTAACATTCGCAAACGTTCGGTTGGACGCATTTTGAGTTAACACAACCGTCTTTGCAAACGGGAAGACAATTGTATTTGTTATCGATGTCTTTGTGGTAACCGGGGTTGCACGTGCAGGTTTCGGGAGATGAGCATTGTCCGTTTAAACAGCGTTGAGTGCAAATTGGGTTACATTTGTACTTATCAACTAAAAAGTGAGTCAAAAATAAAACGGGATAAAATAAGTTAATTTTACCTTGGTCAAGTTGATATCCCGCGTTGCAGGTGCAAATTTCCGGTGAGCTGCACCATCCATTTGAACAACTTCGACTACAAACTGGGTTGCATAGGTATTTATCACTCAAGTTGGTCTCAAATCCCTTGAAACAGCTACATATTTCAGGCGCAGTACATTTTCCATTGATACACGCTTTAGTGCAAATGGGTAAACATTTTTCTGTAATTTTTTTATACCCTACTTTACAAACACATGTTTCTGGTGCTACACAAGTTCCAAATTCGCAAGGTTTTGTACAAATCGGTTCACAAATATATTTATTATTTGATTTTAATTTATAACCAGAATTACATGAACAAGTTTCGGGGGAAATACATTTTCCGTTTAAACATGGATGTGAACAAATCGGATCGCAAATGTATTTGTTATGTGGGTTTAATTGATAACCGTGTATGCAGGTGCATTTTTCTGGTGCTGTACAGGTTCCGAATTGACAGGGTGTTGTACAAACGGGTTGGCAAATGTATTTGTTGCCTGGGGTTAATTTGTACCCGGAATGGCACGTGCACACATCAGGGGATGAACAGTAACCGTTGTTACAAGGTTTGCTACAAACGGGATCGCATTTTAAATGAAATGATGGCACTTTGTAGTAACCGGGACAACAAACGTCATAGATTTGAGGTGAATTATAGGTCTACAAAAGATTCAAAAAAGTTTTTGATTAAAAAAAAATTTTATGATTTACTTCGGTTCTGTAAGCTGTTCTCCAAGCAACTCGATGTTTTTTCCTGAACCATCTTCTATACGATTGCTTATAGGATTCTTGATAAGGAACAACTCTTGTTAAAGTAAGCCTGAGAGTAAAACAAAGGGGAATTAATTTTTATTTGAAATAAATATTACTTACGATCGAGTTTCTTTACAAATCCCATTTGATTGAACGATAGAAAATGAACCAAAAAGGAGAATAAAGAAATTTAACAACCACATCATAACTGCATGCACAAGGAAGCACTGATAATATAATTACAAAAATGATTTCATACAAGAATTTAATTGACACGATGAACAAACAGGAACACCAAAACCAGATAACGATGAAAATTTGATAACTATTAAACACATATTTATTTTAATGTTTATTAATATTGTTATTGTGGTTAATCCACGGTCTTCGAGAGTAAATTTTTAAATTCATCTACTAAACTAAGCTGACTTATTTATTTTTATCTCATAATCCTAGAATCTTATTGTTACAACCCCATTTTCCGAATACGATACGTAGAAATGTATTCAATATAAGTATCTACATCGGAAGAAACGAATTGACATCGAAATATCAACTTCGTAGAGATGGATACTTTTGAATACAAAAATTTGCATGAATATATTGACAGCATATATTCAATCGATAAAACCAACTGTACGTTTTCAAACTAAAATATTCTCTTTCTAGAAATAGAAGTTTATTTCGTGTGCAAAGTTAATTTCTTCTTTAAATAGAGAAACTAAAGTTAGTGCTAATTACAACGATTTATTCGGTTCATACAGATAAGAATTTGTACCATTAAAATGTGGCTACAAATAGAACGTTTAAATTTCAATTTTAGATTATTAGTACATATTTATTTATACGATTTTATCGTCAAAATAATTTCGTTCGATTATATTAATTTAATTTTAAGCATAACTTTAGGAACAAAATTAAAAAAAAAACATTAAAAAACTTATTATTTTTTTATTGTCATTACATCGTTTTTAAGCTTTCTATAATTGTAGAACAATAAAACAATTTTTCTTGGATTCTATGCCAACCAATAGATAAACAACTTTGTATATTAGGTAAATAATTTCTTAAAACATCTTCGGTAGCAATAAAATTGCCATGATTTTTTAAAAAAACGTTCAAATACGCTTGAGCTAACTCAAAATCTTGATTAGATCTCAACATGTGTTCTATGCATTTAAAAAATTGTAACATAACGGTGGCGGAACCGCCAGATTCGGTGTTTAAAGATCTTATTTCGAAATCGATCATGCTAGGACCTAACGATTTTAATTTTGAGATTATTTCTGAAAAATCGTTTGTTTTTATCGTAGTTTCTAATAATTTTCCAAATTCTGATAATTCTAGTAGGTTATCTGGAATAAGCATTTTACTTTTTTCTTGTTCCATATTTGTCAGATCAAATTGAAAAGTTAACGAGGGTATAGTTGGTAAGAAAAATGGAGCGGCTTTAGGAGCTTTTACTGGTTCTTTTGGTTTATTTCGTTTCTTGATAACGTCCAAATTTAATAAGTTTTGCCACCTTGATGTAGGCAAACCAGATAGTGTTATTAATTCTTTATTTATTTGCTCTGGTGATTTAAATTCATCTGTATCCTCTTCTATTATTTCATCTTTAACTTCGTTTAGATCATCGCGTTGTACTTGGGGTAACTCAACTAAATTTGGTTCATCATCTTCTGATAAAGCTTTAAAATTAACTCTTGAATACAACGACTTATTACTCCATAAAAATATTCCTAAATAATCAACATGGGCCGTTGCCAAACCATCCCCGGTAGGTGATATTGTTAAAGAAATGCATGGTGAATCAATTTTAAAATGGTCAATTAATTGGGACGAAGGAATATCCCAAGTTTTAATTACACAATCCATTGATGCAGTCACCAACCAACGCGAATTCGGATTAAAAGCGGCATCCGTTATTTGAGCTTTATGCCCAAAAAACTTTCTTATAATCACCTTTGTGTCTAAATCAATTATAACTATATTAAAATCTTCTGTCACAACTGCCAACATCGAGCTTTCATCATGCGTTCGAAAGAAACTTATAGGACTGGATAGTTTTAACGTTCTTAAAGCTTGTTTATTTTGACATTTAAATGTCCAAAATTTAATTAATGAATCGCTACCACCACCACTCGTCACGATTTGATTCAAATTGTCGACTGATATTCCTCGTACAGGGCCTTCGTGAGCTTGAGGTTTCCCATAGGAGTCCCTCCATAATCCCGATTGGATGTTAAAGCGATCCACGTGTCCACTACTATAACCGATCAAAACAAAATTACCGCAATGGGTTAATTTTAATGATGTTGCGACGACATTTGTGGTGAAATCTTTAATTTTTTTCTTATGGAGACGTTCTGGTAATAGTTTTAAATCGCCCATTTTTGATTTATCGTAAGACCAAGTTGTTACCATTGGAATACCTAAAAAAAAGGAAAATATAATAAATAAATATGTGTGGAGGGGGGCAAGGGTTTTCGAACGGTTGGAGGATGGGTATAATATGCCCAGTGCACAAGCAGGGAAGTAAGAGAGCAGTGGAGAGCTATAGGGGAATCAGCCTACTCAACTCCTTATACCAGATTTATTAGATTACGAAGATACTGCTTCGGAGGTTCAGCCGAATGTCCTGAAGACCCGAATGTTTCTAGTTCTAGGTCTAGTATTAGTTCAACAAAAATATGCAACATATTGATATCTAGTACTAACCAACGCTACTTAATACTGTCACTAGAACTAACATTAGACCTAGAAGGTGCGAAGAAGGGGCAAATGGGAGGATGACATGGTGGTTGTGGCGAAGAATGCGGTGGAAATGAGAGGGATGGTGAGACACTTGGAGAGGTATTTCAGGGCGAAGGGATTGAAGTTAAATGTAGCAAAGACAAAGATAATGAAGTTCTGCAAAGAGGGGAGAAGAAAGAGGGAGGAATGGAGATGGGAGGAGAGAGAGATAGAGAAGGTGAGAGAATTCACATATCTGGGGTTCAGGGAGCATAAGGACGCGGCGCATATGAGGGAGATGGCTAAAAGGGCAAATAAGGTGATGGGGCAGGTCTGGGGATGGGGTGAGAGAGTATTTGAAAGGGACATCAGAAAGAGAATGATCATGTTTGATGGGTTGGAAAGGAGTGCAATGATATACAAGGCGGAAGTTTGGGAATGGAAGAGGCAGGATATTCTGGAGGACCTACAGAATCGGTACTGGAGGTGAAGGTGGATGAAATGAGGGTGGAGGCGGGCAGAAGACAATGAAAGATATGGTAACATAATGACCGAAGAGCTTCCAAAGCACTTGGTGAAGAAGGGGAGTGAGAAAGGAAAGAGGTTGGTGGCCAGATTTCGGTGTGGTAATGAGGAGAAAGCGAACAGGTACTGGGCGAATGATGAGGGGAAAAATTGTTTCAAGTTTACCTAAATGAATTGCTGCAATATTATCCCATTCCTTTTCTCGCGTAGTTTCCGTTGTGAACTCAATAATAGGTGGCATTTTTAAGGGATCTTCAACACCACGTCCCCTTTTCTTACTAATTTTTCTATTATACGAAGCAGTACCTAAACTTTTATTAAACATTTCCGTCTGTGTATTAAAAACTCTCAAAGTGGAATCGCCAGCACAACTCAAAATGTTATTTCCATTCGCGCCGTGATATCTAATAAATGAAGGAGTTGCTGAATGTCCTTCTCTTATTCGTAATAACCTAGCTCCGCCATCCGTTAAATCAAAAATCCATAACTTTAAGGTATTATCGGGTGATGAAGTGACCATTAAAGGTTCGTTTGGTAAGCAATTCATACCGGTTACGGCACCATCGTGCGCGTTTAATAATTGGGAGGCCACTTTTCGTTCTTCTAAATTCCAAAATACGATGTGACCACATACGCTACCTGTTGCCATAATTGGGTGATTGTCTGAACGGAAAGAAATTGAAGTTACAAGGCCCCAATCTTGTGAAAACTCCATAACAGTTTTATCAAATTTTAAATTGTGCAAAATTATCTTGCCGTTAAATAACCCGATTGCAATGACATCAATAGCTGGAGATTGTTCTAAACAAGAAATACCACAATCCCATCCTTTAAATGTATAAATAAGTTTTGATGTGTTTATATTCCATAATTGCATTGATCCCTGTTCACTTCCAAATAAAATTTTATTGATATAAGTTGCAGGATGACAAATAGATGATATTCGAAACGTTTCGTTATTAAATATTAGCTCGGAAAACACAGTTTCATCTTTAATATCCCACACAATAACATGACTGTTTTCATCGACTGATATTAAATGAGCTCCAAATGGTAACATAAACGCAACAGGTTTCTTCTTATCAACTTTATAAGTATGTTTTAACTCAGTACCTCTTCTCCAAGCGTAAATGATATTATCACAAGCCGTGTATACATGATAAGCATCCGCTGCCATACATATTATATCATTGGGGTGAAGACCACTTACTGTCAATAATGCGAAGTGGGAAATGGTGTATGTATGAAATGATTTTCCAACACATGTAACAACCAAATTTTCTTTTCGACTTTTTATGTATCGTACTTGTAAAGGGATTTGATTACTCACGTATCCTAAACCACGACATGGTTGGAATATTTTACTTCCTTGCGACATTTATTACTATTATTTAATGTTATTTATAATTGAAATTGTAGGTTAAGTTTTAGGTTATGTCAAACACACGTGTTTGTCAGTTGACGTAAACATAACCTAAAATTTAAACGTGTTATGATTTTAGGTTACTTTAGCAGCGCCATCTATTGAAAAAAAATGTATATTGGAAATAAATTAGTAATTAAATGAAATTCGAAATTAACATTTTAATTTATGGAAGAAATCAAAATTAATCAAGTAATTAACCATAATAGCTCATATATGATTAGGGTGAATATTTAAAAATTTAGGAAAATTAAACCTATTTTTATTATACAAGAAAAGTGAGGTTATGTTTTGGTATAATTTTAGAAAAGTGATTTAATTTCCTTTTAAATTAAAATTATGTAAATAAGAAAGATTTATATAAAAAGGTGTTTTAAAAAAATATGGTTAAGATAAGGTAATTAAAGAATCATCCTTTTATATTTATAACCTATTGTTTTGCTCAACTTGGTTCCAAGGTTAAATGTTAAGTAAACCTAACTTGATTAGAATATTTAGATTTTGAAGCTATTTACAGGAAATAGATAAAAAGAGCCTTTAAAATATACAATTTACTAAAAAAATAATGAATTATTTCCATATAAAATATACAAAAATCCAAATTTATTTAGAAATCTACAATTGTATAGTAAAAACCAACATCGGTGATCATTTTTTCTTCACTGGTTCCTCATTTGATCCGTAATGATACATTGTATACCTGCTGAGTTGTACTAATTGGGCACATGTATTGGTTAAATGGCATGCGAATAACAACATGTTTCTTGGTTTTACTCTTAAAGCAAATCTCATAAATAAAGTTGAATATAGGCTTAAAGCTAAAAAAAAATAGAAATTACTATTTGCGAATTAGATTTTAAATAATACTTATCGATTTACCTATCGTCATATTACCACTAATGAATTTTGGATCTTTTTTAAAATCAGCAATTGCAGCAAGAGGGATTCCCCAATTTGCAGCTGGTCCCCAAAAATGGGTACTAGAAACAAATATTATTAATTAATTTATTTTTTGGCTTAAATTAAACGTATTTACCTGAAGAAATAATCACGCATTGCATTGCTGCTTTTTGCTTGTTGAGAGAACTTTCTTATGTATCTTGGGAAAGACATTTTGATGGTTTACGTAAATTTAATTCGGTTGTAGCGAGAAATATAAAAATGATAACGAGTGTGTTCGACCTTTTTTAACTACAACATACGTTTCTCTGACACTGTTATGACATTCACAATATCCCCCACTACAAAATGATTTGAATCGTTAATTGATTAGGCAACAAAAGCAGTTCCCCCGATTAAAATTTACATGTCATTTTGAACGAACTGGTTATTTCAATACTGTTTTTCATTTTTATCGCATTTAATAATTTAGATTTTATTAATTTTGTTTATTAACAACAATTATAGTTAACATACGATATAATTAAAAAATGGCCTCCCAAAAAAAGATTAAAATTTTGATGTCGCCATCTAGGAATTAAAATTAATTTTATATAAGTATTTAATTTTATTTGGCTCTCGTACAAAATACAAAACATTAACTGGAATGGCTTTACTTATTCGCAACTCAGTTTACATTTCTAATTTAATCTAATACTTTTCTGTTGTTAAATAAAGTTATCTTGAATTACCTTTATGTTAAATTTAAGCCAACTTTTATCAAAGACATGATAGTTACAGACGAATTATTCTTTACTACAAGGAAACTTGACTAAAAGACATTGGTGTTTTTCAGAAATAAATATAATGGAGAGAATTTCAAAGTCTTGAAGTTGATGAATTAACCTTGGAAGATTTACGAGTCTCAATGCAACCTCCATGTTCCAGTTCATTTCATGTAAACCATTCATTACTTGCTCAGCATCCTTAATTCCTCGTCTCAATTCATGGTAAGTCTGTTAACTTTTTCTTTTAATCTTCCTCACTTCCCGCAAAAAGGAATAATATCTTTTTCATCTTTAATCATGATCTCTGCCATATTGATCATTTTTTGGCACAACTTATTGCCAAAGTGCTTATTGCGGTCTTTTTCTAGGCTGTAACATGCCCATCATTTTCTTATACTCCAAAGTCTAAATCTTTTTGAAAACCCCACTTCAAGATAGTAACTTGTTTTGAGCTTATTAACTAATTTTAAGATGTTTCTGGTAAATTAGAACCATTTTGACACACACCAATAAGCTTTTTCTATTTCGTTTGTTTGCGGAAGTTACAATTAACGTTATTTTTTAAATTTATTTATGAAAAATAAAAAAAAACAAATGTTCTTTTTATTAAAGAAAAATGAATCAAGTAACAAAATTTTGACTTCGCTTTTCATGAGATTACTATATTGGCTAATTTTAACTTATTCAATTTCATTTACCTCTTTGCTTTTAATAATAATCGGCGTTTTAACGTATATAAAAAGGAAAATTTCAAAACCGCCGAAATAATAATTATTAAGAGCGATGCCGGGGTAAGTTTAAATTATTGTTGACGTTTTTTTTTTTGAATTTGACATATTTTATTTAAATATAAAAATCGATTTGCCCGGCCTTAGTTACAGAAACAAATTACGAACGGTTGTTTGAAACTTTTAGCAGTTTTGCAGGCGAGGAAGATAAATTCAAAAAAAAACTGAAAATTTAAGTTTTCGGAAGTGATTTGTTGTTTGCGACATGGTCGTTCCACGTGAGTAACTTTTTCCCCGTTTTTTCTTTTAAGTTATTTTAAACTAAAATTATCGCAAAAAGTATTTCTAATTTCTTATGGAAACGTAGAAATTACAAATTTGACAGAAAACGTCAATTTCGATTTTTTTCAATAACAACTTGGATCAATGAAATGAAACCAAAATTAAAAATATTTAGTTTATTTTGAACAAAGTATAAAATTGGTTAAAAAATGGACGGAAATAACCAGTACGATTAATAAGATTGTGTATGTACACTTATCGTTATAAAAAAAAGTCTTATAATTTTATTCGTCATAATTAAAAGCAATTATAACCTAAAGCTACGTCAAAATTGTACATAAACGAGATTCATTCAATAATTATCATTTCATAACTACTTATTCAACAAGATTTCGAAAATATTTCTATTTTTGATTATGCGAAATATTTACAAAAAGATGTGCGCTTTTGATGAACATCATTTAACATAATTTTATCTAAATCTATAAAAAAGCATAACAATCAAAAGCGTAACAAACATCGTAACGTAATTGATTTGAACGATTGAAGCCCCCGCAATGCGACATTTGAACAAATCGTAACGCGTGTCTTTATTTGCGACCAAATTTTCAAATTCGCCCTCGACCAATTGTCCATCGAAATAGGTTACATCTTGTTCGTACGGAAATTCGTAACCTTGGCGGCATTCGCATTTGTAACCTCCCGAAGAAAAACCTCTACCCAAAATTGGTACACACTAAAAAAATTTTTAAACAATTATATGATTAAATATAGAGTTCTTGTTTACTGTTAATTAATTAAATAGTTAACTTACATATGAATTCTTTCTATCGCATTTATCAGTGTTTTTGAACGCGTTTTCTTCGTAGTAGATATCGGGGCATTGATTTATATCGAGTTTGAGTAAATCTACGGTGATTGCAACAGCTCCCCTAAAAAAAGTGTTTATTATACGAAGAAAACTTTACTCTATACAGTGAATTTCATTTAAGATGCAATATATATAAATATATCTTCAAAGAAACCAGGGCGTACCTACTTACTTTGTCCTACATAAAATGCAACATGTCAATATAATTTGACATTACAGTAAAACATCGATCAATACGGCGAACGCAGTGTCCCTTATATAGCTCAATAAAAATATACAACAATCTATCGCTGAATAACAAATAAAACGAGACTAGCACTAGACTTAGAATCATTGTCTAGTGTTAGTTCTAGTTTTACACTAACACAAATGAAGGTTTGAGGTTGATTTGTACCAACTTTCAAGCTTCCAGAGTGAATAGTTGATTTTATATAAATCATCTAATTCATTAGACGTTCATCAAAAGTGAGGATAATGAAAAAAGTTATTTTCTCCATAACGGTTAGGAATTAAGAAATACAACTTTTTGAGGTTATAAAGGAACATTTGAGGTTATGTTGTACCAAATTATAAGCTTCCAGGCTGAACAGTTGATTTTATATGAATTTTTAAAAATCAATTAATTCATTTGACGTTTATCAAAAGTGAGGTTATGAAAAAGAATTTTTCTCAATGGTTAGGAATTAAGAAATGAAACTTTTTGAGATTAAAAAGGAAGGTTTGAGGTTCATTTCTACCAAATTATAAGTTTTCAGAGTGAACAGTTGATTTTATATACATTTTTAAACATCATCTAATTCATTTGACGTTTATTAAAAGTGAGGTTAACCTTTTCCAAGCAAAACTTTTCCTTTGGAAAACTACCCAATGGCTGAAACTTTTAAGCTATGTTGCATTTTATGTGTTACACTGCAAGTGCATAGTAGTTTCTTAACATTAATATATTGCGAGTTATATGAAATTCCCAGTAGAAAATATGGTAATTACTTGAATTCTAATTTAGCTTTTGCACTGTCCCATCCGAAAAATGGAGAGGCATACTTAATTTTCCACATGGGTAATTTCCCATGACAATCGTAATAAGGTGACGACCAATAACCATGATCTAAATTAGCTGCGCGATAATAATTTGGGTAATGTTCGAATTTTCGATAATTTAAGCCGGTTTCATTAAACCTCAATTTAATTTTCATGTTGTATTTTTCGAGTGCGTCGAAATTGCTTTGCCATCGTTGTTTTAAAAATTTAAACCAATCGGTGTTTGTGTACAGTTCGTCCGTTTTATTCAATCTGGCTAAATCTTCAAGGTAATACTTTCTGGTGTTCAATTCCATTTTGTAGGCGTAAGGAGCGAAATACGTGCGATTCGTAAATTTGTTTCGCTCCCAATAAGTCCCTGTTGACCAAATGCGACTATTTCCCATTATTAAAGCTAAGGTTTCCCCCATCATTTGATCTTCCGTTAGCGGTTTATCAGGGACTCTTTTATCAGAGAAGACTTCCTTGGGATCGGAAACTTGCAAGAAAGCGCTTATAAAATTGGCTAGACGTACAGCCATTCTAGCTTCATTTTGGAAGAATTGTTTCGCTCCGTAATGAATATTTCCGTTTAAAATCAATTCTTCTTTTTTGTACGATCGACAGTTCTCTTTGTTCATTGTTCCTATAAATCTTAAAGCCTCGTTTATATTGAGTTTTTTCATGTGCATTGCGTTTAAGCCGGTTGTAAAGTTTTTATATTCATGGTATTTGTTTAAATAGTATTCGCGGATTAATGGAGGTGCTGGGTACCATTGCGCGGGAGGTTTATGTAGCCCTAAAAAAATTAATTAATTAAATTAATCACCCCGCTTTTTTAACATTAATTTACATCCAATCGGTTTGCAATCAAAACTGCTATAATAAACCTCTGAACTTGCTCGTTCTATAATCTCCCCTAAGAAATAACTCCTTGAATGATACGGAAGTCTATGCCCAGGTCTGCATCGACACTGATATCCTCCCCGACGAAATCCCCATCCATCCAAAGGTTCGCATTCGGTAGTTTCCTTTTTACAACGTGCAGTATTTGCGAATTTATTCGGACCATCGTTTCCCAAACTTTTAGGACATTGATTTATATCTATTCGTTCTAAATCCATTTCCAATACAGAAATTGCCGTATATCTTAAAAAAAATTTTTTTTTTTTAATAAATTTTGAATGAGAGTTTAAACGTCAATGTGACATAAATTCAATGTCACCAACTGTAATCAACTTCACAACAATTTGTCAAAATTAAATGTCAATTTTATGAAACGTCGTGTGTTTTTTACGAAAATTAATTAATTTATGCTTAAAACATACGAAAAAAGGAATTTATACGTTTTTTTAATGTCAAACCTTTAGAAAGTCCTAAAAAAATTAAATTAAATTGACGTTTTTTGAAATTTTGACGTTTCAAATAATTATTAGTCTGTCAAGTTGATTACCCATGAATTTAATTATTAAGCTACTCAAACTGTGAAAATTACAGAGCCATAGGCCTATCATCTACAAGTTACAAATTATACACAAAGATAATAGAAAATACTGACTCCTCTAGCAGTTATAAAAGAATTAACCAGGAACTGGAGGGAATGGAAGAAGTGGCCATCAGGCATAAGGATCAGGAATTTAATTTAATTATATAATACTTACGTTGGATACTCCACATGTCTAAACCCGGTATGTCTTGGAAAAATATCAGCAATAGGCGCAACAGCAGAAACTAACCATCTATTAGATCTCCCACAATCAAAATAAGGTTCAGTCCATTTAATAGGACCAGGAGTTTCATCAGCTCCAGGTGGGCCGTGAAAAGTAAAAGTTTCATTTGTATTATTTGCATATCGAATTTTAACTTGATAAGTAGTTTTTGTATCGTGGCGACCATCAACTTTATCCGGCAGCCAAGTTTTGTACCAATTTTTCAAACGATAAAAAATCGAAGCGTAATCAGAGCTGGTATCGGGTTTAACAGCCCCTAAATCTTGTACGATGAAGGTGTTTAGGGTCGAAATACGTTCCAAGTGTAAAGGGTCGTTAAAATCGTCCAAACGGAAACTTCGAGGTGCAAATCTCGCGAAAGTCTTATTGAAAAAGCCCAAAAATGATGGAGAATAAGACATGTTTGGGGAGAAATAAACGGAACTGGCATTAACATGAGGATTTGATGAAACATCTGCGACGGTTGATAATAAATAATACATCATTCCTGGATCATATGTATCGTTTCTTGCGGGTCTAATAAATCGACTTTGAAGAATATAGCTCCAAAAAAATGACCTACTCAATGCCATGTTGTGTAAATAAAATAGAGCCGTTCGATTTGGAAACACCGGGTTAATATTGTATTCCTTTATATCGGGTTTGTGCGAGATCACATCTTCGGGTAAAAACAATTCTCTATCGTTTACAATTTCGCAATTATCTTTGGTAACTTTATCGTATTTATATTTAATTTCATCGTAGGCATCCTTTACGTGCCAATCGTATTGAGCTAAAACTACGCCCACAGAGACAACAAATGACCAAAACACGAAATTAAACCAAGACGACGCCATCGCCCAATCTTTTTTAGTCACCCTATTCTCTCCTCACTTTCACCACAACCACCTAAAACGTACAGAATTGTTTTTATTAAAACGTAAAACACCGTTTTCTCGTTAATTAAAGCGTTTTGATTCGATTGAGAACATGATTAAGACATGATGAATCACAACGAACTTTACCACACCCCGGTTCCACTCACAAGAACAAGTGTATAGATTTTAACTATGCAACAAGTTGTGTTAGGTGTGTAGGTGACGTCACGTTTGTTGTACTTTTAACTTAGGCAATTTCAAATACATAGTTTGCTGGTGGTGATTTGGTTGCCTAACATGAAATATCAATTTTCAATTAAATCAACTGTTTTAGGTTAATAATAGATTTTCTTCAATTGATCCAATACTATACGCTTTTAAAGGCTCTTAATGCTCGCATACGAGAAGAAAATCTATTATTAGATTTTCTTCAATTGATCCAATACGCTTTTAAAAGCCTCATTCCAGAGTTCGCTCCGGACTTTTCACATTTTGACAACCTTAACAGATTAACAGGCGGGCCACTCGTTGCAATTGATGCAACACTTTAGCCTTATATGCATGTTTCAGTACTGAGCACCAAACTATAACCTCGGATTTAATGCCCAAGTCGTCCCAATTGCTCTTCGACACACAAAATCGTTGCTTTTTTGGTTTTGCAAGTAGTGTGTGATTCCCAAATCAGTCCTTTATCCAAGATAACACCAAGATATTTCACCTCTAGAGCAAAGGTTAATGGACTGTTACAGAAATAGGGTGGTGTTAAGAGAAGATAATAATCTCAGTCTTTTTAGGATTTACAGTGTGCTCTTCACACCATCGTTCAACAAGTTGCCTATCACGCAACGTTTAATTAAAGATGTATTATTAAACTTCATAAAATCTTGTTCCAAAATTTATAATATAAATTTAAAGACTTATTTAAAAAAGAAGTGTATCGTATAAATAGTGTTACCCCCTTTTTACATTGTTTTAAGAACGTCAGGTGTTGAACGTATTACATACGTTGGATGTACGTAACGCAATTGCTGCTTCCTTTTTGGAATTTTTATTATCTGTCTTTTACATTCGAATTTAAAACGACCATATGCTATTGAAAAAGGAGAACCACCGGGGTTGACGCAAAGGGGCGAAGTGAAAGTTCTGACCCAATTGCGCCGTTAATTTACATCCAGGTGACTTGTTTTGAGCACCACCGTTAACTTAATGTTAATGTAAAATAATTACATTACTTTAATAATATTTTTCTTCGTTTTGACTTCACCTATGTTTTACTCTTTACTTTGGCAGTCTAATTTTATGAAAAATGACCTTGCAGAAAGGGGACAGATTTTTTTTTAAATACAAGTACAAGTGCGGGTTGGTGCTCTCTTTCTTTCTCCCCCTTTTTCACGAGTCGCACGACGTCCAACGTATTTTATACCCTTTTGAAATGCACTCGGGGTCGCGGCAGACGTTGTCCGCGAACGATTTTTGTAGCTATTCGTGGAAATTTTTGTCTAGAAACGACGCACAATCAAGATTTGACCATCTGGTCGTAGATGTATTGAATGAACAACCTAGAGGGGTTCTGACATAATTTAAAAATTCGAAATATTGTTTGTAATATTTTATGGAATACCTTTAATTAGTTGCCTTTTTAGCTAACATAAGTTGATAACTCTTGTCTTGTGGGTGCAAGATCCTAATGCTGTCTTGATGTCTTAGCATGGAAGTGAGAATTATTGGACAATTTTGCAATGAAATTTCAGAAGAAACTTTGTTGAGATACTTATTTCAATCGATTAGATACTAAACAGAAATCTAAAAATCCTCAACGCTTCAAAATGGATCACTCAGATGAAGTCAATGACCGAGATTATGAAAACTTTACTTCTATCATATTAAAATAACACAGTGGCAAAAATCTAATTGGAAGCTTTAAAATCGATATCTATAAGTTTTGAACCATTTAAATTAATTAATTTTTTTTATTTCATATAGTTCTCAAAAAGTTATTAATTATTATTTTTCTCCAGGCTTTTTCTTCACCGCGCCCCGTTACTTTAAAACTGGCAAAGTTGTAGTCGTGGAGTCGTCGTCGCCGTCCTCGGGTGACGCCATTGACCTTGCGTTTATTTTCGCTCGGGAATGTGTTTGGTTTTCTGAGACCACTTTTTATTTCCATTATTTTATTTTTATTTTAGATTTTTGGCTTGTTATGAATTTTTCTAACATATAATAAAATAATAATAAGGACAAAAAGAGTGTAGAGTGAACGTCTCTGGGGAGGGCGGGAAAGAAAACGGGGTGAATGAATGTATAGAGTGACCGTCATCGTTTTCTATGAGCCCGCCGTATATAGAGAGTGAAAGATGAAAGAAGAGAGAAACCCTTCTTTATCCGTTAAAGGAGAGAAGAAAAAAAGACTCCTCTTTGCAGCCAGCACACACACCACCGGTCGTCGTAGTAACGCCTATTCTTTGTTCTTCACGGGCGTCTCGCGATTGCTGGCTGCTTGTATTTGGCAAGTGCTGTACGACAACGAAGAAAGAGGGACGATGATTGCTGCTGTTGAGTTCGGTTTTCGTTCACTCACAGCTGGTTCTCGCAACATTCATTGCAAATATATTATTTTATTTTTGATGTATTTAAGTTTGGACATTTTCAAGGGTCGATGTGATAAACATCGCCGTCTATTGAAAGTCAAGGTCGCTTTCGGGTCGTTATCTCTCTGTCTGTCTCGTTTCGGAATCGTTATTTGGCCAACAAACATAATTGTTATGAATACGTCGAGACGGCGAGGAGTCGTTGACACTTCATACGAACAGACTTAAACATTTAATATTTTTCAATTTTTCAAAATTTAAATTGTTAAAGAGGTCGTTAAAGAAAATGTCGTTTCCCCTTTTTTTCGGTAATGATGGTACAGCTACGCAGTAATTTCTTAGCGGTGTCCCTTCGTTCGATGAGAAGTGTGACATAGCGGTCCCTTCAGGTCCGGTTTAGGCAGTATCGCGGCCCTGACATGTGAGGGTCACCTCATGTTGCGTGTTTGCAATTTTTTGATTGTTCAATCTTATTGATTTAGCTTATAACTAGGAATTTCGATAATTGAAATTTAAAAAATATATTGTATAATAATCTAAAACTTTTTGGGGAGTTCATTTTCACACACTCGGGGTTCGTTTATCATCATCAATATCATTTTCGCAAGATAGTGTCTGGGGCCCGTTGGGGCAACCCAAAAACCGGTTCCAACCGTGTGTATGTGTAGTATGCTGCGTATAGGTACCTACGTGGCTGCTGTTGCTGCCGTGCCGCCTCCGCCCCCTTTGCGCGTCCGCTTTTTGTTGTATCGCGAATCTAGAATAACCTGTTTTTGCGTCTCGTACACCGCCGTTTGCGATTTCGAATCCCTCTCGGCCGGCCGGCGGTTCCTTTCCAACCCCTTTCGCCCCTCCGGGCCACCGTTTGGTCCGAGAGCATTTTCGGTTCGCGACGAGCAAATTATCTCCGGTCGGTCATCTTTTGCAACGAGCAAGAAGAAAGGGGAAACGGAGGTCCCCTTTAGTTTTTTTTTACTTCTCTCTTTCTTTTCCCAATTGGGAACCGTGTGATCCCTAAAGACGAAGTAGAAGACGATGAAGGAAAAAGGGGTTCGAGAGGATGTTGGTCCGCTTGGGTTTTTTGGGTGATTCTTTCGACCACCGTTATCTTTTACTTCTTTTATTTACTCAAATTTCTTCTTTTATTAACTAAGATTAACTGCCATATATCTATTTATGAATACCCAGAAGTACCTAGTTTTCTCTTTGGTGAGAGTATTTCTTCCATTCGGTGACTCTTTCTTTCCATGATCTTATTTGTACTTCTTGAAATAACCCTCTTGTTCTTCTCACTTTTTCGTTATGGATCCGATCTCTCAACGCAACCCGACTTACGTTTTCAGCACTCTTAAAACTGTTTGATAACGTAAAAAAAATGCACAAAAAACATGTTTAGCTTAACATGTTAAACTTTTTTTCTTCTTTTCTTAGGCATGAATTATAAAGGTTGGCGATCTCGGTCGTTCATCCAACTCTTTCAGTCTGATACTCCACCTTCATCGTGAAGAAGTACCTTCATACAGTATTGGAATATTCAATTGACCATAACTTCTCTTATTAGGCATCTGCTAACGGTCCATTAACATTAAGGATTATCACCTCTAAAGAATAGGTATATTTATCATGCCTTTTGAGTTTTGGAGTTGGTGATTAATGCATAGCAAAAAGTGCAAATTTAATTATGGTAGAAGAACATATTGAAATAATTCATAGCAAATTGAACAATCACTGGAAAGATGTTATTACAATAATTGTTATAATGCAAAAACGGTTGTAATTAAATTCTACATCTTGATTTTGATGCGATTTTTGAGATACATAAAAAAAAAAGTTCTGTTTCAGTTTTTTAGTCTCAACATTTATCTTGTCATCTTAGGTTGCTGTTGAATCTATAAATTGAAATATGTTAAATGAGAATAAAAGTAAATTGATACTTATTGATATGAAATGCGGCAAAATAATTCTACTGCAATTGCAGGCGTTGAATCCGTTGTAAAAGGTGGGGGTAAACGACAAAACGAAAACCGTACGGTAAAAGAGAAATCGGGTCGATCCCGTGGGATTTCCTCCTCCAGAGAAGGAATGGGTATGGAGATAATGATCCGGAGGGGGCCTCTGTCTGGAAAGGGTATTCAAAAAAAAGGAAGGAAATGGCGCAGACGGCGAAGACGACGACACAATCCGTCGTTGGCTGGCGTTGGTATAACGTGTGTTTTGGTTCGGTGGCTGTTTGGGGTGAAGGAAAGAAGGAAGGGGCTCCTTCGAAGTAAAGAAAGACTGGTTTTGCGAAAAGCGTCGTCGTCGCCGTGGTCGTGGTTGTTGTATGGTGCGCAGTCGCAGCGTCGTTTTTACGGGGGCCCCAATGCAAGGCGTCTCTCGTCGTTTCTCTCCCCCTCCCCGGAGCAAAACAACGGATTCTGCACAGTGCACATTGCATTACGCCGCGGGAGTCGGTATACTACATCAAATCGTTACTATATATTTCAGCCGGAACACACACGTTAAACACCTTTTAAATTTTACAAATTAAATTATAAATAATCCGTGTTTGTTAGTTTAATACGTACCTACTTACCAGTTTGTTTTCGACGTTAAAAAAAAGAAGCAGCGTTTTCGAAAAGTGCGTTTGTGTGTTGTTTTGCGATTTTCTTTTTTTTTTGGAATTCTTTTTTAACGACCTAAGGCAATCTTTTTACGATTAAAATTTTCGTTGTTCCGTCGCGCGGACGGATGAAGATGTTTTTGTTTGTTGATGTGAATTAAAGTGTATGAAGAAACGTTATAAATAAAAAGTGCGTAAAGTTAGTGGTAGGTAAATGAAACGTTACTTTGTAATCAAAAATTAAAACGAATAACATTGAGGTATGATAATAATTTGCAATAAAAGAAATTTGTGTTGAAGAGGACGTTAAAAATAGTCATCGAAACATTTTAAAATTATTGGCAACGAATTGGCACCGCTGCCGCTTCGAGAGTTCTTTTTGAATTCTTTTTGCATTCGCTCTGTTGCCGGTTAGGATTGCGCATTGGGTTCGAGGCTAAAAACCGTGCGCGTCTGTGTGTGAACCCCATAAGCGCCGGTCACGTTGTGACGTTTGTCCCTCTTATAAAGGTGTTGTTGCGGCCGCCATTTTTTTAATGCCAAATTAACATTTTTTAAATTCGCAAATAGGTACGTAAAAACGGAATACTAAACGAACTTTGCCCATCTTTTCGTGCTCGTTTTTCCCCATAACCCCGCCCCTCTCTCTTTTTCACAATCGTAATGTTAATTTGCGCGCCTTTATTCTCCACTGTTTACAAATTTTATACCAAATATAACCCATGACAATCGTTTTAACACAACAATAACACCTTTTTGTAAACAAAAGCGTAAAACACTGTATGTTTTAACCCAATTTAACATAAAATTTTAACCATAAAAGATAAAAAAAGAAAACAAAAAGCCGGTAGGACGCACCTACTTGTCACTTTCTACGTTACCGACAACGATTTTGGCGGGATTTTTCAAAAACCGGTTTAATCGACCGTTAAATTTTAAATTTATATTATATCAATCAAAAATAACTTAATTAATTATTTTATTTTTAGCTATGGCAGAAGGTAATGGTGAGGTCCTGCTTGAAGAGTCAATGAAGATAGAAATCGATACGGAGAGAACGGAAGACTACCACAAGCTGATTGAGTATGGCCTCGATGAAAAGGTGGCCGCTAAATTGGACGAAATTTACAAAACGGGCAAATTGGCCCATGTTGACCTGGACGATCGCGCTCTCGACGCCCTCAAGGAGTTCCCCGTTGATGGCGCGCTCAATGTTCTCGGGCAATTTTTGGATTCGAACCTCGAACACGTTTCGAACAAATCGGCGTACCTTTGTGGCGTAATGAAAACTTACCGGCAGAAGAGCAGAGCCGGTTCCAGCCAAAGTACCGCAACACCGGCTCCCGCGCCAGTCAAAGGTCCCGATGAAGAAAAAATTAAACAAATTTTGGAAAGAACTGGATATACATTAGATGTTACAACAGGTTAAATTATAATTTTATTGGTAACACATGAAAACCTTGTAAATCACTTTTTCAAATGATTGATGTAACAATTAAGTTTTTAACAAAACATTATTAAGAAAATCTCTTCAGTTTGACCAATAGTACTTACCCTCTTAGTCTATTCTGTATGTTATAAATCACCTGTATATAGTAGAAACCCCAAGAGCTGGCAGTGAGTCATCACTTGAAAATGGTATGAATCAAAATATGGACCTAGGATTTAGATTATTTCACCACATACATTTAAATGTAAGTTATGTTAGTATTGGAGATTACATGTCAAAGATAGGAGAGGTTAACTAGTAAAAAAACGTTATTATTAATTTATTCAACATCAAATAGTTTAAAAGGTTATTTACAGGTCGCAAGGGTTTAAGTAAGTTTTATTTAAACAGTGGTTCAACGCTCACAAGATGTGTTGATTTGAGGTTAGGATTACTCTTTCTAACACACATTACTCTTTAGCGGTTTGTAAATTTTAATTTACTACTTATGGCATTTGGAAGAACGGAAAACGATGATTCACTGCCACCTCTCGTGCTTTCTACTATATCATTATAATTATGAAAAAGATTCTTTACATATAAAAATCAAAACTATTTTACAAGTTTTTCATGTGTCACTAATAATTTTTTATCTGCAACATTTGAATTAAACTTATTGATAAATTTAGGACAAAGAAAATATGGTGGGCCACCTCCAGGTTGCGATAGTACACCACCAGGACCTGGTTGTGAGGTATTCTGTGGGAAAATTCCAAAGGATATGTACGAAGACGAGTTAATACCACTGTTTGAAGAATGCGGCACAATTTGGGATTTGCGGCTAATGATGGACCCGATGACGGGAACGAATCGGGGCTACGCTTTCGTTACATTTACCACTCGCGACGCCGCGCAACTTGCTGTGCAAAAGGTAAGTTGAATATTAATAAACCCTATATTTCTATCTCTCTCTCTCTTTATCTCTCTCTTTCTATCCCCGAAGAGAGCGTTTTGGTGAACGATTAAAATAACCGCGTTTGAAAAAAAAAGTATCAGTAATGTTGCCTTTTCCAAAATTTAGATTAAAATAGTAGAAAGTCTTCCGTGTGATGTAATTAAATTTTTAGTATATTTCCAATAATTTTTTGATTACTTAATTAGATTTTTGTTTTGTAAATTTTCTAAATTTGTATTTTTTGTATCCTTCCCATCTTCTTTTTAAAAATTTTGACGCTATGCGATTTGTATTTCTTTTAATAAATTGATTTGTTTTTTCAATTGAAGATAAAAACTAAGGAAATACATTTTGCATGTTTATTTTTTTGTATTGATTTGCGACTGTTTTAATTTATAATTTTTAACATTCGTTGATCAATTATTAAAATGATTGAGTCGATTAAAACAAGTTAATTGGCAACAATATTCTGTTTCTTTATCTTTCTTCTTCTATTAATTTAATGTTATAGTTATGTGTGCGAAACTGTCGTCATAGCCTGGCAAATTGAAGGTAAATTTTGTTGCAGCGGCTCTGACCACGGAGCACACACACACAACAAAAAGATCTTTCCCTCTCTAGTAGTTTGTCCTTCACATTTATACACAAGAGCCCTGATTGAGTAGCGACTGAAACTTAAAAAGTATCAAATTGGTGAATCAAAATTTGCGCTGGAAAGGTGAAAAATTTGTTTGGCTTCGAAAGAAAATTAAATTCTTGTTTATTATTCGTATATTGGCGGCGGTCTCAATAATTTATTGTATTGAGCTTGTGTTTTTGCGTTTAGCTTTTATTTACAGGTCTCCTCTTTGCAATAAGGGGGCAAAATTGTGGACACACGTAGCGCCGTAAAAAAAACTGGTCTAAATTCTGCGCAATTAAATTTTTGTACAATTAAATTCTGTATTGTTATCCAATTAGTTATTATATTTAAGTAGCAGGTGTTGGTTGGTTGGTTTGGCGTTGAGAAATCCAGGACTATTTTTTATTTTCATTTTATTTTTTATAGCGGACCGGTTGATTTTAGTTTTCTAAATCTAGCAGTAAGCATGCCCGTTTGGTAGAGACTATTTGCAAAAATTACTATTTTGACTTACCAAATTTTTTTAATTTTTCTTTTTATTATGGTAAATTTCGAAAAGAAATAATATATTTTTGTTCTACTTTTAAAAAATATGTCATTTCTACGATATTTACATTAATACAAAATAAGTCAAGTCTGAATTAAAAGTACATAATAAAAAATTCTAGACTTTGACGAAAAAATTTCTTTTTTTTTTTTACAAAAATGTGGCAAAAACCAAATAAAATTCTGGCATGTTTTTTTTTGTTCTTTGACCCGCAGCTCGATAATTACGAAATCAAATCCGGCAAGACTCTGAAAATAAACATTAGTGTTCCGAATCTTCGGCTTTTTGTGGGCAACATACCAAAGTCTAAAGGCAAAGAGGAGATACTGGAAGAGTTCGGTAAATTAACAGGTAAAGTGGCACCGAGAAAAAAGTGTAGCTAGTGGCGGCCGGCTGCCGGGCTCAGTCCCATCCAAAACATCACTAACCCCCTAAAAACACCAAACATCAAAATAATCCTGATTCACCACCTAAAAAAAAACCTTTTTTTTATACTTCTCTACTATCTTTATTTCTCTCGTTCACCTTCGAAACCACCGCCCCCTTCAAAAAAAAATCAAACAACCACCCCGCCCCTTGCCCATGGCATAAATTGGCTACCCTTCCACTGTTCTTGCAGCTGAATGATTATGAGATACGGAAAGGCAAAAAGATTGGCGTTACCATATCTTATAACAATCACCGGTTATTTGTCGGCTATATTCCAAAGAACCGGGATCGAGACGATCTCTTCGAAGAGTTTTCCAAACACGCACGTAAGTTTTGAGAACCCTTAATTGGTGATGCGAGAGAAAAATTTAACCGAAAAAGTCGCGGTTCGCGCGAAATCTTCTTTGGTGCTATTTGTTCCTTTCCTATCTTAGTCGTTTTGGAACAAACAGGAAAAGGAGGATGTTTTCAGTGTTTAATTAAAAAGAAATTGTAAAATTTTATTACAGGATTAAAAGAAAAAATGGATTTTTTTTTGATTATTCAAAATTACACATTACAACCACAAAAAAATTACTTCGCATCACTATATTTCTTTTAATATCCTTGGAATGCGTTAGTCTGCGCCTGAGCAATGGGTAGGGCTGGGCCGCTACAGCATCGGAGGGGGCGGCAAGCCTCCCAAACACACCCTTTTAATTATTTCATTTAATTTTTTAACTTCCTTTTATTTAATTATTTTTATTAATTAAATATTTTACAAAACATTCCAATACAATCATCGTTACAAGAAGAAGAAACACGGGATTTTTTTTGGGAAACATGTCGCCCCATCCGTTAACCTATTAAAAAAAAACAATAAAAGTCCCTTTATTATTTTTTTTATTAAAAACCTTAATTTTGCTTAACTAAAATATCATTCTGTGCGCAGCTGGTCTTATGGAGGTGATCATATACAGTTCTCCGGATGACAAAAAGAAGAACCGCGGCTTTTGTTTTTTGGAGTACGAGTCTCATAAGGCTGCCTCTTTGGCAAAACGTCGATTGGGCACCGGCAGGATTAAGGTTTGGGGCTGTGACATCATAGTCGATTGGGCCGACCCACAGGAAGAACCAGACGAACAGACCATGTCGAAGGTTAAAGTACTTTACGTGCGCAATTTGACTCAGGATATTTCTGAGGAAAAATTGAAGGAGTCTTTCGAACAGTATGGTAAAGTTGAGCGTGTTAAGAAAATTAAGGATTACGCGTTTATTCATTTTGAGGATCGTGAAAATGCCGTTAAGGTAAAGTGAAACAAAATTTTAAAAAAATGAACTTATTTAAATCTTTTTTTCTATGTTGTAGGCGATGGAAGAATTAGATGGTAAAGAAATGGGTGGTTCAAATATAGAAGTGTCTTTAGCAAAACCTCCGTCCGATAAAAAGAAAAAAGAAGAAATTTTGCGTGCCAGAGAAAGGAGAATGATGCAAATGATGCAAGTTCGTGGCGGGTAAGATTGTTTTTACTCAATAAATATCTAATTATAATATAATATATATAATATAATATAATTCTAATTAAATATTTTTTCTTTTTTAATAGGATGATGCCAGGGGCGATGCCAATTCGAGGACCGCCGGGACAAGGTGGCCCAAGGACTAGCGCAGGAATACGCGGGCCGATGGGTCGTGGGGATTATGGTAAGTATAAAGGTGTGGCGGCCGGATAAAAATGCCATATCAAAATACAATAGTGTGAAAACGACGAAAATAAGCGATGATGATTCATTGAAAGTTTCGTCGTCTTCGTCTTTTCCTTCGTCTATTTATTATTACCCCTATGATGGTGATGACATTTCCGTCTGGTTTGCTTGTTTAGTCAAGTAACTATTCTACTGTGCTAAATCTACTACAAAAAAATTAATACCGATGCTAAATCAGATTGATATTTTTCCTTTCACTTAATAAATATTAAAAGATTTTTTTAAATAAATTTCTTTCTGATTTACCATGGTTTATTATCTAACTACTGCTACAATGTTTGTTGTATGTGAGTGCGCTAATAATAACAAAGTTTTTTTTCTTTTTATTTAATAACCAATTTTAACTAATTTCTACTTTTCCTTATTAAATTATTTTCAAATTCTTTCACACCATAAAGCATTGTAGGTCAGCAGATTTATTTGTATAAAGGAACAATTATAATCTTACACATTTAACTTTTATCAACTAGCTTTATATTCATTAATAATAATACGTTGCAGGATTTCTTACAGGTGTTGAGAAAGGTTCCTGTCTTGAACGACAAACATTTTGTGAACGAATTGTACTACTACTACTGCTACTACCACGACTAATATTGCGTTTTTGGAATGAATGCGAAAAAGAATGTAGTTTCTGTTTGGGATGACGGTGTGTGGATGTTGTGCGACATATTTGTTTTTTTAATTTTTGGCATGCATCTCAGCCGGGGCACACGCGAGGCAAAAGGGCATCGTAAAAAACAATCTGCACGCGCTCCATACCTAAAAAAAATACCCAATCCAATCCAACACTTTATTAAAACATTTTCTTCTTCAAAAAATTTATCATTCTTAGTTTGAGCTTTTGCATGATTTCTAATTATTTCCTCTAAATCTTGCTTGAATCTTCTTTTTTCCCACACCAATCAATCCCTTTGATTCATTTTCGTCTATTCCAATCGCTTTTTGCAGCCAGGAGTTTGGTAAGTAACACCAAATTGTACAAGTACAAATGCGGTTAGATTTTTTGATTTAAAGTTTGTTTTTTTTATTTGGTGTGGGATTAGATTTTATTGTATATATTTTTTTGTTTATATTAGTTTTTTTGATAATGTATATAAAAGGAATAGGTTAAAAATTATATGTATTGTATTTTTTTCTTCAAACTTTTTTTTATTGGTAATGATAATTTAATAATAAATTAGTTTTGGGATGTTTGAAGAAAAAGATCTTGTTATATTCTGAGTAAAAGCTATCTTTTTGTGGCTAGTGACGCTTTTACTCCTTATACAACATTATATGACTAACATTTTTGTTTAGAATTTTATTACTTAAATATGACTCTCTGTAAATTTGATTTGTTTTTAAAATCTGATTAATTTAATTAACACGAGGGGAAAATACAAAATAAATTGCAGAATTAATCACCAAAAAAATATTACTCAATGATTTTTATTATTATGGTTTTTCTTGAAAAGTTAGATTCTGGCGAGAATCGTTACTTGACTCTTTTCCCGGCATGCTTGTACACATATACACACAAACGAAACCCAAATACGAGACGCACACAGCAGAGAAAATAGCTATTGCATTATTGATTGGATTGTTTCTAAATAATCTTGTTGGCAAAATTTGGGAGATGTAAAAAAAGGAATACAAGTATTTTGTTGTTGTTTTTATAGATTATGATTACGACTATTACGGTTATGGGGATTATCGAGGCGGCTACAGTGACCCCTATTACGATGACTATTACCGTTACGAGGATTACTATTACGATTATCCGCCTGCTCCGCCGCAAGCACGAGGACGAGGCCGTCAGCCACAGCCGGTGGGTGGCCCCCCTTTTCTATAATCATTAATTAATCTATTCTTTTTTAATTATTACCTTAATTATTAATTCTTTTTCTTTTTTCATTTATTATACACACTTTTTTTAATCATAATCGAGAAAATAATTATGTCAACAATTGGCCCATTGTCGTTTGGGGGTGAAAAAGATTTTTTTAAATTCTAGTCTCGTTAATTGTTTGCGTGCGGTAGTTTGACTGTGGCATAGTGTCCGTTTCCTTTTATTAACATTTTTATTTAAATATTAAGAAATTAACAATCATTTTTTTCATACTAACCCTCTAGTTATGTGATTAACACGCTATTTATTTATTAATCGTTAGATATTAAAAAAAAGAAATCATTTTCCATTTATTTGCACCTTTTTTCTTATTATTTTCTCACATTGCTTGTCGTCTTGGTTACTCTACATAATTAACCTGAATATATTCAACAAAATAAATGAAAATATCTAAAAACGAGAACACTTAGTGCCACATTCAAATATATCATCCCCATCATATCTGAGCCATCAGGCTATTATCAAAATTAAAGAAAAATCATTAAAGAAACGTCTCGAATAGAATTAACACAAACTAAAAAAATTAAAATAATAAAACTATAATTTTTTATGAGAGAACTAGCGCCGGGAAAGAGATGAGTCACACGCCAGCAAAATTTATCTTAAAATTAGTGGCAGCGCTGGCTCAGATATGATGTTGATATACTGCTGCTGCTGCTGCTCTCAAAATTACAAAATTTTTCGATAAGTAAATTGATAATGGAGGGTTATCCAAAAAAAATTTTAAGCGAGAAAGCGGGAAGCTAAAAAACCCGTTTCTTTGTTTATTATGGGGGGCTATCGTTTGCCGCGACGCCGTTTTTATTTGCCACACACGCCTGCCTCACTAACCAAAAAATCGAGAGAGATTAAATTTTAAAACACCAACACACAAATTTTAGTAATACACTGATTATTGCTTTAATATTGAAAGAACATCAGTCTATTACTGAAAAAATATCATTTTAACAATCATTTTTTAAACTGAGATGGTTTTTTAAATGACTACTTAAATCATCGTCATTGTTGCTCATTTTGCTTTACAAAAAAACGCAGCAATAATGTTTTTTTTTTTTTTTTTAATAATTTTGTTCGCCGGTTTTATTTTTAAAGTATGTGTTCAATAAAAATATCTCTAGAGAGTTATTTTTTGGACAACTTTTTAAAAAAAGATCTATAATATTTATCAGAAAGAACTAAAGATTTATGTATTGTATCTATTTTTTAGAATTTTTTTAGAAGTTCTTTAAGAATAAAAGAATTAACCCATCTTGCGCGGAAAACGACTAAAGTCTAATGATTTTTGGAGTAATATTCTATATTATAACAACCATTTTTCAAAGTTTGGAATTTTCAGTTGGAATGGAAATATTTGTTACTTTGAAACAAAGATATCTTTTGAGAATAAAGGCCGATAATGCTGCAATGCACTATGAGATTAGAGAGGAAGCAAGAGACTTTTATAATGAGTGCGTTTCACGAATGGAAAGGGACAAACTGCCAAACTCCATAAAGATAATATCTTTTGGGTTTAGTCGTTTGTCTCTTAGACGGCTAAACCCGAATAGCTAGCGCTACATAACAATTAAAACTAGAACTAACACTAGACATAGAACTAAAAATAGCTGGTTGTTTGTATCAGAAAGCGATAGTAATTCTGAAATTGTTTTGGGATGGATTAGAAAGACATCCAGACGCAATTTTGATTGTGTCACCGAGTCTTTGCAAACGTATAAAGAATTAGAGAATTATTAATTGCATATGTTTGTTCCTTCTGATAATTATATTATAGGTTTATTGTAATTTTATATAAATTTTTGTTCTAGAGATTTTATTTTATTGAACAACTCTTTTTTTAATCAATGTTATTTTGTCGTAACTCCACAAAACTTTTCATCAAAAAGCCAACGGTTTGTTTTTTTTTGTTATACATATTTTTATTATTTCATCTTTATTGTTTTAACTTTTTTTAATCATTACTTTTAATTAACACTTTTTGTGTTGTTTTCGTCAAACAAGGAAATGGATCATATTCAATTATATGATGATCATACATCACGGAGAGCAGCTTTTTTGGTTCTCTTTTTTTTATTTTATTGTTGTTTTCTTTGAATTGCTTCAGTGTGTGCTTTATTACGCTTTTTTTGTTAGTCGCTTTTTTGCTTTTGTTGCTTATCGCTTAACGCTTTGCGTTTTTTTATAATTTGAATATTTTCATACTTATATAATATGTTGTTATTTTTAATTAATTTTTTTTCTTCAATTTTTACTTAATTTGTTTTCTTGAATAATTTGGATAACCCTTTTATATAGATAGAGCTTTTCCGCAGAAATCTATCAAATTTTTTGCCCTTTTTTGACAAACAGGATCATTATGTTTGACATTTTTGGACGGTTCATTTTCATGAAAAAACTTTATTTGTTTATTTTTTTTTATTGAATGTAAAACGTTAAGCCAGTACTTAAGTGTTGCCATGCTGATTTTAATATTATGTTGACACTTAGGAACTGGAGGAAGCGAGCACAACGAGTGTGTACTTCGAAAGTGGAACACAGGTTTGTCAAAAAGCCTTTCTACCGAACATTATCACCACAAAAAAATCATCACTCAAGAAGAAGATCCCCATTTCCAGATTACAAACTTCCTTAATCCTAAAATTAAAAAAAAATATATAAAGATAACAAAAATACGGGAACTAAAAGCAGGTATAACTTTTCTAATTATTAATAATTATTAATCCATTAATTTTGTGTTTTTATAGTTTTTTTTTGGAATGCCTCCCTTTTTATGAAATCCTTTTTTGACCTTTTTAACCCTTTAATATAATGTACATAGAATGAAAATGTAGAGTTAAATAGGGTTATGTTAAAGGGTTAAAGAATCACGACCTTTTATTATTTACTGCATGATAATTAACGTGTTTTGTTTGTTTTCTGATTTTTGCAGTAAATATGATTTCCTCTCGTCCTTGAGAAAAGGTAGAAAGGAAGGGAAACACCTCGAATTTTTTTAGAACCGTGTTCCTTTAGTTTAATAAATATTAATTTACAATTTTATTTTATGAAGAATAGGATCGATGTATTTTCTTTTCATTTTTTTATAATTAATTATTGTAGAATAATGGGGACGATTACTACTTTTTTTATTTTATTGATATTAGTTTAATAATTTATTTTAATAAATGTGATAATAATTTGGATTTTTTTGTAAATTAGGTTGGCCGTGGACGTGGGGTGGTGGCACGTGGCCGGGCCGGTGGGCCCCCAGCCCGTGGGGCGGCGGCGGTGGCCAACAGAGCGGGCCGGGCCGGAGCAGCCGGGGGGCGTGGGGCAGCACGTCAGCCCGCTCGTGGGGGGGCCCGCGCCAAGGGAAGTTTACCAGGTAAATATTAACTTTTTTTTTATTAAAATCCAAGGACGGTAGAATCTCTACATCTCAGGCCCGTTCGTAAGCACTCATCATTTTCTCGACTACAAGGAATATAGCAGTACTTCTAAATTCTACCGTCCTTGATTTAAACCTTTTTATTTCAAATCCTTACAATAACCTATATCCAATTTCCTTAACTTTTTTCCAGCTGTTTTGTTAGCTACTGCTTAGTTCTTTTGAATACAACGACTGACTTTAGGATAGATCTTGTTTTCCTTGTGATATCGCAGGTAGAGTTTATAACAACTTATCATTTATCTTTATTTCATTATTATTTTTCTTGTAGAAAAATGTATCGAAGATTTAAGAGTTTTTCGTTTCTGTTTATGAAGGGGCGGTAGTTTTCAAAACAGTTTTTTTTAAATTTTATTAAAAAAACTTTTTATCTCTTAAATCTTCGATTAATTTACTTAATTTGTAAAAATGGGTATTAAAGGTAATGTATGTAAGAATGTTTAGAGTATCATCCAAATATTAATTTGAATTAATTAATGATAAATTATCTATTATAAAAATTAATATTTTAAAATTTATTTAGCAGGTAAGCGAAAATTTGACGGGGGTCACCAGAATCAGGGGGAGTCAAAGCGCAGATACCAGAGCACGTGGGGCAACCAGCCCTTAGCGCAGCAGCCGTTGGGGTCAGCGGTGGGCGTCAACGGAGGTGAACAGCAATGGTACCAAGACTCGTACTCGTCTTGGAGCTAAAAAGGGATAATAGTAGTGATGGTGTGACGCGTGAGTGCAGGACAGATAGACTGATGATGAGAGAGCACCGGAATTTTGAAATTGAAAAAAGAAAAAAATAATATATGAAGAACGAAAATACGAAATGAATTATTATAATAATAACAAGAAGAAAAAGGTTTTTTTTCATACGGAATTTATAAGAAAAGGGAGTTGAAAGAAAAAACGGAACAAAAAAATGTTGGAAAAGTTTGAAAATTGAAAGTTTCTTTTTGAAAATCGCGAATAAGTGTGAATGTTGAGTGTGAATGGGAGTGAGAGAACGTGGAAACAAAAGGAGAAAAGTGCAGTGGCGGCCCTGCGTCTGGGCGGCATCGATAATTAATTAATTATTTATCGGCCGAATGGTGTCCCCAACAAAAAAAAATTAATCAACCATTTCTTCTACTCTGCACTCGTCGTCGAATTCGTCGCGTTTTTTTAAATAACGATGATAACAATTATTGTTGATTTGGTTCTTTTTTTAGTATATTTTCTATATATATATATTTATATGTATATGACTATATGATGGTAGAACAAACCTTTGTATGTGTCGTACATGTTGGAAATCATGTTGGATTTTTTGTGTATCGAAATTACTTTTTAATTTCTGTTTTCCCCTGTTTGGAAGTTTTTAAAATCTTTTGTAATTTGTTTAAAAATGAAAAGATAAAATTAAATTTGTGTAAAAGTTTTGATTGTTGTTATCAGAGAAATTTTAATATGAAATGAGACAAAAATTATTAAATTAAAAAAAAAATCATTTATTATTATTAATGATGCTAAAATTAATAATTTTTTTGATTATTAATGGGAATCTGCGTCCCTTATTCTGGGAGACGACATCGTGGGGGCGCAAAACCTGCAAACGTTATAGTCTTTATGTTATTATTTACAATTATTAGTAATTTTTTGTCTGTCTAATCTAATCTACATCTTTTTTTTTATTAATTATTTCGTTTTTGGAGATAGAAAAGAAAGAAAAATCGATCGACGCCATCACCGCTCAAGTCACCAGTGCCAATAAAAAAAAAATGGGGAGACTTGAGATTGTGGGGTTGTTGTTAAGACACAAAAAAGTGGTACGAACAAGTAGTTCTTTTCTAATTAATACATACAAAAGGATTTTTTTAAAAACACGAAATCACATTAAAATGTAAGTTATTACTTTTGTATGTATTTGAGATAGAAAGCGTTTAGGGGCATATGTTGAGCGTTTTAGGTGGTCCTAAACGATTTTTATGTTGAATAAAAAAATGTTTAAAAAGTGAATTTCTAAAATTTCTACTAGTACTACTTTTTTATTTTAATTATTATATTATTACGATGTATATTATTATTATTATTATATTTTTTATTCCTGCAAAATGCATTTTGCATTGTGATGTATTTTAGCGGTAATTTTTAAGGAGTTACTTACGTACTTCCACTATTAAGTTTTTTTAAACGGAAATAAGTTCAACATAAATTAATTAATAACAACTCTGAACATAGCTCCGATACGAATTTACAGCTAAAAGACACATCTGCAATCTTTTACCGTACTGTTCTATTAATTTTTTTTGTAGCGTTAATTTTTAATTAATTTTTAATAAACCCTTTTTTCTTCGCCGTTTTGCGACAGTAATTACTATTATATATACATAATTATATATCGGTTTTGCTTTTTTTGCTTCCCTTTTAAAAAGAAAAGAATAATAATAAGAACCACATTATAAAAAAAATCATATTTACCCCCTCTTAATTGACGATGACACATTATTTTCGTAGTGTGATGTAGTTTAATAAAACGCAAACAAAAAAGTAAAAAAATTCTGTAATGCTACTATATAACTAAGAAACGAGCAAGAAAACATCTTAATAACATTCAATTTACTACAGCAAACAGAAAGGAGATTTTTAATGAATGAGAAGTGAACACTTTGATACCGTTGGTGGTCTTACTTTCCATAATATATTTTTTAATTAATGTCTTCGGAGCTAAAACTAGGAGGCTTCGGATTTGGAATTGTTATATTTACGACCCTTCGAGAGGACTGATTTATTATAATGTCTCAATAAACAGTTGTATGTGTATTACATTTTAACTTGTGTTTTCATTATCCTTTTTTTTAACTTAAAAAATTATATTCAAGTTATTATAAACGATCGGAAATAAAATTAATGTAGTTTTATAGTTATTTAGTTGGTAATGTTTATTAATTTTAACTTTTTCCACTTTGTGTAATGGTTAAACCATATACATACATAAATGGAAAGGAAAGGAACACAATTTTTGGAACTATTTCACTCCAGTGATATCAATCGAATCAAATAAACCAATACATCGATAGGAATGGCTCCAAATCTTGTTATTACCTTTTACATCTGTTAGTATACAGATTATTTTAATAACACTGAACATTGAAATGAAAGAAAACTTTGTTATTGGAATATCAGTATATTCTGTGGAAAGGGGAAAATTTCTTATAAATCCCATACAAATAACATATTTTCCTTCTTTTTGTTTATGCTGTTTGATGTAAATGTAATAAACTATTACTGTAATAAGTAATACTTCTTCTCCTGTATTAACCTCCTTTATAATAATCTATCCGTGTTATATGTAGTTATTTTCTTTAATTATTAATTTTTTTTGATTGCATGCAATAATACTATTGTAATATCGATCTAAAAAAAGTAACTTATATACTATTGCATATTAATATTATATACAATGTATTTTTGTATACACAGGTTTTTGATGATGTACTTTGTTGAATTTTTTTTTTTGAACACCTTTAAGGTAATATACTAAACATTTTCAATTAATTCATCTCATTCTTGACGATTTTATCCTTCCCTTCTTTTAAACAATTTAAAATATATAAACTAATATAAATTAAACTTTAAATTAAACAAAGTTAAAGCGCCATCTTTAATATCCACCGATAACTATACCAACATTTTCAATTTGAAGTTAGTAACCAACCCAATTTCCCTAGAAAAAATCATTTAAAAATGAAGTTGGCAGTACTGCAACAATATTATTTGTTGAGCCCTAAAAATATCAACAGAAAATCGGTGTTTTTATTGCTTTAAAGTGAAAACATAAATAGTCAAAACGAAGAACAATAAAATACCACCCTTATCTGAAAACAAACCAGGAGAAGGCGCTATGCCCCCGAAATACAAGTTTTCAGAAGGTAATATTAAACCCAAAAAAATTCTAACCTCAAATAAAAAATTAAATTTTTAGGTGAAAAAGTGTTATGCTTTCATGGTCCACTCATTTACGAAGCGAAATGTTTAAAAGCGATGGTAACCAAAGAGAAACAAGTAAAATATTTCATTCACTACGCCGGATGGAACAAAAAGTAAGTTTTCTTTCTTCGTAATCATTGTTTTGAAATGTATCGCATTCCTACGTGGGCTTTTTATCAACTCATAACATTGATTATTGTAATATGAAATTGTAGTTGGGACGAATGGGTGCCGGAAAGTCGGGTTTTAAAGTATAACGAAACCAACGTAGCCCGCCAAAAAGAGGTTCAAAAAGCTCATTCAACGCAGCCGGTTAAATCGAAAAAAACCGTTACTAAAAAGCAAAATAAAACGGAACAAATCGCCAAAGAGACTGATTCAAGAGCAAGTACGCCGAACAACGAGGTGACATCTAAAGGGGCGAAAAATAAGATGCCAAGCACGCCGTCGAGTAGCCAAGATTCTAGTTCGGATGTGCCTAAAAAGAAACGAGGTCGTCTCGATCCATCTGTTGAGTCAGAAGAGCAATTTTTGAGTAAGGTTGAAGTGAAAGTAAAAATTCCTGATGAATTAAAACCTTGGTTGGTCGACGATTGGGATGTGATTAAACGGCAAAGAAAATTGGTTAATTTACCTGCCAAAACAACGGTTGATGAAATTTTAGAAAATTATATAAGTTATAAGAAATCAATAAAATCAAATAATTCAAGTAAAGAATCAGCTACAATAGAAATAGTTAATGGGCTTAAAGAGTACTTTAATGTTATGTTAGGAACCCAACTTTTGTATAAGTTCGAGCGGCCGCAATACGCAGAGATTTTACAAAATTATCCAGGACAACCTATGTCAAAAATTTACGGCGCCATCCACCTTTTAAGGTTATTTGTTAAATTAGGTTCTATGTTAGCTTATACTCCATTAGATGAACGAAGTATTCAGTTATTATTGCAAAACATACAAGATTTTCTAAAGTATATGATTAAAAATAGTGCCACCCTCTTTAATTTACAAGATTATGTAAACGCCCCCCCTGAATATCATCGGAAGGCACTATGATATAAGGATGAATAAGAATTTTCAAAAAGGTTTTAAAAAAAGATTTATCAAAACAATTCATTTTCTTAATTTATCATTAGATAGTTATTCTGTTATTAATATGATTCGAATTATAATTGATATTCCTAAATATAAAATTGAAAAAAAAATTTTTGTTTTAATTCTTAACCATTCCAAACAAATCGACAATTATTTACTCAACGAAAAGTTTCTATTCGTATACAAATCGTACACATCAACGTTGAAATCGAGTTGAATCAAGATAATTGTGTAAGTTATAACAGTTCCACAAAGCTACAATGATGGAAATGATTAATTAAATCATTATGAATGTATTTAATTAAGGATACCGTTGCAATCATCCTAAAATCCAATTCAAATAAATTATGAGCTGTCATATCAACGTAAAAATGTCCAATTCCCATTAAAAAACCATCCAACTAGACACAATTAAATGTGGTAACAATTTTATATGGACAGTAAAACTCGATATAACGGATTAATATGGGGATTTGTACTTTAAACTACACACACTAGTCCTAGAAAGTTTCTGGTTTATCTGTACGCCTTCAAAGTACTACTATCTACATCGAGATACTACTTCCAAAAGATTTCTAACTGTTTGGAATAAAGAGATACTGCTTCCCAAAGACTACTTACTGCTTCTAAAACGCTAAATACTGCTGATGAAGACTACTATCTACGTGGAAAGGCGAGATACTACTTTTAAAAGACTAATAATTGCTTAAAAAAGATATACTGTTTAAAAGTTTCCAGACCAAAAGTTACCCACTGCTTTCAGAATGCTAGATACTGCTGGCAAAAGACTTCTACCTGCTTAGAATAAAGAGATACTGTTACCCAAAGACTACTTACTCTTACCAGAACGCTAAATACTGCTGATAAAGACTACTATCTACTTGGAAAGGTGAGATACTACTTCCAAAAGAGCAATAATTACTTGCAAACAAAAGATACTGTTTCCAAAAGTTACGTACTGCTTCCAGAATGCTAGATTCTGCCGGCAAAAGACTTCTAACTGTTTGGAATAAAGAGATACTGCTTCCCAAAGACTACTTACTGCTTCTAAAACGGTAAATACTGCTGATGAAGACTACTATCTACGTGGAAAGGCGAGATACTACTTTCAAAAGACTAATAATTGCTTGAAAAAAGATATACTGTTTAAAAGTTTCCAGACCAAAAGTTACCCACTGCTTTCAGAATGCTAGATACTGCTGGTAAAAGACTTCTACCTGCTTAGAATAAAGAGATACTGTTACCCAAAGACTACTTACTCTTACCAGAACGCTAATTACTGCTGATAAAGACTACTATCTACTTGGAAAGGTGAGATACTACTTCTAAAAGAGCAATAATTACTTGCAAACAAAAGATACTGTTTCCAAAAGTTATCTACTGCTTTCAGAATGCTAGATACTGCCGGCAAAAGACTTCTAGCTGCTTGGAATAAAGAGAAACTGCGTCCCAAAGAATGCTGCTTCTAGAACGCTAAATACTGTCGATAAAGATTACTATTTACTTTTAAATAGGAGATATCCTTTCCAAAAGGCTACCTACTGCTTCTAAAATACTAGATACTGCTGAAAAAGATTACGATCTGCTTGGAAAGAAGAGATACTGCAACTAAACCCGAAACTTTCTAGGTCTAGTGTTAGTTCAATGAAAAATATACAACAATCTAATGCAGAATAACAGTAGCACTAGAACTAACACTAGATCTAGAACTAGAATCATTTGGGTTTAGCCGTCTTAAAAGACAACTCTGGGAATAACCAAAGTTGAATTCTATTTATTACATTTATATACAAGATCCGTTATATCGAGGTTTTATTGTACTTACTTCACGTTTTGTGTGTTGATCATTTACATTTGCGATAACACAAAAAATCACTTTTCTCGTTTTAATTAACTAAAATAAAAAACAAAGAATAAGATAATCCCAATAAATACAACAAATCACTTTTCTTTTGCAATATTCATGTACTGCTAAACAATAAAGAGCTCCAATATCGGATAAAAGAATAGCAACTAATCCTGTTACCACAAACGGATTGAAACTTCTTTTAATAATAGGAACCAAGGTTTCATACATTTCAATAATAATTTGTAGTACATGCGTTGCCATGTTGATAACGATTAAAGTTGATGTGAATTTGTTACACTTTGTAAGATTTTCGCAGGTTTCCCAATAAAGATTTAAAACTTTTCGTAAATTAAAATTTCGGTTACGAATCGTTTTAGGGTATTTCGTCAAATGGTTATTGATCGCATCTATTAAACAACCATACAAAGCCATACCACAAGAAATATGGATCATTGCGGCCGTTGGAATACAATAATAAAGGGTATAAGCTAAAACGTTGAGAGGTGCTTCAAAAACGTTTTCGACCGTTATCAAAACATATCCACTTCCCAAAATAAAAATTATTATCAAAACAACCACAATCAATTGAATCGTTTTTTGTAACTTTTTCAAACAAATTTTTATTCCAACTTTAACCAATTTTCTTTTATTTTCTTCAATAGTGTTGAATAATTTTACATACTTTTCTTTCAATATGATGTTATCAACAATTATATAAACAAATTGGCCGATTGAAGCAAACGTGTAAATTCCCGTTCCTATGTAAGCCAAATCTGAAACATTTTTCATAATCGCAACGAAAATTAATGAATAGTAACACCTCGAAATAAGCAGTATTGCTTGTAACGGAACAAAACATAAATTGTAGATAATCGAGGATGATTTAAATTTATTTATTCGTTTATCAAAATAAAAGGATAATAAACCAAGATATCGTGAAACGTGGAAAATGGGTAATATCACTGAGAATATTGGAGCAGTCATTGTTAAATACGACATAGAAATAGGTTAAGTAATGTATAGATTTCTAGGTGTTGTTAAAAATGTATTGGGTGATGATTATAGATCTAACACTGTTTTGCAATTAATGGAATTTGGTTTTGAATTATTAATTAATTAAAATTGGTGCGTTAATTTACTTGGAATTCAAAACAGTAAAAAAAATTAAATAACTTTATTCCTATTTCTTCTTTCGAAAATGTTTTTTGGGTGATTAGGAGAAAGATGGAGAGACAAAGTGACCTGGGATATTCAAAATACTCTCGGGATCATCACTGCTTGATTCAACATCTACATCATGGGTTCTTTACTTTTGATCTATTAATTTATGATTTTTTCTTTAAAATAATTTTTTCTATCCACTTAAAGAATTTCGGTAATAGAGTTTAGATAAAAAAGTGAAGGCCAAATAAAAGATAACTGATTGTATACACAAATTGACGTAGTTGCATTAACAAAAAAATATTTAAAATATAATAGTACAATGATACACAAATATATTTATTAAAAAAAATGTAAACACTGCATCATCTCTTGAAAATTTAATTGTTTTTGTTATCAGACTAATAGGAATTTGGTTGATTTTGATTTAAAAAATTACTATTGTGTTAAAAAATACTTGACCCTTAATGTTATTGATGACATTAGATGATTACACTATGTTTTCATCAGCACATTTTTAATATTTAGTCGCAAATACTATAATACATGTAGAACACGACTTTGAGCAAAATGCTTTTAGAGTATTTAACAAATTTTTTCAATAAAAGATAATATTTTGATACTAGAAAATACCCGATTGTTTTTATATAAAACAAATAGTCATTTTAAATAATTACAAAGTAATTATATTATCTGATAAGTGATTTTTTCTCTCGTTGAATAACCGAGAGTGTAGTTGATAACTATATAAATCAAAACGTTTCAAATTAATATTTATTTGGTGTTTATGTTTCATAAAGTACACCAAAATGAAAATTAATTTAGAAAATACCAGATACATGCAGTATGCAGCTTCAGTTGCAGGTAAAATAAATAAATAATTCAATTTAATTTAATAAATAAAATTTTAGCCGCTTTGTGTTCAATTTCAATTGGAATGATGACTGCTTGGCCATCACCAACATTACCTAAATTACAAGGGGAAGATTCCCCCATTGGAGATCCAATAACAGATGTAAGAATCAATTTAAAAAATTTTAATTTCATTAAATTAAATTAATTCATTTTTAGGAACAAGGTTCTTGGATGGTAGCAATAATGTATCTCACAGCACCTGCATCATTTATAACTGGTTGGGCTGTGGACCACATTGGTCGTAAAAAAACTCTTCTCTTTACAAGTTGTATTAGCCTCATAGCTTGGTTATTGATAATGTTTTCAAACTCCATATTAATGTTAATTATTGCAAGAGCAGTAGCTGGGATCGCGATGAGTTGTTATATACCATCGGTGGTTATCTATACAGCCGAAGTTTCTGAGGAAGATATAAGAGGAAGAACTGGGACGTATATGATGTTATTCAAAACGCTAGGAACGATTTTTGTTTTAAGTATTGGTCCCTACGTTTCTTATTTAACCCTAGCAATAATTTGTGGTTGCATACCATTAATATCATTTTGCACATTTTATTTTATGCCTGAAACTCCATTTTATTACGTAAAAAATGGAAATAAAGAGGAAGCCACAAAAAGTTTATTGATGTTGTCGAAGAAGAATGTTACGGAGAAATTCTTACAAGATCGCTTGTTGTATATCGAACGAACAATCGAAGAGGATATGAAAAATAAAGGAAGTTTAAAAGAATTGTTAACGAAAAAAGAATATCGATTCACGATTTTTTTGTTATTTGGAGTTAAATCGTTACAACAATTTAATGGTAACACTGCATTGGAGGCTTATATCCAACCAATCATTGAGTCTTCTAACAGCGGAATCGAACCAGAAATTGCCAGCATTATTATTGGATGTATCCAACTTCCTGCTGTTTATTTATCGGGGATTTTAGTGGATAAATTAGGAAGAAAACCGTTACTTTTAACATCAACAATCGGTTGTAGCATAGCTTTATTTGGGGAAGGAACCTATTTTTTAATTAAAGACTACCTAGAAAAAAGTACATCTGACATCGGATGGTTACCCACCACAGGATTAGCACTTTTTTGGATTTGTAATCCAATTGGGATGATGACTTTACCATACGTTTTACTCGGCGAACTTTTCCCTACCAACATTAAAGGAGTCGCCGTCGGATTGGCCACTTTTTACGGCGGCGCCACTTCGTTCTTGGTTTCGAAATTTTTTAAACCGCTCAGCAACGCCATTGGAATTTATAGCGTTTTTTATATATTTTGCGGAATTTGCATAGCCGGGACACTATTCGTTTTTATATTTTTACCGGAGACAAAAGGAAAAAATTTCCAGGAAATCCAAGAAATCATTCATAAGAAAAAAAATGGAATGAAAAATTCCAACAAAGATCAGAATCTCAGTTAATAATACAACAAAACCTCAATACAACGGATTAATACGGAGAAGGGAGCGTTCGTTATACGAACAATTTTTAATTTGTACTTTAAAATATTTGAATGAATTAATAAGCCGCATGTCTCTAAAGACGGCTAAACCTGAACAATTCTAGTTTTAGGTATAGTGTTAGTTCTACACTTGCACTAAAACTAGAAATATTTGGGTTGGGGAATAACTCGAGTTGAATTCTATCTATGATTGCTAACATTTATATTTAAGTATACTAATAGTAAATGGATAATATTAATAAGTATGAATTAAAAATATTTTGTCAGTTATATCCGAAATCTGTTATATCAAAGTTTTACTGTATTTATATAAAAAGTTTTTAGTTTTATAAAAACTTTTATCTACATTTAAGTGTAAACGAAATATTTAATATAAGATTTTACGAAAAAGTATCAATTTTTATTTCTTTCCTAACCCAACTTAAAATCAAAATAATTAAGTAAAATAATTACCGAAGAGTTGTGGGTTTTTATAGTTAATTAACTTCAAGATGTAATTATCGTACCCGACGTTATCATTGAAAGTATGCAACCAATATCACAGTGTATGCAGTATGCAATATTGGTTGCATACTTTCGATGATTACATCGCGTACGATAATTAACACATTGTACTTAGTTTACATTTAGTTAAAAACAGTGATTTTAAAATACATACCATTATGGAATTGAATAATTTTATCCAAACAACATACAAATATCTTGTATCCATACAGTTTTATTCTCCTTCTGAAAAACATTAAAATATTTTAAATATAAATTTTTAAACAATGACTTTCCAAAACGAAAATAATTCTAAAATATAAATGTTAAGCATCATTGAAAATCATGAAAGGAAAAGGATATCACATGAACCCTTTTTGTCTGAAACTTTTTATTGAATTTTAAACCATTTATATATTTCTTAGAAATACATACAGAAATTTAAATTCTAAGTTTACGGTTACGTCAGCAAATATATTTTTTGCCTATATATATTTATATGTAAACATCAATAGCCCTTTTAAGATTTTAGTTAATAAAGGCTACAAACATTTTTTAACGTAAAGTGCTGAATTTTTAATTTGAGAAAACATTAACTAAAAGATTCTAAATATTTTCTGACTATCAGCATCTTAATTCATAACCTAATCACAAAAAATCGTAAATTACCTTTTATTAATCATTTTAAACTTTCAATCATCATCGTCGTCGTCGTCCTCCGAAACATATTTTTTCGCGGTTCTTTTCCTTCTACCGGAAGAACCCCCGCCGCTTTTCCTCCCTTTAAGTTTGATCTTCATTTTAACCGTTGAATCGGTGTCTGATTTATTATCATCATCGTCCGAATCCAACATTTGTCCTGTTCCTGACATTCCAGCACCCATCCCAGCCATGCCACCCGAATTTGATGACGAAGATGAAGAATCGTTCTCGATGCGCTGTTTAGCATTGGTGAAAACCGACTGTAACACGATACTATCTTCATGTATTAATGAGGCTTCTTCGTTATAAATCTGAGCGTTTTGACATAAAAGCATGAAATCGCGTTCTAAGTCCGTCATATCCGTGTACTAAAAAAAAACTATAAATTAATTTTATTTCTTATTAAAGTAATTATTTATTACCTTTCCTTCATCGATTCTATTAACAATCTTCGTCATATCGATCGGTTTTTTAATAATATCGTAATAATCGGGATAATCTTTCTTAGGTGGCAATTTCATAAATGGCTCACTCAACAATCTACCATCACTATCAGTATATTTCAACACAATATTCATCAATTTATTCATTTGCCGCTTCAATTTCGCATCAACACCATTTCCACCCCCACCACGGCGCCTTTTATTACTAGAACTAATTGGAACGACGACATCTTCATCGGAATCGTCTCGTTTTCGTTTCTTCCTACCACGTTTCTTTTTCTTTTGTTCCTCTTCTTCATCTTCGTCGTCATAATCGCCAGTTTCATCGATCGCTTTCAACCATTCCTTTTCGGTTAAACTATCTGTGTAATCTACTTCTTTGCGTTGACGCGTTCCTCGCCCCAAAAAGTTTTCTTCGCTCGCGTTTGTTGATGGGTCGTCGTATTTCCAACTTGTTTCGACTTCATCATCTTCTTTAACTAACCAATCAGGTAATTCAGATTCTTCGATTAAACGGGATTTTCGCGCAGAACCTAACCGAGCGTCTTCTCGACGACGTTCTAAATCCATTTTTTGGAATAATTCAAATTCAGCTTCGCTTCTCGCAACCATTTGATTTACAGTTTCATCGTCGGGAACTTCATTCTCTTCCTTAAATAGAGAGGTTAAAAAGAAAATTATTATTAATTACTTTATCTTATTATTTTTAAGATATACCTCTTCATCGTCTCCATCTTGATGTAAAATACTTTGAAGGAATTGTTGTCGTTCTGAACCGGTAGACTTTTGATCGAACATACCGGCTTGAATAACCTTTTCGTCCATATTTAATTTATATCGGGCTGCCGCTAAAATTCGTTCCTCAACTGAATTTACGGTCATTAAACGTAAAACACGCACTTCGTTTTGTTGGCCGATTCTATGGGCTCGATCTTGAGCTTGGAGATCCTAAGGAAATAAAAAAGGTATTTTTATTCGAATTGTTATAGAAAATAATAAGTAATATTGAATAACCTGATGTGGGTTCCAATCTGAATCGAATATAACAACAGTATCGGCACTTTGCAAGTTTAAACCCAAACCGCCGGCTCTAGTACTAAGCAAAAAAATGAAATATTCGCTATTTTTCATGTTAAACTTTTTTAATAAATCCCCACGGTCTTCCGCTTTCGTTGTTCCATCCAATCTTAAGTATCCGAAAGCACGCCAATTCAAATAATCCTCCATGATGGTCATTAATTGCGTCATCTGACAGAACAGCAGTACGCGATGGTTAGTAGCTTTTAATTTGGGTAAAATGCGATCTAATAATTCGAATTTTCCACTCGCGCGATAAATATCTGGACCGGAAATGACACCCCCCGCCAGACCTAAATGGTCGCAGTATTTTTCTTCGATGTTTTGAAACATAAACGGATGATTACAGAGTTTTCGTAATTGTACGATGGTGTTCATTAACGCTTTTGCACCTCCTTTACCTTTGTTACCTTAAAATTAAAAATAATCGATTAGATTTATTGAAAATAAACATAATTAAAACAAAAATTACCTTTTTCTGATCCATCTGTCAATAAAACTCCTTTACTTTGCATATGTTTATACAAAACTCTTTGTAAACCTGACATATCACATTTGATAATATACTCTACTTTATCCGGCAATTGCGATTCGACCTCTTTCTTTAATCGCCTCAACAAAAACGGTCTCAACACTTTATGCAATCTCCTAATAATCAAAATCGTTTCTTCTTCGTTCAACTCGACTTTTTCACCCGTTGTTGCAAATGGGGCGTTAAACCATTGCTCGAACGTCGAACAACTTTTAAAAATAGACGGTAAAAGAAAGTTTAATAACGCCCATAATTCTGGTAATTTATTTTGCAACGGCGTTCCAGTTAACAATAAACGATGTGGAGCCAAATAATGGGTATTTAATACTTGGGTTAATTTACAATGGTGGTTTTTCATACGATGACCTTCATCAATTATCATATACTTCCATTGGAGTTTTGCTAATACACCTTTATCTTTAATAACATATTCATAGGTGGTTAATAAAACGTTGAATTTAGTCGAGCGCATTTGAGATTGTATTGCTCTACGTCCAGCAGGTGAACCTTTATAAGAGACAACAACGACGGATGGAGACCATTTTTCGAATTCTAATACCCAATTTGAAAGGGTTCTGAAATGAATAATAAATTATATCAACACGAATACATATGTACATAAAAATACACTTACGATAGTGGGACAATGATCAAAAACGGCCCATTAACCTTTTTCTTTTCCATTAAATACGTAATTAACGCAATCGTTTGGATAGTTTTCCCCAAACCCATCTCGTCGGCCAATATTCCATTTAAATTATTATTGTATAACGAAACTAACCATTCTAAACCTTTCGTTTGGTACTCTTTTAATTTTCCGTTAACCATAATCGATGCTTGTTCCGTGACAATTTCATGAACAGTATGGGCAATGCTGTAATATGTTTGTTCTTCATTTGCGTTTTTGTGATATTCATCATCTTCAACTTTAGCCTTTTTAATAACAGTTTTCGTTTTATCTTCCTCCGGGACGTGTTTTTTCACTTTGTGGAGGGCGGATTCGGAATTTTCTCCGTTTTCATCGTCATCTTCGTCTTCCTCATCACTTTCAACAACTTCCCATCCAGGATTTTGGTCTAAGAAAGTTTGCAATTGGCTAAGATTCGGGGCTTCATCACCGGTAATAATTTTTCCAGTCGAAGTTTCCATTAAAGTCAACTTTTTATTCAAATCTAATGAGTTTTGTAGATTCTCCAACGTTCTCTTTTTCTTCTTTCGTTTTTCTTCTTCTTGTTGTTTCCGTTTTTGTTCCATTTTATGTTGCTTAACCATTTCAGTTAAATTCGAAATGTATTCGTCGGTTTGCGACAACAAAAACGCTAATCTTTTATCCTTTTTCTGATCAATCAACTTCCGATATCCTTCTTCATCTTCAGCCATTAACCGCCTCATTCTCTCTTTCTCGATTCTTTCTTGTTCTTTTTTCTGCTCTCTTTCAGCATTCAAATGATAATTCATAACCGATTTATTTAAACGAACCATTTTGGCTTGATTATTACGATGAAATTCTTTGAAATCTTTACCGTGTTGTAAAACGCTTGTCAAAAATTCTTGATGTTTTTGTCGTCTCTTTCGCTCCGCTTCCAATTTTTGTTGTTTTTCTAATTTTTCAGTAGCTCGAGCTTCTCTTAAACCTTGTCGTTTGGTTCGTTTATAAGCTTTTATATTAACTGCAGTTTCTAAAGTGGTATCTTTACGCGTACACGCGATTATTTCGCTACGCAATTGACGTTGAAAATTTAAACAACGCAAAGCACGTAATTCGATTTGAGCTTGAATACGTAAATCATCCGGCATATTTGTTGGAAGATTGTTGAGTTGATCGATTCGAGCGGCTATTCGAGATGCAACCCTATCCAAATATTGAAATTAGAAAAATTTTCTTTAAAATTTATTTAAAACCATATTTTTGTGGAATTCTTACCGATTTTCACGTTCTTGTAAAATAATTAATGGATCTATCCCACATGGTTTTGAAATCGTAGTGACACGATTCTGCTTTCCTGGTGGCGCCTGTTGGGATTGATTTTGAGGCTGTCCGGGTTGCGCAGGTGGCTGAGCGGCTTGTTGTGGATGTCCAGGAGGACCCGCTTGACCTGGAGGACCAGGACGAACACCTTGACCAGTTCCTGCTTGATTTGGCTTCGAAAAAAATATAACTTTTCATTAGAAATATTGTTAAAATTTGCGAATTATAGCAGCGAAGTTATATTTTGCTCTTAATTTAAATAAAAACTCATGCTCTTTGCTTTTATAGTCCGTCCCCACTTCAATTCTTCAATTACCTGTAGTCCTTGGCCACCTTGACTTTGCTGATGGTGTTGCGGTCCCATGCTTGGACCTCCTGGTTGCCCCATTTGAGGCGGACCTTGAGGGGGTCCTTGAAGAGTTTGAAGGTTTTGCCCACTTTGAATTTGGGTTTGTATTCCACCACCTTGGGGGCCCACTTGAGGCATACTTTGAGGAGGACCTTGAGTACTTTGAGAATTTTGCGAATTGGGAAGACCGGGAGACTGTTGAGGTCCTCCCGGCGGTCCCTGCGCACCTTGTGGGGGAATTCCGCCTGGAGGAAGACCTTGAGGAGCCCCTGATAACCGCTGAGGAGTTCCGGGAAGTCCTTGAGGACCACCTGGTAGTCCTTGAGGAGCACCTGGTAAACCTTGAGGACCTCCCGGTAACCCTTGACCGCCTTGTGGACCATCTGGAAGACCCAAAGGACCTCCAGGAAGACCTTGCGGCCCACCAGGAAGACCTTGCGGCCCACCAGATAAACCTGGCGGTCCACCTGGGAGCCCTTGTGGAGCTCCAGAAGGTCCACCAGGGGGTCCTTGAGAAGCAGTTACATTCGGTGGCCCCCCTGGATGTCCTTGATGATGAATAGGAGGACCTTGGGGGTGACTTCCTGGGTGTCCAGAACCTGGTGGTGGCCCATGATGCGGACCAGCATGGCTTCCTGGATGATTCGTAGGTCCTTGCATTCCTCCGGGGTGCCCACCAGGTCCTTGATGAGGTACTCCATGATTAGGTGGGCCTTGATGAGGACCTGGATGAGCCCCAGGATGACTTCCGGGATGACCTCCAGGATGACTTGGTGGCCCTCCGGGGTGGCTTCCTTGCCCAGGATGACCTCCTTGATGACTTTGATGACTCCCAGGATGATTAGGAGGTCCCGGATGATTTCCAGGTCCTGGGTGATTTCCTGGATGTACGGAAGGACCTTGATGCGGCGGTCCCTGGTGCCCCAAAGATCCAGGCGGTCCACCGGGAGGTCCTCCAGGAGGCCCAGGAGGACCTGGAGGCCCCGGTGGACGCATTTGCGGCGGAACGGAGTTGTCAGGAGAGGATGAATCCCCACTATCACCGCCTCCCGGAGGCCCAGAACCCTACGATTTTTCATGTTTTTGGCTTGTTGTGGCAATTATCACAAATTTATTTATCATTTTATCTTGTTTGTCTATGTTACATTAAGGTTTTACAATATAATTATTAAAAGCTATCTAAAAAAAATTAAAAAAACAAACAAAAACTGCAAATAATAATCATGCGATAAGAAAAAATCTTTAATAGTTATTCATAGTATAAGTGTGTTAGAAGGCGAATACGAATTGCACAGTGTGAGTGTCGTTGCCTCATGACCACTCGTTAAGTGCCATATAAAATCTTACCCAAAAAATTATTACAAAACAAAATTAAAATAATTAATCAAATAAATTAACTACTTAATTCTAACTACTCCTATTAAAATAAGATAATCATTATTTATTACTATAGAAAAAAAAATAAATAGAGAACAAAGAGTTCAAGACGCAAAAAGCAAAGAGCATGAGCAAAAAAACAACACCAAATTCAACACCAAATTAAATCAAAACGAACCAAAAAATAATTTCTAATTCTTACAAAGAAAAAATATCAAAAAGTTCTACAGAATTCTACTTTTTCTACTTTATGTCCAAATATATTTTTTAATAGAGGGTTAAAAATACGTTTTTGAAACTTACCTGTGCTGGTTGTGGTCCACCGGAATTGGGCTGAAATGGACTACTTGGTGGTGTTGGGCACTGAGGAGTTCCATCCGGTCTTTTCCCTTGGACAGCCATTACCAATTGTTGATTTATGGGTTGATTTCGCGCCAACATTCGATAAGCCATTATTTGAGCCCTAATCAAAAATTTATTTAGATTACCTTTCTAAATTAACCAACTTTTTTAACCAACCTTAACTGCCCCATTTGGCCACTATTAAATACTGAATTTCCATTCGATCTCGCCCTTAACGCCAGTAATTGCGAATATCTTGGATCTTCTTGCATCCCCTTTTCTTCCATTGAATCAATAGCTCTTTGTAACGCGTTCAAGTTTTCTTGTTGCCCCTGAGGAGGCAATTGTTGTTGTCCGGAAGGTGGCGGACCTCCAGGAGGGCCAGGTGGCCCTTGAGGTCCCGGTGAAGATGAAGGATTCTAATTATTAAACAAAAAAATAAATAAATTTGAGTGACTCAAAAAAAATCCCAAGTCATTTCATTAATAAAATTAATCACCATTTAAATTTTAAACAGAAGCAATTTGTTACAGCCGGTTATTTTTTCCTTACTTAATTCTATTTAAATCTTGTGTAAAAAACCGTAAACAATCGATTACAATTTCAACGTTTTTAAATCGCGAAAAAACCCGCCACCCAAATTTTTTTCTTGAGTCACCCGACAATTTCTTAACTGTTTAAAAACCGATTTAAAAAAAACCGAAAATGTCTTAACAAACTAATTTAAATCGTTTAATTAATTTAAAACTTGCGTTAGAAAGTGGCTGAGCCACTCAAGGTTAATTTAAAAGGTAAACGAAGGCTTCAAAACCGAGATTATTATAAAACCGACGAGTCTTTGTCACTTTAGAATCAGTTCCATTTAAATTTTCAAAGATTCAACTCGACCGATAAAAAATGAGTCAAGAAAAAATTTTCGAATACTTCAAAGTGGCAGTTGAGCTCGTTAAAGAAGCGGGAAAGGTTAAAATAGACTGATTTTTAGAAAAAAAAAATTTTTAATTGTTATTTATTTTAAAGATTGTAAAAGAAGCAAAAAATTTTGAAGTCGAGAGGAAAGAAGAAGTTTGGGATTTGGTTACCGTTTATGATAAAAAAGTGGAAGATATTTTGATTGAAAAATTAAAGGGAAAATATCCAGACCACGAGTAAGATTAGAAATGTTTAAACTATATTTTTTGAAACAATCCAAGGTTTTACACTTTTACATAGTGCTTTATTTATTCAAGTATGTTAATGAAGTTTTGCATTTTTGAGAGTTAAGAAATGTTTTATAACCCGAGATAAAATTCATTTTATAACAATAATGATGAAAATTGTTTAAAAAGATAAGAGTTTTTTAAATTTTAATGCAAACAATGATTGCATTAAAATTTAAAAAAAAATTGTCTGGATCTATTTTTAAAAGGTTAAAATTTAGTTTAAAATTATTTTTTTACTAGATTAATAAGGAATTTTGATAATTATCGTGATAAATACAAACAGGTTTTCTGTTTTAATGTTTTGAGTTTCAAAACAAATATTTGAAGGACTCATTTACGCTCATTTAGTAATGGAACATTAATTCTTGAAGTACTTATATTGAATGAAATCAAAGATCCATTCAAAGACAGTGTTGGGTTCTGATGGATGTAGCCGTTAAGTTTTAAGCCGTCAACCCAATTAATCGGTCGAGCAAGTTGGAAGCGAGTCAATTAACAGTCAAACATAATGTGACATTGAAACCTAATGAAAATTGGAATATTTTCTTAACAATATTGTCATACATTTTGTAATTTTTAGTTTTATTGGTGAAGAAGAAACCTACGATAAAGGTCATTTGGCCGAATTAACCGATAAACCAACATGGATCATCGATCCCATAGACGGGACAGCAAATTTTGTTCGAAAATTGCCGATGAGTTGTATCTCGGTCGGATTAACCATTCAAAAAGACCTCGTTTTGGGAATTGTTTTGAATCCGTTTTTAGATCAACTATTTACCGCGATTAAAGGAAATGGGGCTTATTTGAATGAGAAACGAATTTTTACGCGCAAAGTAAACAGTAAGTTTCTTAACGTATTATTTTAAAATGTTGGTTTCAAACCGACCAATAACTTAATAAAAGTAATGAAATAATTTCTGATTTTAGGAATCGAACAAACCAACTATAATTACGAATTGAGTTTGGCAAGAGCTGAAAAATATCGAGATTTATATCTTTATAGACTTTCGAAGATCATAGCGAAAGCTGAAGGGTACAAACACAACTTAATATATAATCATTTTAGTTATCATTAAATCTTTTCAATTAATTTTTTTAAGGATAAGATCACTTGGTTCGGCAGCTTTAGGGCTTTGTTATGTGGCTTGTGGTCAAACAGACGTCTATCAATGCGATGGATTATCACCATGGGACGCTGCTGCAGGAGTTGTAATTGTTAGAGAAGCGGGAGGATTCGTTTGCGATACCAGCGGTGAGAAATTACCAAAAACATAAAAATGGATATTATTTTATCAATTTCTTTGTAGAACAACGTCTTGGTTTGGAATTTGATGTAATGAAACCAAATTTTATGGCAGCGCCAAACGAAAACGTTGCTAAGGAGTACCTGAAATTATTAAAAGAGGCCGATGAAGAGCGGATTTCAAAACAAAAATAATTAATTTTTTTGTTAATTATTAAAATTGAAGAATAAATTCAGAGAAATTAAATTAAAAAAAAACATAAAGCTTTAATTAACCTGTGGTCCTTGTTGTGGATGCATTCCATGGGGAGGTGGCGGCGGTGGATATCCTTGTCCTTGTCCCCCAACAACCCCATGTCCATGAGGCGGCATTGGTCCCTGCGGTGGTGGCCCCCCAGGTCCTTGTCCCATATGCTGCCCTCCGCCTCCAGGCGGCATCCCCGGCATTCCAGGATGTCCACCAGGGGGTCCTTGAGGATGTGGTTGCATTGGTGGCGGGCCACCCGGAGGTCCTCCAGGTCCCCCAGGAGGACCTCCCATGTGCCCTTGAGGTGGTGGACCACCAGGAGGTAAAACTTGATGACCTGGTGGTCCAGGAGGCCCATGTGGAGACATGGATGGATGAGGAGGTTGAGGTGCCATGTGCGGAGGTGGCCCAGGTGGACCTGTTAAGTGACTTGGGGGACCTCCAACGGGTGGAATTGGACCCATTGGAGGTCCAGAAGGTCCCATATTATGAGGCGGAGGCTGTTGGTAAGGACTGTGAGGGGATGGGGAGGGTGCGGGACTTTGAGATGGAGGTCCCATTGGGCTCGGTGCCTGTGGTGGAGGCATCGGGCTGCTTTGCGGCGATGGACTAGCCATTTTACTAGAAATAATATTTGTTCCGTAAGTTTAATTATCACCATATATTTTTAATTTAGCTAATAAGCTTATTCTAATGCAAAAAAGGAATATAAACTCTTTATAATTCTTCATCGGACATGTTACCTACCAATAATCACTCATTTCTTGTATTTGGAAGATTTAAAAAGGACTACTTAGGTGTAGGATAGGTCATTTCTTCATTAACTTATATATATATATATACACAAATATCATGCTTTATATACTTTGTATAAGCCAGAATTCAAGAAAATATTAAGAATCGTTGCAATCATAAGAAATCAGTTAGAGGGCGTTGATGAATGCTTGGGTATTCACATTTTTTATGGAATTATAGAGAATATAAATCATGGGAAAAACCTAAAAATAAAATTTTAATAAATAATTAAACAGAGAATCACAAAAAATTATTATAATTATTAATAACTGGTTAAAAAACCTGAAAAAGTTAAAAACTAAAACATGGGTTACAAAACATGTCGATTACCGGTTGAGGGTTTCCACTCACTTCTTAACCTCTAATAAATAACTTACCTTTTCTTCTTTTTCCCCGTTATTTTTAATCGGTCTTCGTACACTCGTTTAGAATACAAAACACGTTCAAACGTGAACTTAACTCGAAAAATTTATCAATAGCATTGATAAATCTAAACAACAAAACAACTCAGTGGCCATTTTGATACCATTCCTTCCTTTACGTCAAATTGTAGCACAAATAATTATTAGATCAAATGACTTTAGATCGTGAATTATTTCTAATTGGTTTAACAATAAATTTATTTTCACTACCTAAAATTACCTAATTTAATTTTAATTTTTAATAAAAGAAAATAATTAAATCGGATGTTTTGAGTAATTAGTACTTTTGAATGACTTTATTATTAATTCATTGAATTGCAGAGTAAGATAAAAATATTTTGATCGTATCATCTCTTTTCCTTCTTTACTTTTATTGACTATATAAAACCATCTTTGTTGTATGCAACGCGATAAACTTATAAACTATCAAGTGCAATAACGTCAAACGATAAACGTCAAAAATTGCACGTTATGATCGTTTATTTACAAAAAAAACTCAAAATTATTACTTAAATTAATGGCTTTTCCCCAACCGAATGCCCAAAGAGGTAAATTCGACTCAAATCATTCTAAAAACTCCCAAAAACCGAATATAACCTTAAAACAACAGAACCTAACCTAAAATTTTTTTTGACAAATTTCATTTTTAACATTTTCAGACTTAGCAAGTAGAAAAGTACTCGAAGAACTTCAATTAAAGAAACAAATCCTGTTAAAACAAGGTGTAGCTTCAACCTTAACCTCACAGTTACCACTTTTAGGGTCTCCGAATGTTGGTCCAGCAACTCCACAAACCGATCAACAACACTCGATGAATTCTGCACAGCGAGGTGCTTTACAAACGGCAAACGCGCAATCGACTGGTTATTTTATTTCGCAGGATTCATCGTTTGGTAATTTAATACTTCCTGTGTTGCCACGATTTGAAAATAATTCAAAATAATTACCGTGATGTATCCGTGTTTAAAATTAAAGTATTTAGAAGGGATTTTGGGTCAAATTGATGGTTTTGAAAGACCCAAAGTTGGTTTGGAGCAATATGTGACTCCTTCGCATTTAGCTTCTCACATGTTATATATGATTCAGGTGAATATTCAAATATTATTATTTAAAAATTATTAAAAAACGTTTTTTTTTAATTTTTAGAGTCAGTATGATGAAATAACTGATAAAATCATTGGTGATTTTGGTTCTGGATGTGGAGCTTTAACAATTGGAGCATCTACTTTAAAAGCTTCTTACGTAATTGGATTTGAGGTTGATCAAGAAGCGATAGATATTGCTTTGTGTAATTTAGATGATTTAGATGTAAATACCATTGATTTTATCAATTGTGATGTAAGAAATATTTCAAAACGGTGATTAAAAAAATAATTTGTTAGGAATTTATTATATTGACGTTAATTTGTAGATTTTCAAAGTTTTTTGATACAATTATAATGAATCCCCCATTTGGTACTAAAAATAATCAAGGAATGGATGTATTGTTTTTAGAAAAAGCTTTTGAAATGGCTAAAAGTAGCGTTTATTCACTTCATAAAACATCAACAAGGTTTTATTAGTATATATTTAATTTTGTAGTAATAATTAGTTTTGTTATAGAGAATTTATTTTAAAAACGGCGAAATTAAATGGTGTCAAAGCGGAAGTGTTGGCTGAATTAAAGTATGATCTTCCAGCGACGTTGAAGTTTCATCGGAAAAAGACGGTCGATGTTGAGGTGGATTTTATACGCTTTACAATGGTTTAAATGTTTAATGATTAATTAATTGAAGTATTAGTTTTAATAAATTTTTATTAATTTATATTTTGATTTTTGATTTAGTTGTAATTCTTAACTAATTGAAAAAATAATAGAAAATTTTGACAATAATTATTAAAACAGCAATGAAAATTTGTTGCAACATTGAACCAGTTTGTAAGCGTGAAAGAATCGCATTACAAAACAGAAATATGCCGTAGAAATAGAGAAATAAATCCTTAAAAAATTCATTACATAAGACGCCCGAAATTTCGCCAGAAAAACATAAATATCCGTTTAAAAATTCGTTTTTAATTCTTTTAAAAAGTCGTTTTCGAAGGACGCTTTGTGAAGAAAGCGTCTTAAAAAAGTTTCAAAAAAATTAAACAATTTTTTTGTCCTTTAAGAAAGGGTCCGCTTAATTATTAGCGGAAAAGAAACTGTTCTTTTTGTTTAAATACCATTGAAACGGTTAAATACCTTTGTGTTGAAGGCCAGTCATTGATCTCGGAAAGTTAATTGCAGCGGGACTCATTAGATAAAAGTACCGGCGGTGGTTAGTTATTAATTTTAAATTGTTATTTTCAAGATTGAGAAATTAATTTTTCAAATCTTACAATTTTTTTTTAAAAACATCAATAATAATATCTCAAAAGTAAACAATTTAAATTATCCTTCGACATTTCCGTTGCTAATTAGTTATATCATCACTTTTTTTTCTAGAAATTCCTTGAAATATCTAGACTTTTCAAGACATAAGCTTCTTTTTTTGCTTTAACTTGACATTTTTACAATATTCAAGGTCCCGTTATTATGTAACTGAAGTGTGCATAACGTGTATAATTAAAGATAACCATCGAGGAGTCGTCAGTAATGTTTGATGAATAAGAAGGTAAATAATTTTTACCTTTACAACAAAGGTGAACCTTATTGTTTTATGTGAACACAGAATAATTAATTATTATTTTGAAAATTATATTAATTTTACTAATGTAGATCAAGTCAATAATTTAATTTTAGTATTCCACTTTAATTATAGAAGATAAATCGACTCAGAAAGATTGCCAAGATAATGAGAAATATGACACAGCGAAGCCTTGATTTCAGTTTGTAGCCGAGGTCGCTTGCGGGCGAGGCGTTACTCACAAGATTTTTAAAGATGAAATGTGGTCGAAATAACGATTATAACTTGATTATTACAATTGATGGGGATAATGCATCACGAGCTTGTTATACAAATAGAACTAAACGGCTAAACCCGAATGATTGTAGTTCTTGGTCTAGCGCTGCATAAGAATTAAAACTAGAACTAACACTAGACCGAGAACTAGAAACATTTCTAGTTTTAGTTCCATAAAAATATGCAACCTCTGAGGGACACCACGTTTGATTTTTATGTTGGATGATCATATTTCAGTATAATTTTGGGAATTCCTGATTAAGTGTTTTTAGACATGTTTGCTTGCCTAGTCTGAAAGAGTTAAGCGTTATATGCAATGTTCAAGCAGAAATTAATACTTTAAATTTGTAATAAAATTTATTTTTAATTCGTACTGAAAGAACAATTTCAAAATTTTTTTAATCATCTGAAGATAATTTTTTTAATTGTACGAAAATTAGGTTACAATTACCAAACGAATCCTTGAATAAAAACCACGTATTATAAAATATCTAACACACTTCGGCCCGCATTCCGAATATAAAACAGGTAAAACTTTGCAAAATCGACGCATTTTACATATTTGCACAAGAGAATTTACGTCATAAAAACCAAATACAAGAACACATTTTTATCTCTTTGTTGGTTTCATTCGACGACCTTCCACGAAAACAGTCAAAACTTAAAACGGCCTTTCAAGGTAAATTCGTCGAATACTCGGAAGTAAAGATACACAACCGGAAGCGTTTTTAAAGTGTTTTATTTTTGCGATGAAAAATTCGAAGAAGTTGGCTGACTCACGTTTTTTAAATGACCTTTAAAACTGATTCCGGACTTCCTGAAAGCGATTGAATTTTAAAAATAAAAGACCCGTAGTAAAACCGGAGCAAGGTTACTCTTGGCATTGAAATTAAAAGTGATCGTTTTATAAAGCGATTTAAATTACATTTTGGAGGAGTTTTCTTATACTTTATTATGTGCTAGAGTGCACTTTTTATACAGTTTTTTTTTTCGTTAATGAGATCAAGTTCGAATTTGATTATTAAAAAGATTAAAACTAGGTTATTTATGTGAAGTAATTTTTTTAAGATCTTCCAAAAACTTTTATAAATCACCTCGACTTTAATCACGAGTGTTAAGTAACGATATCTTAAATTAAAGAAAAATCCTTCGATTTTAATGACACATAAATTTTTTATTTAAAAACAACTTGGTACCACTTCAAAAAATTTTTTAACCTAATTTAAAAAAAAACAACCCGAACAACTCCACATTGTATTCCGCTCTAAAAGAGCGAAAGCTAAATCTTGGAGCGACTTTTAAGTTTTCATTTTATAGACCGTCTTCAACATCTTAAGACGTTCTAAGAGTTCTCGCTTAATTATTTTTTTTGATGCAAATCATCTAAACAGTGTTTCTTTCCATCGGTTTCGTGTTAAGATTTGCTAGAACCGTTTTCTTCCGTTTTGAAAACGGAACGACCTCGACACATCGAGGTTACAACTTACCTATATAAAACTCGACGGTCAAACGGTTTTGTGATCAATCCCGGTGCTTAACTCGCTTAAAAACGGTGCTAAAATCACTTTGTTACAATTAGTAAAGTGGTTTGTGGTGTTTCAAGTTCTTCTTCATTTTATTATTTAAAATTCAACATGAAAATTGTAAGTTTTAAATTTTAAACTGAATTGGATTCAAGTTATTTTATTAATTGTTATTGTTGTGAAGTGAAATTGAGTTAAATTTGGATTTGTTATATTTCATTAATTTTTTTAAATTTTGTTATCGATGTTTAATTAAACCATCTAATTCTTATGCTTAATAACATAGCTCACGCTCAAAGGCTTCTACAATCAGTAAGATCGCGTTTAGAATCAGTGAAAGTGGTTGCTTTTGGAGCGTGTATTCACTCAACCATTACACCAAAGTTAAAAAAATCACCAAGAGTTTATTTATGAAGATTAAGAAATGATTTATGGATCAAATAAAAACGGACCTTTTGCTTTAAACTATGTATAAAACAGTTTATTTGATACATAAACAATTATATAACGATGACTAAATATTCTTAAACTACAATCCTTTATCTTTGATTTGGTGCAAAAGTTGCTAAGATCACTGGTAAAATCACTGGTCAAATAAGCAGATTTTTGTTATTTTTGTAATATCTCAAAAACGAATATATATATAACATATGCATCCATTTATTTTCTTAAAATAGAATCTTTTATCTTCAATTTGGTATAAGAATCATTTCTTAATTTTCATAAATAAAGACAGAACGATTTTTTGAAATTTACAGAATTTTTTTCTTAATGGGACTAAGTTTGATATTTTTTGTAATATCTCAAAAATGAGTTTATACAACAAAACAAATCTTCAATTTGGTATAAATATCATTTATGAATACCTACAAATAAATACAGAAATTATATTAAAATTGTAGGGAACTAGATTAAGGTGAATTGAAATTCCTGGATTGAAAACGTTTAAAAATCGCTATTGTTGATCAAGTTTAAACAAGTATGTACGGCCTACGTGATTATCTATTGGCGCGCAAGTTTTGCGCAACGACAAAGCGGGTTTTTAGACGATTTTTTCGAACCATTTCGCCACGCTCTAGTTAGTCCTAAGGTCCAACAATCCAAGCCAAACCAACAAGGAGTAAATCTACATAAAGTTCGTTTAAGAAACGCACTTAAATTTCTTAAACGTAAACATACCTTAATGATATAATACATCTTTGATATACATACTCAAGTTTGCGTTTAATATCCATAATTAAAGTTTCTTTAAATTTTGCTCAATATTAAAAGTGTTAGAAAAGAGTTGGATTAAAATAAAAAAAAATTATTTCGAAATGATTTGCCGTAATCTGAGTGTTGTAACGTTTTAACGGGGAGGTTGAAAGACACAATTAAATTAAAATAATGGTCTTTAGGTCGGTTGAAACAATAAAGCTGGAGAGAAAAATATATATAGCAAAAGAAACGAATTGTGAAGTGGTAATTGTTGTTTTCTCGAAACGGAACGAATTGGGAAATTTTTGCTTCATTTTATATATCCAATCCAATTCAATCAAATCCTTTCATATTTAAACTTCGCTCAACTTTTCCGGAAATTGACTCGGAATTCGTAGGTCATGGACGTTTTAAAAAGAAAAACATTCTTAACCGATTCACTCTCGGATAGAAACCTTGACCGTTTTCGATTCATTCAAAACCGGTTATAACAACAATTACCAACACCGTTTTTTTCCTTGTTATTAAATCTTTTTTTAAACCACCCGGAACCTTAAAACAATCTATGTATTAAATAATCCACGTGTCGAAGCGTACAAAAAAATTGTAAAGAAAAAGTACAAGTTATCTAACAAAAAAAAATATTAACGTATTGTCTTGAGAAATTGAGCGATTGGAAAGTGAATTGGCCTTCGTTTTGAATTCGATTCGATTTTTACGATGTTTAAAACGCGTTTTAGCTCGTTTAAAATGCATTGTGTTAGTTTAGAAAGTGTTTCAAAAGACGGTTTTTTGAACAGATGTTGTTTGATGTATTGCGAGATGATCTTAGAGAAATTTATTAAGTTTTATTAATTTTGCTTTTTTGTTGTAGATTTTAGCACTTCTCTTCGTTCTTTTGGCATTAGCTAATTGTCAATATTTCGGGTTTCAAGATTTTCCATCGAATGCGTTTTCTGGTGGTTTAGATTCCTCTTACAGAAGTGCCAGGGATCCAAGACAGGATCGGGGGCCTGTTGTTTTTCCACAAGCACCGTCGGATAATGGAGAGACGAGTGGTGTGGTTGTTGGAGCTAGTGGATATGGTTTTGTGCCACCCAGTTCGAGTAAGAAATATTTGCTTATTCTTATTGTTTTTTCTCTATTACTACTAAACTATTTTGTCAAGATGTGGAATGTAACTGTTCTTAGTATACTGGTACTTATTTGCAATGTTATAGGCTTCGGCCTTGTTATGGTGGTGAAGACAATCCTCATATATAGCATATTTATGGCAATATTGTTTTGTTTAGTCATCAAAATTTACTAAATAACCAGTATATTTTAGTTCTAGGTATCCATCGTCATGACAATTTATTTAGTTATGTTAAAATATGGTACGATAATTCTATTGATTATGACAGGAAGGACTTTAATCCATTAGTCAATTTGGTTTACTCTGAATCGCTTCTCCAACACTTGTGTGTCATCGGCGAATGTTGCCATGATGATCTCGGCCAGCATTAGTCATTACTCTAATGTGGCGTCCTTAAATATGATTTTACTAAGTCACTATATTCCATAGGAAGTAGTTGGCCACACTTTCTTTTCCTCTAGAGACTTTTCCACAATATTAGAGACTCATTTTCTTTTCCTAGTAATTGGTGTTAATCTTTTGGGTACTAATTTTTTAGCCATGATGACCTCTGCTGTTTTCCAGAGAGCTTTTAGCTTAAAGGCAGCATTATACAGGTTTTTTAACTTCACAATAACCTTTCTGGCTGGTTGTATCACTTCTCTGCAACTCTGAAATATTTGGTTCTAAGAAGGTTTGAAACAATCTTATCAAGTTCAATAATAACAGTTTCGTTTATTTCTTCTTGTTTGTTTGGTCATACAAGATCATACATAAATTATGAATTTCTAAACATTTTGTCATGATATTTTTGAAATTCCGGTCCAACTATCTAAATCGAGTCTATAAAAGAGCCCAAACCTATTGGAGCATATCAACACTTAACAGTTTAAGTTTATTTATTAGAAATATTAAGACACGTTCATCGAGTTCTAATTCGACATTCTCTTATTTATAACGGTTTTGTGAAGGCGGATGATTTTTTTTTACATTTTTTTTTCGAAATTAAGTTGAAGCAATCTAAATCGGTTTACGAAATTAATTATTTACGGATCTATTAATTTGATCTTTTTTTTTGTTCCAGATTATAGATCATTTTATTAAACTGAACTGAATGAAGAAATCGAAGAAATGTAATAAAATCTATTTATTAATGTAGTAAGTGATAATTTATTTTGTATTATTAACGATTTAAATCTTAATAAAAAAGTGTGGAAAATCTGAAATTATTTTTCCTTTTTTTAAATTCCTAAATGAGGCATTCTCGTATTTTGTAAGAACGTTGACACAAATTGTTGGAATTTCTTAGTATTCTCGTTTTGGTTTGATGGAAATAAAAAAAGTCGTTCTAAAACGTTTTGAGTGCTTCTTTATTGTTTTTTTAGAGAACCACCACACTCACTGAGACTAGTAATTTAAAGATGTGTATTTCTTCATGGGGTTTCAACCTTCATTGTATCATTGATTGTAGTATCCATATTGCACGTTCTTTAATTGGGAATTACAGTTGATGATGGGGACAAAAATAGAATTGAGTACGAACAAGAAAATAATGTGTGCTAATAAAGCAATAAATATATTATAACTGTTATGTTTGAATTTGTTTTTTAATTATAAAAATAAATTGGAAAAAAAATAAAATAATACCACCAATTTTACTTCCAATCAGTTTGGGTTGCCTATTTTAAGTTAAGATTGTGTAAATATCAAAAAAAGATTAATTGAAATTTATTAATTACGCTAAAATATTATTGAAGTTAACGATTTATTTTTCAATTTTGTTATTGCGACTGAAGAAGGGCAGGGCCCGAAACCTGGTATAGATAAATAATAAAAACATTAATTACCTAAGTATAATTTGTTTTTTATATATTATACATTAAATTTTCTGATGAATATGGATAACAACAATTTCAATAGTAAAATTAGATGTTTAACAGCTTGAAAATGATTAAGATTAAACAGTCGTTTCTTATTTTTTCGTGAATCAAATACACTAATTATTAATTTTTTAATTGTTATCCTTCGTTAAACATTTATTTATTTAAGATTAAGGTTGTGTGAATAACCAGGAAGAGATTAAATTAAATTAACACTTCATGACGATTTAAAAAACTGCTAATTAAACTAAGTTTGTGAAAAAATAGGGCATTGAAACCATATAAAAGTAGCTGGAAATGTTTTTAGTACTTCAGTTTCAACGAAAAGATATTCGTAAATAATCTAAAATGGATTTTTTAAAATTATTCTCCATCCTCATTTTTGTTTTAGTTTTAAGAGTTGAATCAAAAACTTATCAACTTGGTAAGGTTTAAACAATCTTATTATTTTATTTTATTTTTAAAATAAATTTCTAGAATCTATTCAACGACTAAAAAGATCCCCACAATTAATAGGAGTTGGCATTGGATCTTTTGGATATGGTGGTTATGGTCTTGGATATGGTGGATTTGGTGGATACGGTTATGGATATCCACATCATCACCATCATCATGATTTCCATGATTTTCACGATTTCGGTCATCACCATCACCATGATTTTCACGATTTCGATCATCATCACTTTTAATCAAAATAAATTGTACATTCGAAATAAATTTATTTAAGAATTAAGTATGTAGTTATTATGATTTAAATCGATTGTAAACACCTTCAAGTTATTTGATACAGACAAGACACCTTAATAATAGCAAAAAGGATGTTTTGGAGAAAATGACAAGATTTTTGAATACGGAAAAACTTGATTGGTGTTAATCAAAACTGTTGTGAGCGATTAAAAACATTGCTAGGGCAATTAAAAAGGATGGAGGAATTAAAAAAGATGATTTTGACCTACTTTAAAGTGTAAAAGAAAATATTTAATATAAAACTTCTTGCTTGCTTGTAAAATAATTATTATTATTGGTGCCGGTTTCGACTATTATTAGTCATCATCAGCCAAATTCTGCATAATTGGAAAATAGAAAAATCACATCAAAAAAATTAAATCTAAAAAATATATATACAGGCATTTGTCCATGTCCTACACTCCAAAATCTCTCATTATGTCCACATTTCTTTGAATGCATTGTTATTTGCTTTAAATTAAATTGTAATTAATATTGGAAATGCCCACCAAAACTCATTAGTGGTTAAAATTCATTGATAAAATTGATTCAAGCGTTTGAAAAGCTGCCCCATCTAATTAATAAAATCCATTAGGGACGAAATTAATACAAAGAAAAAAAATACTGTTTGAAATTTAATACAACCCGGGCCAAAATTATTAATTAACTTTATCGATTGGTAATGAACTAAATTAAAATTATCTAATTAGTTAACTAATAATAATCTAAAACCAAAATAGTCTTCCGATAATAATTAGTGGATATAAATTCGGAATGTAAACCAAAATATAAACTAAGTTCATCAATTTTCTATTGTTTAGAATTGGTGGTATTAAGCATGAAAATGAATTTTGAAAGCGCGGACGTTCAATCAAAATATAATGAACGGTGAAAACGCCAGCGAAATAAAGTTGATACCTCAAAAAGTTTGCCTTCAATTCCATTTTACAACCGATTAAACTGAGATTATTGGATTTTAAAATCGCTTTTTTATTTTATTTCGATGTTTTTTGGTGTAATCGGTTTAGAAATTATCGGTGTTAACACAAAGCAAATAGGAAACGTGCCGAACTAAGTCCTCATATTCATCTATACTTAAACAATTCAGGGTGCAATGTTTGTTTAAAAGAGTTAGCAATTGTGGATTACTTAACATGTAACCTACACATATACAATTTTGAATTTACAGCATTCGGAAACTTAGTGTTGATGAAATAAACCCGGATAAAGCTGAGAACATTTAAAAGCTACTCACTGTCAATTATTCAAATAAAAGAGTTGATTCGTACTTTCAAGAAATTGGATTTAGCCAAGTTAAATTTCTGACATCTTGGGAAACGAATGAGACACAGACAAGAAGTGTAATTTATTTAAATTAACATACGAATTCAAGGAAACCAGCTCGACGTGAATGCATACTGCGAAATTTCGCATTACGATCAAATTCGAATTTTAAATTATCTTTCATACAACCTCAACATTCTCATAGATTATGGAGCAAACTATCTCGGTATCATCGAGCTGTTAACGAAATTAAACAAGGGAAATTGATATTTAATTGAGCAGTAAAACAGTTTTACATCTTTTATACCTTAAACGAACAAGAGAGATTAATTAGATCGTTTCAAACAACTCAGAGACAACTTGAAATGCTAAAACTTTGAATAAGTTTACTTGTTAATTACATTCACCAACTCTAGTTCATTTTAAACAATTAATAATGAATTTACCTAAACCGATTTTCACAAACAATCCAATCAAAACTTTAAAAGCTGTCCTAATGAATAACAAATTCTAAATTCACAAGTATTAGTTGAAATTAATTCGTTTTTTTGATTAATTTTTCATCAATAGTAAAACAAAATTTTTTTTGAAGTAAACACGACTTCCACAACAATTTGTTCATTCGCATTTTCGTAGAACTAGATAAATCGTATTAATGCCAACACAATAGAACCCGATTTAAATTTCACATTCGCGGAAATAGATTTTCACACGTTATTCGCTGAAACGGAATTACACCTCTTCTTTTCAGGGCTGGATATTTTCAACTCAAGATATGGAGGATTATGATGACTTTTGTTACTATACACTCAAAAAATTAATAATATATCTCATTTTTTTTGTAGAATATCATTCACCATCGAAATAGATAAAGTTCGTGGCATATCACGTTTATTCGTTTAAGCGTAGAAAATTGTCGTGTGATCAATCAAACGTTAACACGAAACATGTAATTCATCGAAGCAAGATAAATTTATCAAAAGAAAATTCGACGAGGAATATTTCCTAAGTCGTTTTTAATTTCCTCTTTTATGACGTTTTTTTGATGTTAAAAACTTTTCATTGCAGGTATCCAGAAAGAAGTGAGTTCTATGTTTGGAAAATCCTTTTATCTTAGCTATATGCTTAAGTTACGCGTTCCAACTTACGATTGTGAACATTATTATTTTTATTTATGAATATTAAGTTTAGCGATACATCTCAATTTCTAAGAACTTGTTAACCGAATAAAACACGGGTAACTGAAACCATTTCTCAATGTTAAAGTTCAATACTAGCGAACTTTTAGTTATTCCAACTTCTCACTCTGCGTTTCTAAGTTTTCCTTACCTCCCCACTCTTTTTAGTATTTTCCAACAATCTAAAAGTAAGAATACTTATTAAAATAAACTTTATAATTGATATATTAAGTAAAATGGAAATAATTATTGATTACATTTTCTTGCCAATTAACTATGTTAGATGGATTTTAAGCTTCATGAGGCTTTAGCTGGAAGCCCTTTGAGGCAATCGTGCATTTCCCAACATTACGTCTTGCTTTATAATAGATAATATATTGTTCTGTATTGATCCTATAAAGTTTGCTGAAGGATTAGAATCCACGGTAGAAGCCACTTGCAGGCTTCCAATGTAAATGAATTAAATTTATAGGAGTTATTTTGATGTATATAATTTGGTGGGGGAAATTGTTATAAAAGGCTTATCTTCAAAATGTCATATCTTCCTTATTTGTAGGAATTATAAAATGATTTATATCTTAATTTAAAGATTAATATGTCTTCTTTAAAATGATCTATAAGAAATTATACGTTTGATGTATAAAATTTGTAGAAAAAATTTTTTTTAAGAAATTGTAAAAGAAATTCGATTTGTGAACTAACTTAAGTTCAAAAAGTCATATTTTCTTTAATTGTAGGAATTATAACATGATTTATATCTTAAATTAAAGCTTAAAGTCTCTGCGTCAAATTTTGGAGAAATGAATTTTTGAAAAAAAAATTGTAAAAAAAGTTTAGGTCGCCTAATCAATCACGGAATTTGATGTAATATTTAAAGAAATTTCTAAATAAATGAAAATTTTAAAGCGGTATGTTGCTTTAGAATTTTCCTTTCGCATTAATAATCCACTATGTTTGCGAAGGGATCCGTTGGGAAACTAGCGGTTCGATTGCACGGATTTCCACGGATTTAACGCTGAATTTGCAAATTTAGATAGTAACGGTTTGATTAACGATTTGGTCGTCGATCACTGCGTACTTTTTATTCCTTATGGAATCGGTACATAATAAGGTCTTAATAAGAACATGGTACACATTTTATGTAGGTTAAAATAATACCGAACCAGAAATTAATTTATATCCTTTGATGTTTATGATGTGTAAAAAATTCGATAGTATTAAGCTTCAAATTAAAACCCTTTTGCAATCAGTACTTCCACTTCGTGAATCAACCCTTTAAACTAGTTCAGATTTATTGCTTTTATTATCTACACGTAAAATCACTTTTAACAAAACATCTTTTTTTTTTTTTATTGGAAATGATATGAGAACAATTATTATGAGAAGAAATTAATCAGAAGTAAATATATAATAATTTATTCTGCCATGATGATTATGTGAAACTTTAAAATTCAAGTATTTCGTTGAATAAATCATTCCTTTATTATAATTTTCAATAATACTCCATTTTTGAGTTGGATAAACGCTGTTCAAAAACTCTGAGATGTAACTAATCCGGTCTGATGGAGTATCCCATTGCAAACCAGCATAAACAATAGTTTTGATAACGTTTGTATGTGGATAAGTAATATTAGTGCTTACCACTTCGAACTAAAAATAAAAAAAAATAATTAATAAAAATATTCGCAATTAATTGATGTCTAAGAAATTATTACCACACTGTCAGAAACACTTGGAAATGATTCAAAAAAGTTACAAGCGCCGATAGACGGAATAATATCGGTTTTTTCAGTGGTGGTGAATGCTAAGGACGTTGTTATAAATAGCGTTGTAATAAAAAGATTTATTTGTGCCATCTTTATAATTCAACTCGTTTCTTGCTACTAAACATTAATAGTATCAATGCTCATTATTTATATAATGACTATTGACATATAATTTTTGACCTTTGCTTAATTAAAATAAGGTTATCGATTATTTTGCACGAAAATAATAATAATGATAACAATTTACAATTTTAAAATAGTTCTTTATCAATATGGTGTTATCGAATCAATATTATGAGAGAAACGAAATGCAACTTCAGCAACTTTTGAAGAGTTGATATCTGACGAGAGACAAACATTTTAAAACAAATTTAAGATTTAAAGTGTCAAATTTTTTAATTTATTTTACTTTAAAGTAGAGATTTTAAGCTAGATCATTTTAAGGAAGACATATTAAACTTTAAATTAAGATATAAATCTTTTTATTATTCCTAGATTTAAAGTAGATATGATTTTTTGAATTTATTGTAATTTCCCAATCCAACCTTTTTTTACAAATATACAATATATGCATAACTTCAGTTTTTGAAATAACAGCAATACTTTTTTATTTTCCAAATTAAAGAGTTACAGAACGACTCAATTTAAGTCAATTTAACTAAAAGGTTTATCTTGTAATGTTATCCTGCGAGAACGCTTTATCTAGAAAGTGCAGGTAAGTTCCTAGGAATATCGTTAAATCCTAATACGATTTGTGCTAATTACAAATATTTATTAAATCAAAAAACTAGTAATTTAGTAATTTATGTAAATATCGGGAAAAGGTGATTCTTGTTTTCATAATTTTTAAATTTTCTCAAATATCAAGGTGAGATGGATTCATTTAAATCAAATGGTTACCAAATCTTATTAGTATCAAGGTAGATGGAATCACCTAATCAGTTTAACACAATGCGTACTTTCATTAAGACGTTTTTGGGATTATCTCTTATTTTGTTCGTTGATTCTTAAGGTGGGTTTTAATTATAACAATTATTATAAATAATTATTTTATATTTAAGATTATCAACGTTGTTATTTACGAAATCGATCCATTGGAATATGTAAACATGTCTTTGAGTGTTCCTCGGTGAAAAACGAACTTCAACAAGGATTGACGACCACGTCTCTGCGGATATTCCGGTCGATATCCCATAGTTTGTTGCGATCAAAACAAAATTTAAGGAATTTCAAATAGAATTAGCGAGGAAAGTAATTTATTAATAATTTAATATTAATTTGGTTGTTAATTTTACTTTTAAAGAATGCCAAGAATATTCAAAATTGGACATCAAAACTACGATAAAATCCGCTACAACACCAACAGACTCAATGGAGGTTGTCGTTCATGCTTTTATAATTGGTGGTGAAAATGCTTATTTTGAGGAATATCCCCATATGGTAACAAAATAAAATAAAATTATTATTTAAAGATTTTATTTAATTATAGGCTATATTGGGATATGGACCATTAGAAAACATCGAATTTAAATGCGGTGGGAGCTTAATCAGCGAACAATTTATCTTAACAGCAGCCCATTGTTTACAATCACAAAAGTAAGAAGAAAATTAATGGGGAAAATTAATTACAACTTTAATTATAATTTTAGTGGACCAGTTTCCTTAATACGACTAGGCGAACTAGATCTAGCATCCGAAACCGAACATGCAGAACCTCAAAATTTTAATGTCCTAAAAACGTTTACTCACCCACAACACGATTTCGAATCTTTTTACCACGATATAGCTCTAATTAAACTAGATCGCCCAGTTATCTACACGAAATACGTAAAACCTGCGTGTTTAGAGTCAAAATTAGAGCTTGAGTACAACAATTTAACTATAACTGGATGGGGTGCTACTGAATATGGCGGAGGTTTTCATAGTTATCTTCAAAAGGCCTATTTATATAATTTACCAGCGTTGAATTGCACAAGAAGTTATCGCCCACAATCGGGATTGGAGAATGGGTTCGATGAAGAGTTACAATTATGCGGGGGAAATCCTAAATCAAACGCTGATACATGTCAAGGCGATTCAGGTGGACCCATTCAAGCGAAAATTCAATATTTACCACAAATGTATAGGATTGTTGGGGTTACATCGTTTGGAAATAATTGCGGTTTAATTCCAGGGGTTTATACAAAAGTTTCTAAATATATTTCTTGGATAGAATCGATTGTTTGGCCAAATTAAATAAATGTAATGATCCAAATTTGTTTTGATTAACCTTCACATTTCTTGAAATCGATATTTTAAGAACTTAATTTATTTTCAAGGTTTGCAAGTTTTTGTAGTTTACAATTTTGAATTCTCTACAACAAAATAGATTTGCTTTAAATTTTATTGGGTGGTTTTATTGTATTTATTTCACTTAAATTTTAATGAATTGTATTTTAGACAAGTTGAATAATTTAAATTGAAACCTGTACAGAGAACCATGCTCAATTGTTTTACTCCGGTTACGGGAAGTTGGTGGATCAATACGCAGATAACCTATTCATGTTTGCTTTAAACAGCTATGAGTTAAAGGTTCATCTTGCAGCCACATGCTGCTCGTTTATTGGTATTATGTCGGATTGAGATACAAAAGCGTCTAAAACAATCCACTATTTAATGGAAACTTAGTTTTGAAACATTATTTTTTAATAATAAATGAACTGGATTTTTAATTATTTATTGGTTGTGAACATATAAATTTTTAATCAATTTTCAAAATTTTTAATTGCAATTTAAACGCTCTTTAAATTTACTAAAAGCGATATCATCATGTCATCAATCTGTTATAACATTGTAATAACTCATGTTGGTAAATTTTAAGATTTACTAGTTAAACCTAAGATTTACCGTAGCTCAGGCTTTTACAGTAACATCTATAATTTAAAATTTATTTTTAAATTTTATATAGAAGAATATTTCTTGTTAACACAAATTTTTAAAACTTCCTCTTAATAAAATATAAGGTAATTTTATTGGGGCTATAAACTGAAGCTAGCAAATTAACTTATCCCTTTGATGTATAATCAATAACATCATTTTCCAGCAGCAGTAAATATCTCTTTCATTGTGTACATAATGTGCGTCGCAAACAGTATGTTATTTAAGTTAATCATAAAACTCTGCATAATAATTTTAACATTAAGTGCAATACGAGCAAACAACACATTATTTAATAGCGTAATAAAATTGGATTCAAAAAGATATTTCGAAACATTCAACTTTACAATCAAAGTATTAAAACAAGAAACTTTATGTAGTCATCCTAGTTGCAAATTAAATTATGACTTGTTAAGGATATTAAACAGATTTTATTCATTTAAAATGGAACTTTTAAGTTTAAATAATTCTGTGGAAAATAACTCATCAAAAAATCTATGGACGTACGTCTCTAATAACACAGTGGATCTCATTACTGATTTTATTTACGAAGACGCTATAGCTAAAGTTGATTACATCATACCTTTATACCCATATAAAAGATCTTTCATTTTTTTAAATCCTTCATTTGGCCGCAGAAATATTTTCTTACGGCCATTTTCTCCGAATGTATAGCGTTGTTCACTACTATTAATTATTTTGAACGCAGTCGTTTATTGCGTAGAATTAATTCTTGAAAATCTATTTAATAACAGAGTGGAATCCTACAATTTAGGAACAACATTTTTAATTACTATAGGTATATTTTGCCAACAAGGTAACGATTTTATAATAGTTAATAATTTATTATACAAATATAAATAAAAACGTTAAGGTTTAGATCTTTCAGGTGTTTGGTTCGTTCCAAAATTAATTTCAGGTAGATTATTTATGCTAAATCTATTAATCTTATCGTTATTATTGTACAATTATTACACGTCAACTGTGGTATCGTTATTATTAAACCAGCCAAAACCGTTTATATCTTCAATTGATGATCTCTTAAATAACGGTTTTAGCTTAGGAGCTGATTGTGATCCGATATTACAGAAATATCATTTTACCAAAGAATGTTTTAATCACAGCGAAGCTGTGGAAAAAATTAGAACGGAATCGTTTGCATTTTCTGTGGAGTTAACACCTATGTACGGTTATTTAAAGAAAACTATGACTTCATCAGAACTGAGTAAACTGTTTGAAGTTGACATTTCTAACTTGGTTTATAAAACAGTGGTTGTTCCAAAAAAATGGAAGTTTAATGAATTTTTTAAAGTAACGTAATTAATTTCGTTAAGTATTTTAATTTATTCCTCAAATGATTCTATTAGTTACAGAAAACTGCAGGAATTTGGAATATATCGCAGGGAATTACAGATTTTAAAGCAAAGTAAACCGGATTATTTGGGAAGTATTGACATCGAAGCATTATCGGTTTCAGGATTGATGTCTGCCTTTGTGGTGCTTGTTGTGGGTTATTTGGTGGCTATAACAATTTTAAGCGTTGAATTAATTTATAATCGTTTATTTTAACTTTATTAACAATCAGTTATGATAGATTAAAAGTTAATATTATAAATTAAATTAAAATTATTTAATTACATTCCCGTTCCTGGTATTATTAGAAACTTTCTAATTAATACTTCATAAATTGAATAATATCAAAATTTCTGTATCAAAACATAAAAACTACTTAAACTTCAAATAAATCTTTTATATAGCAGCATTAAATTAAGTATATTGACATAAAAAGAAAGAAATGTTTTGATAATCGAGCATGTCATAGAGGAAAGAAAAAGATACGAATGCACTTAATATATTTTAGTTGCTTTTTGACTCTAGCTTGGCAAAATAATTTGAAGATAAATTATAACATAGAGATTTTGTCCAACTTAGGAAGAAAACTGTATAAAACGATGAAGATTATCTTAAGAATAGTATCTTAAGATATTGAGAAGTATGTACAGTAACCTGCATTATTTCGCCTATTTTTCCTATAAATACATAGATGGCACTAAAAGTTGTTCCTGCTGAAACGTTTTGATTGACACAAGGTCACTTTCTAAAAGAGAAACAACATCCTGCTCTATTCCCAGACACCATAATCAACCATGTTAACCTGTTTTTAATCCGCTTTAACACCAATTTTTATTCATTTCCATAAAGTTTTTACCAAGCTTTGGTTAATTTTGTGCTAAGTTGTGTGATGAAGTGTTCTAAAATGTGACGTCGCTATTTTCTTCGGTTTTTAGTGACTTTAACGGGTGGATAAATAACAATCCATATCCAAATAAGTTTTTTAGGGAATCTTTTAAGTATTATTAAGTTATTCTTAAATAATGAGTGTTAAAGTTGATGTTTTAGTGATGTTTTTATGGTGTATTTTAGTAACCAACTTATTTAAAATAGGTAAAAATGGTTTAAATTAATATCTTTGGTTCCTTTTTTTGACACACTTTCTTCGACTATTTTAACTTTCTCCTAAAATTTCTCATCGCATAATGAGAATCCCATCATCACCATCCTTTATATGATAAAAATGAATATTTTTTCAGTTTTTTTAATGGAAGCTGATAATTCTCCACCAACATTATCAGTTAGTCGTCGTCGATTCGAACTTGAAGAATCGACGCCATTGGATTCGTTGATTTTAAGAGCTTACGCTCAGGATAATGAAGAGGACAAACTTGTTTTTGGTTTGGAAGCGGAAGATCCTCGAAAACCAGTTCCGTTTCGAATCGATCCGGATACGGGAGCGGTTTATTTAGCTCAAAACTTAACTGGCAAGGTAAAATATCGAATTAAACTCTAAAAAATAATAATAAAATTAAATTAATTTTAGGCTGGAACAACTTTAAATTTCTATGTAACCGTTTTCGATGGAATAATCCCGGCTAAACTACAAATACTCGTTTTAGTGGTCAAAAAATTTTCACCAAAGACTCATTTAAACCTTTTTAAGCCACCATATTTAAATTTAAATCGACAACAACCCTCGTTTCATTACAACGATAATAATAATAATTATAATTATAACCCAACAATAAGTAATTTCGTTGAAAAAAATGAGGTTAAAATCGATGAAATCGACAAAGATGAGAGAAAAGTAACAAAAATTAACGAAAAGATTAACGAAACTGATGGCGAAACCAAAAATTTAGTAATAATTTTAGGAATTTTTGGCGTTTTCTTCGCTGCTATAGTACTATTAGGAGTGTTTAAGAAGAAATTTTCTTTATTAGGCAACGAAAATTCCAAAAAAATCAAAGAAATTAACGACACACAAAAAAGTGTGAGTAATTTTAATTAAAAAAAAACTTAATTATAGTAAAACCTCGATATAAAGGACTAATAGGGGAAAGACAGTTTAGCCATGCGTAAAATACACAACGATCTAACACTGAATAGCAACTAAAACTAGGATTAACACTAGCATTGGAACTAATACTAGACCCAGAACTAGAATCATTTGGGTTTAGCAGTCTTAAGAGACGTAGGGCTAAACCCGAATAGGTCTAGTGTCAGTTCTAGGAGTGGTGGTAATTCTAGTTTTAATTGTTATTCAGCTTTAAATTGTTTAGCCGCCTTAAAAGATGCACGGCTAAAACTAGTTATATCGAGGTTTTATTAATTAATTTTTATTTTTTTAACAGAATGAAATATCAACGATTTCGTCAGAAATCGATAACAATCATTACAACTCAATTAACCCCAACTTAACATTAGAAGATATTAAAACTCCGTCAATCGAGAATTTTGAGTCACCGAAAATAAAGGATTTTTGGGAATTTGAACGACACCGATTGGTATTTTTGGGCGTCTTGGGTGAAGGGGCATTCGGGCAAGTTTGGAAGTGTCAAATTAACGAAAAAACCTCGGAACAAAATGTATCGTCAAATAATGTTACTTCAAAAATCGTTGCTGTTAAAACGTTAAAAGAAAATTCAACGGAACGCGATAAAACGGACTTATTAAGTGAATTAAAAGTAATGAAATCGTTGAAACCTCACCCCAACGTCGTTAAATTATTGGGTTGTTGTACCGAGAAAGATCCGATATTCGTAATAATGGAATTCGTAGCTGGCGGAAAACTACAAAGCTTTCTAAGGTTACAAAGAGTAAATTTCGATCGACTCGAATATGGTTACGATAATGTTTTTAAAGGAAGCAAAAAGTTAACATCTTCAGATTTAACTCGAATGGTTTATCAAGTTGCTAAAGGAATGGAATTTTTAGAAATAAATGGTGTAAGTATTACCGTATTATATATTAAAAAAACAATTGTTTTTTATTTATTTTTAAGATAATTCATCGAGATTTAGCAGCAAGAAACATATTAATAACGGAAGATCGCACAACTTGTAAAGTGGCAGATTTTGGTTTTGCAAGAGACGTCATCTCACCAGCGTACGTTTACGAACGAAAAAGTGAAGGTCGTTTACCGATACGTTGGATGGCTCCTGAGTCTCTTTATGATAATTTGTTTTCTTCAAAATCGGATGTATGGAGTTTTGGGGTTTTAATTTGGGAGGTGGTCACCTTGGGAAGTACACCTTATCCAGGAATGTCTGCACAAGAAGTTATGAAAAGGGTTGGTTTCAAACATTCATTATTTCTAGAAGATATAAAGCGTTTGTGTACTAAGGTTGCGTTGTTTTAAAACTAACCTTACTCAACATTCCTTTGCGAGATGATTGATATTTCAAAACAAAACTAACCTTACCTAACATTCTTTCCTGAGATTATATTTATAATAGCAATACTTCTTTTAGCTTTCAAGAAGAGAATAGGTGTTCTTGTTGTGCTACTAGCAGAATTTTAAACCCAACTTGATAGTTAACACATTGCTGTCTAGTTTTCATAATTTTCTTTTTCTTTAAGGTTAAAGAAGGTTATAGATTGGATAAACCAGAACATTGTCGCAGAGAACTATACAACATTATGTATTACTGTTGGAATCACGATCCTAAAGAACGACCGAGCTTCACGGAATGTTTAGAACTTCTGGATAATTTGGTAACAACAGAAACAGATTATATTGAATTAGAACGGTTTCCGGATCATTCCTATTACAACGTTCTAAGTTTAAGTGGAGAAAAACTTTGAAAATGCTTTCATCTCGAACTGAAACATAAGCTCAACACAATTAAAAACCAATTTTTAATATCACACCTAAATTTTTATGAATATACTCATTTTTTTTTAAGTTAGATTTTTTAATGTAAATATAATTGTAATTTTAATTTAATTTTTAACCAAAGTTTAATATGAAGTAAAAAAAGTTAATAAAAAAATTTCGATTTAAAATTCTTTTTCTTACCCAACTAAAATGAAGGTAAATCAAAGCGATGTTTGAATTATTAAACGTAATCGTTATGATGACACGGAATTTTTGATCAACCGCGAAATAACTTCATTCCTAAACAGATTTTAAAAATGATTCCCTCGCAAGACATTCGTATCTTTATTTTTCAGTTATTTTTGTGTTACTTAAACGTTAATTCTTGTTTTAGTAATAATGTAAATTATAACATAAAATTAATAACCGAATTTTTTAAAGAAAAACAAATTTATTTCGTGGATTTTCATCAATGTGGACCAACAAATCTAATTAATCACCTACAGATATTACATAACAACGGAATTCGATCTAAATCAATCGAATATTACAACATCAATTATTTCCATCATCGATTTGGGTTTGTAACGAACGTCGATTGCAACGATTGGGACGAATTTGTCGAAAAGGAATTATCGCAACGGAAATTTCACACACAAAAATACGGCTTGATATTTTGCGATTCTCACAATAAATACGAAAGAATTAAAGCGAAATTGTTAAAGTTCGATTTTAAATTGGATTCGAACGTTTACGTTGCAATAAAATCGAATTTTTCGTACTTTTTTTACGAAGTACACAATGTTCTTTCAACCTCTAAACGAATACTCACGAAATCGGCGTTTTATCTTGGTGGAAAATTGAAAAATGTTAACAAACAATCTCGTTATAATGTTAGAAGAAACTTTGATAACGTTCATCTTAATGTCGCTTTTGTTGTTACAAAACATACGAAAAATGCAGAAAAGTATTTAAGTGATCGACGAACCAAACAATTTGATACTTCTAGTAAAGTCAATTTTGGGGTTTTTCATCATACAGTTGATATACATAATTTTAGGTTAATATAGTAGATAGATAAGGCACTAATTTTAATGCACACAAAGTCGGAGGGCTATCCACACCATTTTGTTCAGTCTACTTGGTTAACACTATTATAACAACTAAAACTAGAACTAACACTAGCACTAGAATTAACACTAGACCTAGAACTGGCCTAGACTGCCACTACGCTTCCAGAATGTTAGATACTACTGGAAAAGACTAATAACTACTTGGAAAGAAAAGATATGCTTTCTCAAAGACTAATACTACCTATACAATACTAGAAACTGCTTAAAAAGATGCATTGAAAGACGTACGGCTAAACCCAAATGATTCTAGTTCTAGGTCTAGTGTTAGTTCCACTTTTAGTTTAATAATAGACCTAGAACTAGAAAGTTTCGGTTTTAGCCGTACATCTTCAGACACATTTATATTTAGATATACTGACGTATTAAATAGATAATATTAATAGTATTAAAGATCCGTTATATCGAAATTTTACTTTATTATAAACAAAGTTATTTTTTTTAACACTGTTATTGTAGATTTACAATTATACCAACTCCTGGTTGGTTTAGTTCAAGTTGGCGAGGTGAAGAAGCTGGACTGGGGTTAACACTTTCTATGAATTATGCTGACATTTCTGGGTCATCGGGTTTAATGTCCATTGGAAGAATAGAAGCGTTTGATTTTCTTGTTGGGACATTTTCATTTCGGTAAAAATATTATTAAAATACTCCTAAACTATTAATATTTATAATTTATTTAAAGCACATCACTTCTTTACCACAATTTGGGGGTATATCAAATTGTTTATGACGAATTTATAAAACCATTTTCTTTAAACGCTTGGCTATGCACTTTAACTTTTATCATTATTATAACTCTTTTTCTCTTCTTAACACAAAATTTCGAATCTAACTTTAATAATACTAAACGGAGGCGTTATTCTATTCATTTAATAATGCTTAATATTTTATCAGCATTTTGTCAACAAGGTAAGTTTCGAATTGATTTCTTTATTTCATTTTATTTTTAATTATTTTTAGGTGTAACGATTAACAGTAAATTAACCACAATTCGCTCCCTTTTATTTACTTTGTTAGTATTTACTTTTTTATGGTACAATTATTACACATCGAGTATAGTCTCATTGCTACTTAACAACAAACCAGAAACGTTTAAAGATATCGAATCCGTTATTGATAGCGATTTAACAGTAGGAATTGAGAATATAGCGTTTAAAAGAATTCTGAACGTAAATTTATTTATTATTGTTTCAACCTTATTTAAGATAAAATTCCAGGCTACAAATCACCCAACTTTACGGCGAATGCAAGAACTTGCTGATAAAAACGATTCAAAAGTTGACTTTTATCCCCAAGAAGTGGGAATAAGTAAAATTAAAAATGTAGGATTTTCTTATTTCGCCGAATCAATAAGTGCGTATAATTATATAGGTAAACAATTTGTTAATGATGAAATTTGCAATTTAAACGAAGTGGAAACATTGAGACCGACGATGATTTATTTAGTTGCAAAAAAACGGGGACCTTTTAACGAATTATTATCAATTACGTAAGTTTTATTTATTTTTTAACATTGAAAAGAATAACATTTTTATTTTAGATACAGAAGATTTGTTCAATACGGATTAGTTAGTAGACAAAATAAGATATTTTGCGACGAGAAACCGCTCTGTTTACAAAATAAACGTTTCATCCAAATTGGAATAGAACAAGTTGCACCCGCTTTTATTATATTAATATTTGGATATTTACTGAGTATTATCATATTTTTATTAGAAAAAATCATTTATTGATTTCACTACAAAAGTTTATCGTTACAAAGAATCGCGAATCCTACTGATCAAAGGCACCGATTTCTCTTGGGTCCCACTATTTTATGGGTACTGTGTCGACAAAAGCTTCAGCGACAAATAAATAAATAATGAACAGTTTGGGTATTCACACAGGTTTCAAGAAATTCGATGAACTCAAAGCCGAAGACGTGCAATATAAATTTAAAATTAACTGTGAAATTGTGTAAGGATTGATATGACATTAATTTAACAAGAGATCATTTGAAATTTACACGAACTATCCTCTCAATTTAACTCGTCCAAATTATTTTCCTTGAAAATGCAAAATTCTCACTCTAGAAGACTAGATATACTGCTAGCACAAAACTAGATATTGATACAAGTTTAATTTGTCTTTATATCAGACTAGGTATGGCGCACAGAAGTCTAGATACTACTTGTAGGAGCCTAGATACTGGTAGTGAAAACCTAGAAATTCTAATAGAAGACTAGGTACTGCTGGCAAAGAACTATATACTGTTCTTAGTAGACTAGATATGATGAATAGAAGATTGGATACTGCTTGTGAATGATTTCCTACTATTTGCAAAAGACTACACTGTTGCGAGCACTACTTGCAACGTAGATATACTAAATATTGCTGGCAGAAAACTATATTTCAATAAATAACAAAATCTTTCTCTTCTAAGACTAACCACCGCTGGCAGAAGACTAGATACTGCTAATTGAAGAGTAGATACTACTAATAAAATCCTATATATTGCGTTTTTTTAAGAAAACCACGTTTGTAGAAAATTTGTTAATCCAATCAATAACTGTTGCTTTAATCAAAGTTTTGTAAGAGCCCAATTGATAGATAATTGATCACTTTACACGAAAATACTGTCCGTTTCACAAAATTAGCAGTGGCGTTGAAAATATTGTTAAAAAAGGGCTTTTTATTGCAGATAATGTTTAATTTTAAAGAAACTTTGACCCGCTATATCTCGTTAAGGAGGCATTTCCGACCACATGTATAATAAGATTTTTCATCTTAATTTTTGATGTATTACCTGCCCTAGAAGTCTGTCAACGGTTTTTTGAATCACCCTGTATATATACATATACATATTCCCACATATAATATAAACTTGCAACATGGATTCATACAATCAATATTAAATTAATGTCATGTAACTTCAAAATTATTACGATTCAATTAAACATTTATCATAATAAGCTAGTTTTAGAATATATTATTAATTTCATTCAAGTCTAGGTCACATAATCTTTGTATATTTTCAAAACGTTTTTGAGATAAAACCGTTGGTTTTCGTGATATTACTCATTCATCGCCTTAAACGTTGTAAACTTTGACACAAAACTTAATGTTTTCGTTTTTCGTGTGTAATCTTCGTGTGCAAATAATAGATAATAGCGATAAAGGCGGTTTTATCTTGTTGTTATTTGCGTTTTACAATAATTTTAGTACTGAAATGTTCGAAATTGATTTATTTTTAAATTGACATTGATATTGAATAAGTTCGAGCGTTTTAACCATGAAGAATTTTAAAGTAATTGGTGTATTTTTAGTGATTAGTTTGTTTAAAGTGGTTTCTTGTGACGTTTCGACTTTTATTTTATCGAATAAAGAAAATATAAGATTGGAAGGAAGTTTAATATTAAATACACAACGAATTTTTATTTTTAAATGTTCGTTTATTGAAGTTGATGAAAACTCGTTTAAAACGTTAACTAATTTAACTGATTTGACGTTTTCGGAAAACTTGGGAGTGAATCGATTGCCGCACAAATTATTTGAAAAAAATATTCGATTAGAAAATCTTTATTTGATTAGAAATAATTTTTCGGAAGTCGAGAATGATAGTTTTTCGTCTTTGCCTAATTTGAAACATTTAGATTTGTCGTTTAATAAGTTGAAAGAATTAAATAAAGATTTGTTTCAATCGAACGTTATGTTAATGGAGCTTTTATTACAAAGAAACGAATTGGAACACCTCGAAGAGGGCATTTTTGACAATTTGAGTCAATTGAAAACGATCGATTTGGCTTTTAATAAATTGAAAAAAATCACGTCGAATTTATTCAAATTTAATTATCAATTGGAAACAGTTTCGCTACAAGGAAATAAAATAAAGCATTTGGATCACGGAATTCAACACTTAAATGTAAAGTCGTTCAATTTACACTCGAATCCGTTGGAGATTGAGAATAAGAAAGTATTCGAAATCATAAAGAGTTTAAATTCGAATGACGTTAAAACGGGGATTCATCTACATCAGCATAATAAAAATAAATATGAGGAAGAACACATTTTGAATTCAACTAATTTTTTATTGATTACGTTAATTTTGGTTACGTTACTTCTTTCGATTTTGGTTGGATATTTGATTTACATAATTAAAACATCGAAAAATGTAAGTAAAAAGTTATCGATTAACATTTAATTTAATTTTAAATTTTTTGTAGAGTAATTTTAAGTATCACAACATGAATCGTTTGAGTAGAGAAGATTTGGTTAACGATGATGTGTGGGAGGAAACCGAAATCAATTCTAATTTAAATAGAAACTAATTTAATTTAATCATAAAAATATTTTTATTAATAAATAAACATTTAAATGTAAAAGCTAAAATATTCTTTTTCTCGCCCTTTTTGTTGACAAAGGAACTGATACGAATAATAAGATAAAAGAAAAAAGCTCAACATTTTACGATTTCCTTTCAGCACGTCTTTTCACCACAATTAAATTACATGAAAACCTCTGCTTTTCACTGTTTTATTCAGGTCGAAAGATTTTATTTTTTGCCTCGGATTTTATTCCTACCCAATATCTAATGATAAAGGAAAATGTTTACAGTTAAAATGAAATCAATTTTATTGAATTCATATTTTTCCATTATACAAGGTAAATCTATAACCTTACCAAAAGCTTTTTATATTTTTATTTTCACTCTGTAAACCTATTCTACTATTTCTGAGGATTAACATCATCGTATTTCCACCACGCTTTTAGTATTGGGAACACTAAAATGTCATTAGGATTACACATTTCTTGAGGCACAATTTCATTTCGGAACACAAAGATATCAGAGAAACAATTATGGTTGCTTATTTTAAAACTAGGTATTTTTAAAAGATAAAAAATATTATACTTGTTTCCTTTCTTTAGGGTGCCTCGCTTGAATAATTAATGGATTTATTTTCAGCGCAACCAATTCAAGATTACAACCGTGTTTCATTGTCAACTGCAGAGATTGATTTAAATAATTTAAAATGTTTACTTAAAAATTGTAATACGAATCGTCCCTGACTATTCTTTTTAAGTTATGTGTTGGAATTCTAAAATTTAAGAAACTAAAAAAACATATATGCTTTTGTAACTAATTATCGAAGATGATTTTTGAGAGATAACGAATTATATTCACAGATAATGAAGATGTTGAGGATGTTCTGGAAAAAAAAGAAGAACATTGGAAGATATTATGGATTATATTGTGAGATGATATCAAGAATTATATTAATGAGAGTTACAGATGAGAGGAATGATATTATAGAAGATTGTGAAAATAATCTCATAAGGTTGTCAAGTAATGATATTGCAGAATAATAAGGGAAAAGTTGAATACAAAAAGAATAAAAGTTTACTACATGAAGAAAATGTGACAGACCAGAAAAATGTTAGATTATCATCAATTATATTGAAGGACGTCGTAGAGAAACTAACACCAATATCGATATTGATGAACCACATATATCATGGAACAAAGACAACATGGTCTTGTGTGCGCTAAATTTTTTTCGACCATAGATATGACAGAAAAATGTTTTTCCTAGATAATTACGTTGTGATCAGCAGATTAATTTCAAATCGCATTATAACCAATTTACTAATTAATCCAACAATGTTTTGGCATGAATTTCTCTCTATATGTTTCAATTTTTAGCATAATTAATTTTACAACAAATTAATCCAAACAGGTTTCCATTTAAGTTATTACAATTAATGAATTAATTATTTTCGATGAAAATTAATAGGATTATTTACGAGGGCTTATTACAAATAATCATTTCAACGAATAATCAGATATCGGGTATGGTAGTATTTGTATTCAAACCTAAACAAGAATTAATTGATACAAAAAGAAAAAAAAGAGAATATTAATTTAGTGATTCTTTCTTAATAAGAATTCTCGATATTCATTAATTTAATTTTAGCCCGTCAACCAGCGATCCCACTAATTAAAAAGGGGCGGTGGGTTGCGAGAAATTACAAACGACTACGCATAGATGGGACCTTAGAAATGTTCCAGCCATTTCTGAAATTGCCTTTGTGATTTACTATATTACACGTACTTACACACAATGTTTTAATAACTAATTTTGTCTCATCGAATTGAACACAATTTTTGTTGATTCCTATATCTGAAAATTTAATGATGATCATGTACATACATAAAAGAAGGACTCAATATAACTACAATTAACGATATATCGTAGGACGAATTAAATGAAGATTGCATATTCTGTTATTGACGTTTCATAATGAATTGAAGTTTCGTAATGATATGGTGTATAATAATTGATATTGAAAAATTTATTTATTATCATGTTTTATATTGCGACCTCATAAACCCTTGACGTGAAACCAGGTATTAGATTATATTCAGAAAAATGCGCGAAAGTAGAATTTTTCCCATGATGCACCACTTGGAAAAATGAGATTGAGATAAAAATTAATTGAAAATTCTGTGTGATGAGAAAGTGTCTAAAAGCTAAATGTGTGTAAAGTTCCAAATAAAACCGGGCATGCGTCGGTTCGTACAGAAATTATTTTGCGCTTCGTTCAAAAGACCAGCAAAAGGATAGTAACCCTGCTTGCTATCAGTACGATCTAGCGATTCAGTGCAGAAACACGCTCAACTCTCGGAAATCAGCCCGGTTGTATAAACCTGTTGATACGTGCATACAATTTTTAAAATAAATTAAGTTTGTTTCGGCTAGTTCTTTCTTCGTTTCGAATTAATTATGAATTATGTAAGTATATTTAGTTATAATAAATAAATTTAACATTTCAGAATTATTACTAAAAATATTGAGATTAAGTGGTTCGTAGCGACAACGTTATAACACATGCAGTTAAATTACATTTACAATGAAACTAGCTGCAAATAACTTATTAATTGAGTTACTTTGTTCTACAACTTCGTCCCAATTTAATTGAAATGTGGCAAAAATCTTAGCTAAATTTTATAATTAAATTATCAGTTTTTATAATTTGTAGCAATTGGAAAGGTTTTCAATCACAAATAAAAAGTTATTATATTCCAAAGTTTGCCTTAGACTCTTTTGTAGATGATATTAACAAAGTCTCTTAGGAAGCTTTGAAAGAACCACTCGAAACCATCTCGTAATATAAAATCCTTTTTCCTTTATATTTCCTTCTAAGAAGATTATTGTTATATTATATAATATTAAATTTCATTTTGAGTGTAAAGCAAATATAAAAAAATAGAATTAAATATAGATTAAAATACTTGAAAACTTAACTTTTTTTAAAATTAACACGTTAAAAATGTTGGATTATAAATTAAAAGCTAAAAGGAATTTTTAAAAATCCATTATTTTTTTATATACTGTTATAGTTTCAGATTGATTCACGTAGAAATGAATTATTTGCGCTTTTTTGCAACGTTGTGGAACAAAATCGACAAAAATAACATTTTTGCATTAAAAAATTGTTATCTAAAAAAACCAATTTACATCATAATTTTATTTATTACAATTGTTTCAAATTCATTTTGAAAGAATTTTAGGATTTTTGTGAGAATTTGAGAGTAGAGGTGCTTCAATCATAATTATTGATCTAATTTATATAGAAATGTTATGGTAACAAAGGTTGTAGGGCAAAATGGAAATACGAAATCCAGGAAGGATTTTTTAAGCAAAGCAAAAGCGTACAATGACTAGTGCAAATCTTTGTTTGTTGTCGTCAACGATTTAAAAGCGGCATGTTGACTTATCCAGAGAGAAGCGAGGCGAACAACATTGTCAAACCAAATGTGCCACCAAAAGCGCGAAGAAATATATTCTTCAAAATATCAAAGAGAAATAGAATGGTCGCAACAAAACAATTTTTAGAAACCTTATTTACGCGTAAACATTTATTAACGACTCATTAGGGTCGTGTTAACTATATCTATATTTATTTTTTGAATTTCGTATTCGCAGAAAACCCCTCTTTAATTTTTATATTTAACCAGCACATTTTTTATCGGGTGTTTTGAAGAGATTTTAGGTTTCATATAATACCCTTTGAAAGATTAGTTGTTAATACACCGGAATATCAACGAGTTTATCAACCGCGTCAGTTTAGATAAACTTTTTTTTTCAAGCACCCTTATCTTTTAAATGGAATACTAAAAAAAAACTCTGTTATTTCGGTGAGTTGTAAATACCAGCAAAGCTCCCTTTTTAAAGAGTCAGGTGCACATGTCCTTTTCGCCCATATATTGATGTCAAGCTTTGAATACAAACTTTTTCATTTGCAAAACATAACTGACTGAGATTAAAACTTTAAAATTCCAATTTCTCGCAGGAAATTGTTAGATTTTTTAAGGGTTTATTTCGATTTCTAATCATCAATACGAGTCAGAGATCAAATAAAGCAAGATAAATTTAATCTTATGGAATTCTATGCTGACTTCAAAGTGAATGAAGTCAAAGCCTTTTCCGGTATGTTGAAATTAGTTCCAGAAACTAAATTAAATAGTAAAACTATTTTCTTTTGTGTAGTACTTGTAAAGAAAGTTTTTTATTAATACTTAATTCAATTAAAATAAAGTTCTTTTCTTCCTCTTATCGTTTACGTAACTAGTTTACTTTATATGACGTATCACATCATACATCATCTGAAATTGCGGTTAAATAGCAAATTAGCAAGTAAACAAGAAATTTGTCGTTCTTTGCGACATCGTTTACATTCCTATTTTTTGCTTTGTACATTAATAGAAAAACCTTTTTCTAAAAAAAAGAAAAATATCGACAATAAATTATTCAAAACGCGAAAACGTGTAACATCGGAAAAGAACTTATTTATGATCTTCGTCTCATCTTATCAATATTCTAGAACTACAACTTCCCTTTGTCTCGAGAGAGTACGCGTTGTAGTTTTATTTTAGGTTGTGAATCGACGATATTCTAAATTCAAATTTTATTTTAAATTCTTTTTTTTATGTACAACGTGTACAAAAAATTTTTTTAGTATTTACATACTCAAAATCTATTTTTGTATATCCCACTGACGATAGACCTATAAAAAAATATCCACAGGATCATAAAATCGCGCATAAACGTTTACGATTGGAATAATTTATTATAAGCTCGAATCCTGCTTGTGCATGAAAAGCCGCCCTACCTTTGCGCGCGTTTATAAAATTCCCAACTCTTCTTTATATAATTTATAGATCTTTTATATAATAACTTTTGTCTATGGATTGAGAAAAACAATCTTAAAATCCGATTTAAGAATCCATCTATCAAACAAACAATATGTATTGCGAATTTGAATTGAGGTTGTTTTGTTGAGGGGTAAAACCCTTAGATCAAGTAGAACGAGATTTGTCGTTATTCGAATTCTATCCGTTGTGCTCGAGATATACAATAAAATGGAAATAAGCTCGTTTTAAAATAGAAAAGAAATTTCGAATTTGTTTGAAAAACATTCTAGTGTTATCGAACTGTTTTATATAAACTTGCACTCTAAACAGAGATAAATAAGGATTAATTTGTTGTATATATTTTACTGATTATAATTTAACTATCTTTTGTAGTCATTTTGAAACAAAAACGGCCCGATAAACGCCATGTTAAAGTTCGTGCAGAGACGATAGGCGATTAACTGTTCTTTAAACTATCTGTTAACGTGATGTTAATTTAACCAAGCGCCAACATAATGCTTTAACCACTCAACGATTTGTTAAAAACTGATTAAGGTGGAATATGTAATCGAACAATATGAACGTATGTTAGTGAGCTAGTAAAAACGTGAGTAAAGCTTAATTAAACGTAGGTTAACTTGATAAATGTGTTACCCGACACCACCTCGCAATTGCTTCAAGTTGTTCAAGAAAGGATTTTTTACCTTTCTTTGATTATTCATTAATTTTGTTGTATTGAGTACTTTTTTGAAACACTCTCTTTGTTAATAAACCGTTCCTATGAAGTTGAACTAATCAATAAGTTGATGGATGGTTGTAAATTTCAGCGTGTTGCCTTCACTTATTTAATGTTTACAAAACCGTTCTTTCTGCTCCTTGTTTTATCAGAGCAACTTAAAATAGTATTGAGTAAGAATATACTTGCATTTTGCTACTTGCTTCGTCAGCCGCTCCTAGACTGGATGTTAGGTTGGATTGGCTGCCGTCGTTGATTCTAGATGGCGCAGAAATACCATACAACTCCATCATTGCGAATATTACTTTGCCTTTTTAACCAGAACCCATACAAGTCTGCAAAAATTGTAAGATATAAGATACAAAAGTAAACGAAGGTAATTTGATTATGATTATGTTTGAGTCAGACTTTTTTTCGGATTGTGAGCTTTTATGTAGCTCTATGCAATTATTATAAAATAACAAATATAGCAAGAAAAACAGTTCATAAAAAACACACATCATATTCGTATTTCACAAACCAATACATACTTTTTAAAATTGAAAAAAAAACTGTGCCACCAGAAAACCAGCCCGAATTATTCATTCCCCAACGGAAAATGAATGTGAGCTAACTAATTAACAAAACCACTCTACGGGGTTTGAATATATTAGCTCGGATTTTTTATGAACTCGACTTCCTAAATTTGACTAATTCGACGGCAATTAAAGTTATTTTAATGAAATTAATTCTTGGGGATTAAATTTAGCAAGTTGTGCAAACAAATATTTTTGATGAAAACCCCAAAAAATAAGTAAAAGAAAAGAAATTAATTGACGTAATATAATCTTCGTTTGCCACATTTTCTTTTTTTTAAAATAGAACGAAAATTTATTATTACAGCAACAATAAATTTGACGAATTTTATTATCAGTTAACTTTTCTTTTTTTTTGTTTCAGGGTTGAAAATATCCACCAATTTAATCATTTCAATTCAAAACGGGGATGTCAGAAGACCTAAAATACATCTACATAAAGAACATAACAATCATGACGCAAAATAACATAGCCATTGTTTCGATTAACAACAAAACCTTTGAAATTCACGGACTTGAAAATCTCGACAACAACACAGATTATGAAATCGGGATGTGTAACGTTTGTAACTCTTCGATTACATCGTATGTGCAAATTTACGCTGAATATCACGGATATTTGGCGTTCATCGTTTGTATTTTTGGAACTATTGCAAATATTTTCAACATCATAGTTTTAACGAGAAAAGAAATGGCATGTGTTCCAATAAATCGAATTCTTACTGGACTAGCTGTTACCGATATGCTCTTGATGGTCGAATATATGATTTTCGCTTATTATTATCACGCCGTTGTTATGAAAGAGTATCAATTTCCTTATTGGGGAGCTGTTTTTATGTTGGTACACATTCATTTTACTCAAATAGCACATACAGTATCGATTTGTTTAACTTTAACATTAGCTGTATGGCGATATTTAGCTATTGGGTAAGTCTATTTATATAACAAAATAATGTAATTTATATCGTTTTGAAAATTAATATTAAATACATTTCGATTGAAATATTTCAAAATAATTTCGTATAAAATATATATTTTATGAACATTTTGGGACTTTATGATGTTTACTTAAACGTCATCTTATGACAAAAAACAGATCGTTGACGTCACCCTATCGAAAAATAAGTTTTATGTGAAGGAATATATATTATAAATATATATATTTATTTATTTACCTTATATGTGTTTAGTGCTGATTTATGGCAAAAACGACTATATATAAAAAGATGGATTTGTTTAATCAACATTTTATAAAAATTTCATATCTGATTTGGAGTTTTATTATTAATAAAGTTGTAAAAGTTGTATATGAAATAACTAAATTGAACCAGCTATTTGATGAACATTTTTAATTAATTTCTATAGTTACCTGTTTCAATAAATTACATTTGTTTATGAGATATATTCAGTAATTTTACGATTTATAAAATCCGAATTAAATATATATATTGTTTCCATTAACATTGATAGGAAAAGCTACCGAATATTTAATAATTGGTACATCCAAAATAACAAGGAATGATAACGCTTAAAAAGCTAGTCCTGTGTACTTAATGTCTCCTTTATGAACGATTTAGACAAGTAATAGTAATACCTTACTTTTAGTCAACAGTACCTAGGCTTCTATAAGAAACATACCTTTACTGGCAGTATCTAGTCTTCTACCAACTGTATAATATAAAGTCTCCTAATATCTAAATGTAGTTCTTTGCCAACAGTATCTAGTCTTCTATGAGTAGTATCTGGTTATCCATTTGTAGTGTCTAGTTTTCTGCAAAGTGTATTCAGTCTTCTACAAAACAATTTTAGTCCTCCATTAACAGTATCTTATGTTCTGTCAATAGTATCTAGTCTCCTATAAGAAAGATGTCTTTAATTGGCAGCACCAGGTCTTCAGCCAATGGTACCTTGAGTTCTACGAACAATATCTAGATTTTCCAAGCAATAGGAAGTCGTCAGCAAGCAGTATCCAGTCCTCCATTATCTGTGTCCATACCTGTAATAGCAGTGTAATTCTTTGCCAGCAGTATTTAATCCTTTACAACAACATTAAATCTTTTATTAGCAGTATCTAATTTTCTATTTCAACGACTATGTCTAGACTTTCATTAGGAGTATCTTCTCTTCTATCAGCAATAAATAATCTACCATACAATACAGCAAGGAATGCCAGCAACCAGGAAATTGCTATTTCCATTACCAAAAGCGTAGCTATTGTACAGCAACATCATATTTAAGCAACTTTAATTTTTATGTAGATTTACAATTAATAAGTAGTAAACAAATCCATTTTGAAAAATAAATTTAATAAACCGATACAATTTAATTTTAGATAATTACTTTTAAGGTATCGTAAAAGCAAAAGTAAAAAACACGAAGTACTTAAAAGAGATTTTTTTACAAGTCACTTGAAAGTATTCTTTTTAGTCGCGCTTTTATTTCTTCTTTTGATGTCGTTTTTTTCTTTGTAGATATCCTGAAAGAAGTAGCGTTCTCTGTTCAGAAACTCGATGTACCATAGCGATATGTCTAAGTTATGTACTTCCGATCATTCTTTGCATCCCAACATATTTTGCTTTTTCAATCAAAGGAGTACAAGTCGAAGAAGACGGAAAATTTTACGTCTTGTACACTTCGAGTATATCGTCGAACGAAAATTTTATTATATTTAATTTATGGACTTACGCCGTTGTAATGAAATTGTTCCCCTGTTTGATTTTAACCGTAATTAGTGCTTGGTTAATTAAAACTTTATATAAAGCAAAAAAACGTAAAAAGGTTTTAAAATCGTATAACCAAATCCCAAAAGAAACTGTTGATTCTAGTGGGAATATTAAAAAGAAATCAAAAGCGGAAAGAAGAGCCGAGAGAACGACTAAAATGTTGGTTGCAGTTTTAATTTTATTTCTCATTACTGAATTTCCTCAAGGGATTTTCGGATTATTAAGCGGATTAAAAGGAAAGTGTTTCTTTTTGAGTTGTTATCAAGAATTCGGAGATATAATGGATATGTTGGCTTTATTAAACGGCTCGATTAATTTTATATTGTATTGTTCCATGAATAGGATGTTCAGGGTAATGTTTGGACAGATGTTCAGGAAACGCATTTTCATCAAATTAAGCGGAAAATCCAGGAATACGGATGCGCATACAACCACAACGTATGTAACTAAATATAGATATAAAGCGAAATTAGGTTGTGAATTAAAGTTAATTTATCAACAATTTTAGAGCAATGGCTGTGACAAACACAACAGAAATATGACTGAAAATCTTAAAACCAGATCCTTTTCAAGATACATTTCAAGATACGCCTGTTTAAAAGGAAAATCATCAAAATGAGATGAATTTAAGAAAATAATAAATGTACTGTTGTAACTTTTTCTTCTTAAAACTGAATGTAACTAAGATGTAACTCAAGTATATGTGCAAATATTAAAGTCGATTTAAGTACAGGTTTTCGCTTTTTATTTCTTTTTTTTCCTTTACCAACTGAATAATTTTTTACTCGGCAAAAAGGTGAACACAAAAGAATGGTTTAAAAAAAGTGTGATTTATATTTGCACAATGTCATTCTTTGTTGTCTGGGGTTTTCTTACCCGTTTACGTACTTTAGAAGTAAAGTTTGTTGACGTCGTTTTCACACTCCAAACTAACGCGGTAAGACAGTGTATCGATTTTCTCTCAGGTTAACCAAAGGTTTTGTTAGAAGTTTGATTTATAAAGAATATAACATATTTTTCTTTTTTTTAATTCGACGAAAACAAACAGATACGATTAAATAGGTAATCATGATCGCATATCAAGTACTTAAATTACATTCAAAATTAAATTGTAATCGAATTGTTTCGCAGAACAGTACTTCATTACCATAACAACACGTTTCAGTTGTGTGTTGGGGCTGATATTATTAGAAATAATCCAATGTGATAGATTAATCGATTCCTGTTTAATGAATAATTTGGTCGACGTTGTCCTCTGAGGTCATTTGCGTTTACTATCTCGAAAGGGAATGCTATTGTAATATATTCTATTTTCGATTTAAAATAATTAAAACTTACATTTATTTAAGACAACTCGCAAAAAATAATGTTGTGCTTTGACTACCTTCATGTTGTTTCTCTTTGTTAGATGACTCAACACGGAAAAACTTAAATATAATCACAAAGTATGTGAAAAGCTGCTTCTTCCCAAGCCTAGCTCTCGATATTTCTCAGTACATTGGCCTGTTGAACCTATTACCACAAATCGCTAAACCAACCCAACTCAACCCAACCGAACCCAAATATTGCTCAATCGTTCAAAAATGAGAAGCGAGAAATTAACATTGAAAATATGAAAGGAACATTAAGCCCTAACATAATTAAAAACGAAGTGGTGTATGCACTAAATATGTTTAAGAATGAATTCAGGGAATCTATAGAGGTGGCCTTTCTTTTGTATGTCTAAAATTTCTTGTCATCACAATTTCTTCCCAATTTGTCTCATACCAGACTACGTGTTTCTGTCTTTTCAATCTTTCTTCTGTTACTAGTCTTATTTTTTTCAATTGTCAGTTTTTTAGCTATTATTGGGAACGAGAATGTCGAGTTTTGGATGGACAATCTCCATTATCTGCGTGAAGACTCAATGGAGCTAAATATAAATGTGTCACTTGCACAGAAATTTTCTAGAATCTTTATTTTACGAAATTTCATTTTTACAAAGCTGTTAAAAGAGAATAGATTCGATAAAGTTTAAAATTAAAACTCTTTGAATGCAAAATAACAATTAGTACTTTCGCTTGGAAACGGTTCTCTTGTACGGATTAAAATTAATGCTTTGAAAAATTGTTCCAAGTTCCGTTTAATTTCTTTTGTATAATTTGTTCTGTATAGTGTAGTTTACGAAAAAATGTAATTTATGATTTATTCTAGGAAACTAACCAACATTAGCTAATCCTCATTATCCTTTGATGTTTACTCTACCTTTTATACCCGCTAACTTGATAACGAAAAAGTTTACTAAGACGAATTAATAAAAGTTCTCAAGCTGTCATTCATCATAAAACTACGAAAAAGTTGCCGGAAAATATCAAGGTGCAAAACATCAGAAATCCAAAAAACTTGAAAAGTAACTTTAAAGGATCTTACCTTAATTATTATCGCGTTATTAGGTAATGTTTGTTGATGGTGATGAAGATCCATTTTTCCAACACACAGCACGCAATACAATGAATATAATCCACGCACTTAAACTGCAAAAGAAGATTATGATAATAAATTACTCGTTAATAAAACACCAATTTTACCTTTTCAACAATATTCTCAACAATTTTTTACCAGGAATCACCTGGAATGGAAAAGTTAAAATAACGCAGGATAAATTCCGAGTTGAGAGGAAATTCAATTTCCCATTTTTCCACCTTGAAAGTTAACTAAAAAACTAGACTAAAAATGCATTTTGTGAAAACCAACATCCAAATCGAAATAAAAAAAATATTTTTCCATGGTGTCAACCTAAATCATCTTTTACATGCATACAAAATTACGAAATTTACATGTGAAAATAAAGGGGGAAACACTCGCTATGTGAATTTTTCGGACATGGTGCTTCTTCAATTTGTTTTATTTTTCTGATAAAAATATTGTTTGTACGACAAAAATATCTCCTTAAGTAAATTTCGTATATAACTTAATAAAGTTTATTTAATTTGTTAAAAGGCTCCACTTTCGAGGAATTGATCAAAATACATTAATGTATTACTACTTCAATTCTTTTAGTTCTTCTCTCCTCAGACATTTAATTAAGTCCCTTCTTTTTCACCTTTAACGCTTCCTGTACGATCGATACCTTTCAACCTTTCAAACATTACTTTAAAAAAAATTCATACAAAATTCTTTGTCTACTGATGTTTGAAAAATTAATATTGCAGGAATTGCAAACAAAAACAAGAAAATAATAATAAAGTGTCCCTATTAAATTGTTTTAAAACTAGCAGGGAAAATATAGCAATATATGAGTGCTTTTATTTTCAAAAAATTATAACAGCGCTGAAATTAATCGGATTAAAATCACTTTTTGCATCTTTGGTTATTCACTACCACGAAAGCCGGTTTCATACGTCTATGTATCAAATGTGTCTAACAATGACGTGTATATTCAATGAAGGTTGAAGTATACAAGATGAAAGCTAACGGTAAAAGGGATCATTTCCCTCGTGGCTGATGGAACCTTTTCCGCTTCAGATCTCACTCGGAGGTAATAAAGCATGTCCGGCAATATTTTTAGATCAATTGCATCAAAAGCCTTTGAGAAATCTAAGAGATGCCCCTCCGTTATCGGTATCTCGAACAATATCGGTTACTACATTCATTAACGCTGTGATATCCCAAATCCTACGACGTCTTACACCGAAAAAAATATAGAATACAACAAAATTACCAAAAAAAACCTTAAAAAAGATAAAAAGTTCGCGGTACCACGGCTTTCGGGTTGCTACCCTGGATCGTTGCTACCCTTTGATCGACCGCATTTCCGTGATTTAGAAAAATGAACAATTGTTTATGATCCAACTCATATTTATGATCATCTAGGATTCTTAGTTCTTAGTAATTATCTACGTCTCGAACTATGCAATACAGTTTCGGTATCTTCTTCGGTATAATTTCCAGTATTTTCCTTGATTTTGGACCTAGTATCTTAATATAAGATAAATTGGGTTAAATTTTAAAATTATTAATGTTAGAGTAATATATATATATAATTAATGTGGCGTAAATTTCCGAGAAAATGGCTCTTCTCGGATTTTACCAAAAAATGTCATCACAAAGTCAACAAAAAGAACTTTCAAAGTACTCTAAAAGCTGGAGTTAATTGGAACTTCTTTTAATGGAAATAGTTTCGAAAACAATTTTTAATAAACAAAAAAATTAATTTCGTATCTTTACACATTTTGAACAGTTTAAGTAGACTTTGTAAAAAAAGCTTTTATGTATTGTCATACATTTTTAAACGAATTTCCAATTCTGTGATTCTACAACAATAAACGATTTATAAATTGTGTTAATAATTCGTAAAAACAATGTTGTTGAATTAAAAATATTGCACAAATCTCCTCTTTGATTAGGACAAAATAATGAACTCATGTCGAATACATGCGTATAAAAACTTGTTGATGTATGCGATAAGCGGTTTTTCAATTCAATATCGTTGCTGATAAATCTAGATAGATCCATATATAAATTAAAATAAAACCCTATTTAAATGAACCTTTTTGAAATTGTATATTCAAACTAAATTATTTCAAAATATATTTACAGTAATCACCCAAGCGAACAAAATAAAATTATATTCAAATTTGAATTTTTTGTTAATTAAAATATAGTAGTATTTTACTATGAAATTGAAATTACATTTAATTTCCATAATCCGGTGGAGAAAATTTTGTACACACTCATAATATTACTAATAAATGAGCGGTGCTTTATTATTAATTTAAAATTCATTTTGAAGATTTAATTTGAAATAAATATCTTCCTGTTAAACAATAATTTAGCCGATTTAATACAATGTTAATGAACACAAATTAATTAATGAAAAATTATTTAATATATAAAAATTGGTTAAGTTTGTTTCATTCCTTGAGCTTAATTAAAATGCAAATTGGTACTAATTTTCCATAAATATTCATATCAGTTTTCTGCAAGATGAATTGAGACGAGCTTGTATTTAAAACAAGACTCTACTTCAAATTCAATAAAAAGTTTTTAAAACTCATTATTTATAAATAAAGATCATAGTTCTCGATTCTCGTTTAAGAGTGATTTTAACTACTCTGCAACAAAAATGAAAAAAAATTATTTCCATCTTTATGAAAGCACAGAAATAAGAAAGCTCCTTCAACATAAAAAAGGAAATACGTTTTTCTTCTAATTTAATTGTGACCAAAAGGAAGTCGTAAAACTCACAGTCGTTTCTTTTTCCATTCACTGCACACATTATCTTTATTTTTCTTTCTTATTTTCATCTCCACTCATAAATCATTATTTAAATTACACTCCCCCATCACTTTTTATTTGTAAAACCCACTTTTAAGGCACAAAGCGTAACCTTCCTAAACCGAAATCGATAATTACCTGACATAAATTGCTATTTATTGGTGGGCCTATTTAGAATATTAATTTGTTAAAAATTATTAAGAAAACGAACCTTTGTTTTCTAATTTGGTGTATTTACCAATATTTTAAGCAAATCTTTAAAATGTTAAAATTTTTAATTGAAACGTTTCATTTAAAATGTTTGCTGTACCATACATTTTAAAAAGTTATGTTATAAATGAAACAACATTTTTTCTACTAACGCGTGTGCTTTTAAACTGAAATATAAAATTATTCATGCGAACGACTATATAAAGGGGTATCCTGTTAACGTACTTTGTGCGTCCAACTTCTCTAAATACCTTCTGTTAGATGGATACTATAAACCACATTGTACTCATTGCAAAATTGTTCATGAAAACGTTATCATAGTGTTGGTCAAACGCGTTTGAGAGAAGTTTTAAAGCCTATTCGAAATGTACGATACGTGCTGTTGAATAGAATTCGAAACGAAATCGACGGAACTCTAGTAGGGAACAATATCCCATGCGATTTGTAGAGAAGCGAAACAAATGGAATGAAAATTAATTTTTTTTTCTCACTATTACGTACCACGAAACAATTTTTAAATGTTTTCAAATAAACAATTAATTTATTGAGACACTTTAAGATGCTCAATTAAGATGGACCTAAATTTCTTCACTTTTTCTTTGTCTTTCTCAAACTTAAGCATAATGTTAAAGTGAATAAAGTGAAAAAGGGTAGTTAAGAAGTATCAAACACTGTATCAAGGGATGTTGGAGCGATGTTGAGGAGAGACAATAATGAAATTAAGAGATATCAGGAGATGGAAACCGATAAATAACAATAAAATGTATATCATAAATGCAGTTGTATGAAAATCGCTCTGTAACTTAGGAATCTAAACTTAAATGCATGGGTATAACAAAACAATCTCGGATGGCTAAAGTATCATGTACTCCAAGGAACGTGAGGCGTGCTTTAGAAGGCGAAAAGATACACGGGGAGAGACGTAATCTTTGGATACGTTGCCGAAACGCCTCTGCATAGATGAACTCTGGAGGCATATGGTATATTGCTCTGGGAATTAATTAACTTATTCTCATTAAAAAAAATTGTGATACTAGTATTAATTTTTTAATTTTCATGCATTACCTTTGGTAGAGCGATTCCCTCTGAGAATATTTTATTACAATTTTAATACATGGAGGAATATGTACACGATAAAATTCTTGTCGACAAGGATCTATTTAAATTCCTTTTGATAGAAGCATGCAAATTGAAATCAAAAAACGACTTTGTATACAATCAACCCTTGTACGACATTTCTTGAAACGCAAGCAATCATAAATTCAAATAAAATTAAGCTACTTTTACTTCGTTTAAATCGCCGATCTTTTTTTATTAATACCATCATAGATTGATGGTAACAAAGTGATTAATTAAATGAAATGGTAATTAATTTTCTCAAAGTAACTTGGAACTTATTTTTACATCGTTTCATTTCTGCTCCTTTATTTCAACGTTTCATTCACCGAAACCGCACTGTGAATAATTATTAAACGAGTTAATTGAAAGCTTTCGCTCATTAAGGAAATCCTGGAAAAAATTCTTATATGAATAACTTCAAAGACTTTTAATGGTTTTAATTATTCGGCATTCTTTGAAGAAAATTATTAATCTCGTTCATGCTTTGACTTTATTAGACTTTAGAGGATATCAAATGAATGGTTTTTTTAATTTATTTTAGAGTTTTGCTTCGTTCGAAAACACAATACAATTTAATTGTAATTTATGTTCTAGTAAAGTTAATACTGATGTACAATTCACATATGAATACAATTTGTAAGTAGAATAAATGTATTACGCTCTTCAGAAACATTCAAACAGCCTCTCTAAGTAACTTAGTGGAAACGTTCGAGTTTAAAATGAGTTTAAAATGAATGAGTTTGTTGTTGGAAATTTTTATTAACTTGGATAAAGAGCTTTTTTTATATACGGTAAGTTAGTTCCCAAAATGCCAAATTTTTGTATAAATTGTACTCAAAACTTAACGTTGTTAACCTGTTTTCACAACCTTTTTGGTTATACATAAAGTACGCGTGTGGTTCAAACAACCACATTCGCGCTAACCCCTAAATTATGTTGTAGCGTTTCAAATCGATTCAAAAGCGAACACTAAACCGCTACGCGACAGAAATCGTCTACGCGTAGCATGCTGCATACAGTTAAAACTAAATCCAACTTTTACCATTCCAATTACAAATACATGTAGCCAAATACTAAAAATAGATGTAAAATTTGCTTCAAATCCTTGATTAAACTATAAATTTCCAATTTAATCCATTTATAGCGGTCATCACATCGAGGAATGCTGTTACAAACTAAAATTTTAAGAATGTAAATCATCTGTTCGACTAGAAAAAATGAGAAAAATCCAGTCATACAAAACGCGTGTTACTGCAGTTTTTGTTAATGATGGAATTACATTCAAATCAACGTTGTGTGATTTTAGTATCAATTGGACAATAAACACCGATGTTATTAGCGTAAATTAATCAACTTCGTAATTAGTTAATTACTTATCCTACAGTGATCATTCAAAAATAGAAAGCAATATCGATAGCGTCAAGTGATCAAGATCAGTACAGATTAATTAGTGTCCGTAACTAAGTTGAAAAAGTGCGTGAGTGAAAAAAGCATGTGATTTGTACCGAAAATAAATTCATTTCCGTTAATTGGTGACTAGCATTATTTTGTAAATGAATTTAATTAATAACGAAGATATTCTCACCATATGCTAGGAAAGTTTTATAATTGAACTACAATTCAATTAAAAAAATTCAAACCATCCTTTGGGTAGAGTATTGAATTAGATCCAAATCTGTAAAATATAGTACTTGTATGAATTAAAGGTGACAAAAAGTGAAATCGACTTTACCTGCTAGCACAATTATTCATCTCATTGAATTAAGTAAGTTTCACTACAAAACTTTAGAAGTTGTTCTTCATTCTTGAAATTAAACGACGATCTCTTAGTTTGGATGTAACCGCAATAAATAATTCTACCTAGAAAATACAAATATCAACTTGGTATACCTGTAATTCTACAAAATTAATTATTACGTTTATATTTTAACAACTGCTCTCCCCTTCAAAGAATTAACATGTAAAAAAATAAATGTTCAGAGCAGAATAACAGAACTTATTAATTTTCCATGTCGAGTGCAGTTAAATAACAAAAAAAACTTGTTAGGAGTGTGCTTTAGTTACAACAGGTTATGAGAACCAACGACAATGTGTAGTGTGCTATAAAAAAGTAACTTTATACGTAAAAAATTACATATCATACAACTTGTGCCACCATTCTACTAAAAAGAGAAAATACTTTAGGTTACCATACCTAAAAATAAAGCAAAAATAAGAAACACATAAATAAAGACTTATTTTGCAAAAAAACTTTATCGCTCACAAAAGAACTACATAAAATATACATTTACATTTTTTAACAAGTAACTATAGAATCAGCATCGTCACTTTTACGTTTCAAAATACAAATCCCATCCAATACCGGTGACAACTGTTCAAATTGGCAAGTCGCCAATTCGGCTCTTTCACCGCTTGCTAATAAAACCGGGGTTGAATGCGTGTGAATCCCAGCTATCGTCTTGGGATTTCCTGCTTTTCCCACAACGTCAACGGCCTGGCCGACTCGAACCGGAACGGAAACCGCATGTAAATTCTCATCTAGCGTCAATAACCACCTAGGTTGAATAGCTATGGCCAAAGCATATAACAAAAAATGATTTCGCCCCAAAATCAACGCGTGCGGATCGATTAGAGCGACCAACGGAATCAAAATACCCGCCAAAGAAGCTAAATCAACTAATTGACGGTCGGTATGCCACGGGCTTAAAGTCATCGTTCCCTTTCCCATATGTGTTAAGCCTTGGGCTATACGCACCATAAATAATTCCGAGGGATTTTTCGCATGATAAACCGCTAATTGACGCAAATTCGAAGCTAATCGTGCGTTATTAGTTCCAGCGCCTACAATTCCCAGTGCGAATATAGCATTACAAGCCATTTTATCATCGGAATCATGTGAATATTTAGTTAATAGATCGATTACGTTTAAATCCGGTTTTGAAATTGAATTTAAAGCAACCGAAAGTGGCACAACTCTTCTCACCGAAGGGTCGCCATATCGACCCACACTACCAAGAACGCGATGACACATTTCCGAACCGACATCATCTCCGATTGCGACCGCTCCTATACCTAAAACCGTAATTGCTTGGGCGATACTAGGATCAAATTCGAGTTTTGATTTCTTTTTCTCTTTCCCTTTTGTTTCTTTATTGCTATCATTAGACGAATATTGATCGTTGTTACATATTTTTTCACCGCAATTGTTTAAAAATTCTTGTATAACACAAACGTCTCCGCTTCCCGCGTAAGAACACATATGTAAAATTGTTTTAGAGGCCGAACAAAACGGTTCCGGGAATACTTGTAAAGCTTCAACGGACGTTTCAATACAATCTTTTCGTCCCATAAAACACATTCCTAGTCCTAAAACCCCTAGTAAACTATGCGGGGTTTTTAATTGATCAGTATCGCGCCAATCAACAAGTTTTGTTAAAATTGATTGAACAATTTCCGGATTACAAGTACCAATCGCGATTAAGCCGCAAGCAAGTGAGGCGATGGCAAATGACTCCGCGGTTTTTGCAGTTTCGATTGCAGGCACGAGTAAAGCAAGAACATCAGCGCGATTCGTGGAAGTGTAAGCGAGACCTAAACCGAAAATTGAGGCGCTTCGCAAAGTGAGATTAGTGTCGTTTGCAAAATCGGCTAATAACGCTAAGGCTGGGTCGCAATCGTTGTGCACGCGACAGTTTACGATACCTAAAGCTAACAAAGCCCCGGCTTTAATCTGAAAAAGAAAGGTTTATGTTATAAAATTTTATATTGTTATTAGATTGCTACAAAGTAGTGTTTCACAAATTATGTGTAATAAGAGCCAGATATGTATAATACATAGACAATGAGGCGTATAATTAAACGCAAATACAAAAATTAAAACTCACCTGATCATCTTTGGAGTATAAATATTTGTCGATCGGTGTTAATCCTCCGTCAACATCCCAAAGATACAACATACCTAAAGCTGCGGTGGCGCTCATCATACCATGATCTTTGTTGCGGTAAATCCATCGATTACCATCATCCGTTGTTAATAGTTTGTCAACACCAAAACCGGCGTTTACGAAACCGTTAACGAAGGAAGCAGCCAAATTTTGCCGCGCGCTATCAATATTTTCAGCCGCCGCCGATGCGGTTAAAATGGACGGGCGCAATGGGGACGGTGACGGTTCCAACCACGTTTTGTAAACGTCTTCCGGCGATTTTGGTTCCATTACGTCCAATTCACGCGTTAAATTTTGGAATTGAGCGCTCAAATGGGTGTTATTTAAAATGTTTGTTAAGTCGTCTTTATCAGGACTTGATAAATCTGATAGATCGACTGAAAATAATTGGCGGGCAGCTATAAATGCTAGTTGCTTTAATACGACACTAAAAATAAAAAATAAATTTGCCTATTATTATAGCATACTTAATTAGATCTACTTATTAAAACTCATCAAGAAGTTAGAGTCTTAATAAACATTATTTATAGAGTCATTTCAAGACATAAATGAGTTATATACAAAACATTTGCTTAATTAACAAAAAATGTTGTCTTATTTAAAGCAGAAATTTGTTAATAAAAATTGTTGTTCAAATTAGAGATCTTATTAATCATTAAGAAGAGGTTGTAAATAGTTAATGCCATTTAAAGCTTACAGCAGATTTAATTGATTCTTTATTCATGTCTTTGTTATTCATGCGCTTAAAAATAACATAACACTTAAAAATATACACTGTGTTTATTAATTCTAGTACCCTACGTCATCATTGCAAGTATGCAACACTGCGATATTGGTTGCATACTTGCAATGATGACGTCGGGTACGATGATTAATTAACACACTGTACTTTCGCAATTTATATTGAGTAGTTAAGGAATTTTATACGTTATTAACAATTAATGTATCTATTAAATCCTAGAAGTTTCTATCCAAACAATCTAAATCCTTTGATTTAGATCATTTGATTGATTAGATGATCCTTTGACTGCATCTAAATTAATAAACAATTTCAACATCTGTACAACAAACACACAAAAATTGAAGTTGCCCAAGAAGATAACTTATCTTCATGGAAAAGGAAGTGTTTTGCAAAAATTTAAAATTTAAAAAAGAAAGTAATTATTGTTGCCAATCAAATCTGAAAACATTTCTTTGCAAAATGTTGCGAATTTCCTCTCTAAAACAAAAATTAAATAATTTTAATCGTTATTTTGTATGTAGTATGAAGGCTTTTACTTCTAAAATCAGTATTAAATATATTAGATATTTCTTTTTGGAAAGCATTTTAATGAAAATAAGAAATAAAATGTATACTTACGGATCTTTGCATTTTTGGAAAATCTCATTCGCCAAAGTTTTTTCGTTCAGATTAATAGCAACAATTAAAGCCTTCGTATATTCTTCGAATCGAACATATTGATCGGCCACCAAACTCAATATTTTCTCCGATTCAATATCATCAACATATTTCGCACAAGATTTCAAATAAAGGCAAACTCTCGCATAGATACTTTTATCGATAAACGGCGGTAAATATTCTAATTTATCGATTTCCATTAACAAATCGCAAGCTTGAATTTCCGCGTGATGCTCACAATTAAATTTAATGATGTCCTTTACTAAATTTTCGATTGTTTCATCTAACATTCGTGATGAATATGTCTCCGGGACAATTTCAATTTCTAATTGTCTTATATACTCGTGACCCCAATCGCCAATGTTACTCATCGTACCCAATAAACAATATTTTAAGCAATCGTTGGGTTTATTTAAACGATTTTCAGGATAAACTGGCCCCATTGATAAAACGGAAATAATATCAGCTAATTGTTTCTTAACTGGACCTTCTTTCATTCTTTCAAAACCAGCTATTAATTGGTGGTAATATGAAGCTAAATATTTTAAAGGTTTTGGAACGGACGTCATACTCGTAGTTGAAGTTCTTATCATAAATTTTAACATTTCCAGAGAAGGTGGAATCAATTTTAGATCGGAACCCTTTGATTTATCATAAAAAGTATTATTTTATGTTTTAAAATGATAAGTATGTAAGGAGAGATTGTGCGCATGCGCATTAAAACTTACCAAAATCCGATCCACAAGTAATTTCAATTCATCTTGTAATTCCCGATCTTCTTCCGACTAAATTTATTACAAAGTTAATTAACAAAGAATTATTTATTAATTAAAACTCACCATTTCTTTAGATTTTGTGTCCACCTCAATCGTTGCTGTAGTAGCCATTATTAATTTGTCGAAAATGAAACTTCACCAAGAATGATTTGCAAGATTAAAAAAACAATACTTCAAATAAACTTGGTTCACTAAATCGTTGGGGTATTCATGAGATCCACTTATAAAGGAAAGAAATGATAAATATTCTCATTTAAAGTCTTTTAAAATACTCACTTTGACAGTTTATTCTATGTTTGAAATGAGCAAATGTTTTTTTTGATACTTTCTAGTTATAAAAGGTTTACCAACATGAAAAAAAATTAAGTTACCGCAATCTATGATTATTTTTTAACGTTTTTAAGAGATTATTAATTTTTATATTTTATTAATAATTATGTCTTTATTGAATAGTAAGTTTCTTTTAACCAAAAATATAAATTATGAAATTTTTTTTTGATTCTTTTTATAAGTAGAATGGTGAATGAGTCAAAATAAATCCTCTTATAACATGAATTTTGTAAATAATTTCTTTTTTTGTTATTTTAATAATGGATAAAATGGTATTGTTAATTTTTACTTTAATGTAATTAATTAACCGTAATCTTTAATATTTCTTGATTTGACACATTCCTTTGTTTGCCTTTGTTGTTGTTTACATAACCTCAAAATTAATTTGATATAATTTTTTAACAATAAATCAGGAATAATTTAATTGAAACAAATAATTTAAAGTCGTATCTAATTTTTCATTTATTTTAGGAATAAGGATATACTGTTAACTTGATCCGAACTTATACGATTTTATGTTTTTTATATCTTCAAGAGTAATTTTTTTAATGGTTATAAATCTACATTATGTATGGTAATATCCAAAGAACCAAACATGACAAGTTCCTGCTGCAAACTACAAGTTGAAGACTATAATAGAACAAGTTATGCATGTTATATATCTAACGAAGTTACAAACTATCTAGATCTATGTAAGGAAACACCGGTACAAGTTACAAGAGCGACACAAGTGGCAGACTATTTAAGGGACACTATAAAGTATATATATAAGAAAATATATAAAACCATGGTACAACCCATACTAACATATGGTACCTAGACGACGGCAGAAACAGAGGATGAGAGGATAAAAAAGAAAGTCTTAACGATCTACTCGAGGGTTTTATGTATTGAGTCTTTTTCTTTGAACATTAACACACCAATATATTAAATTTTTAATCTATTTATAATCTCGTTTATTTCTATTATCAAAATTGCAAATAGTTGTGATATTATTCTTTTTCTAAGTTTGCAACAATTGGGTTGAGCAAATTTAGGTGCTATGACTCTTTGAGTACCCAAAATGTGTTGAAACAATGTATTGCCAATGAAACCTAAAATATACAAGATCCAATGCTCCTTCTGCTACACAAATGTCTTAATTAAATTAAAATAATAAATAATCGTATAAATACTGTCTTAAAATTGGCGCACACAAAAGAATTCTGTCAAGGTCCCTTTTTTAAAAAGAATTTTCAACAGAACCATTATAAAATAATTTAATTAAAATGATGAAATTTAAACTTTTGATTTCAAACCATTCAAAAAAAAAGTTATATTAATATTCCGAATATAAATCTCAATGCAACAAATTAAAATGTAAATTTATGATAATAAAAAGAACCTCAAGAATTTCGAAGTCGATATTAAATTAAAAAAATATTGGAAAACAGGTCCGACCTCGAGTTCTCCTTAATAAGAGTGGTTTAAAGGATATTGAACGAGGTTTGCTTTTGCTTAAGTTTATGGTTCAACCCAACCAAAGAGTGAAATTGTCAAAGGAAAGGTGTGCAGAGAAACCGAGAGCTGTGCAGAAAGACATTCGTGCGAAATCCGAACCAAGTTTAAATCACGTTTTGTGGTCAACACGTGCACTTCTTAAGAAAACTATTAAAAAGAAAATAATTATAAAACAATTTCATTACAAATTTTGAATTAAAATGTCTGTTGAAGTAATATCTATGGTGTTTTTTGTAATTTTTTCTTTAAACGGTAAGTGATTATTCAATTTATATTAATCAATTTCAAAAAATTATTTTTTACATCTTGTAACTTTTGTTTTTAATTATCGTTAATTATTATAGCTTCGATATCTTCCTGTAATTCGTGTTAAAATGTTTTCTTTTTTTGTTATCCAAAGAATTAGAAAGGTAAATGAAGATTCTTAACCCACCTAGAGTTTTAAGCGTAGCTAGATGGAGGAATCGAAGAGGTCGCATTCAGCATGACATTTCTTCTTATTGAGATTGCAAAATTGCAAAGAACAATTTCGTGCTTTCTCGGTTTCTTCATGAATAATGTTAAAATGTTGCAACCGACAACTGATAAAAACCAACAAAAATTACTTCAAAATGTATTAAGTTTTAAAGAAATCTTGACCTTAATTAAGGTTATTTTCTTATATAATTTTTTGTTCACATTTTAAAACTTTTACTTTTAAGGTGTTATGTAATAAAAACGATTTTTACTAGAAACTTTCTTAAAAAGTTATGCTTACTTTGGAATGCGTCAATAAAAAGTTACTTTTTTTGTTAATTTGCAGGAATCAACGGCCAAAATAGTAATAATTGTCCAGATCGAACCGGATATTTTCCTGATCCCTTTCAATGCGACCTTTATTACATTTGTTCGAAAGGAATTGCAGAAGTGAAGCTTTGTCCCGATGGTTTAGTATTTGATGATAGTGATCCGAATAAAGAACGATGTGATATTCCTGCTAATATTGATTGTGGAGATCGTACAGCGTTACGTAAGCTAAAAGTTTTTCCTCTTCTTCTCTTTGAAACCTTTTCAAAACCTGCCATAGCCTCCCTTTCACTAATTAAGTTGTTTCAAAATACGCCTCATTTAGGTATTAAATTGAAAACAGTAACAAGTTACTTAGGTATTTCACTTAAATTTCATTATAGACAAAAAACTAGATACGGCTGATTAGATAAATGCAAGAAAAGGAGTCAGGATTGGATACTACTATGAGAAGACAAGATTATGCTTGCAAAAGACTAAATGTTGTTTGCAAAAGACTGGATATTGATGACAGAAGACTGCATATTGGTGGCAAAGACTAAATTGATTACAGAAGACTAGATATTGATGGTAAAAGACTAGATATTGCTGACAGAAGAGTAGATATTGCTGCCAAAAGACTAGATATTGTTGGCGGGAGACTACTGATTGCGAAAGTCTTTCAGATGATATTATTCATATAACTTGATACAGAATCGTTTTCCTAATTTCTTTGATCCAGTATTTTTTATCTGATTCGAATTACCTTTAAGTGTACTTAAGTGTATTATATTAATGAAAAGCATGAACCTTTAGAAACTTAAACCTCTTTTTTATATAAAAATTTTCTCATTTTACTTTATTATATTTTCAAACCTTACAAATTTTTGCAGAAGAAGCCAAATCAAGTAAAGGATGTCCAAGAGCGAACGGTTATTATCGTCACACGGATCCATTAGCTTGCAACAAATTCTTCAACTGTGTAGAAGGAACTCCAGTGGAATTAACCTGCCCCCCTGGGCTGATTTATGACGATATAGCAAGTACTTGTGCTTGGTTATCCGATACGAATAGAAAAGATTGTAGTAAATCAAAGAAAGGTTAAATTAGCTTTAAGTGAAGACGAAATTCTTTTAAAATTGATTTTGTTTTTGCAGATTCCTTAGATGATGGGTTTACTTGCCCAGATGAGGAAATTCAAGGCCCAGATGGAAGAAAACTTCCACATCCCACTTTTCCACATCCAGACGATTGCCAGAAATTTTATATTTGCCGAAATGGGTTAATGCCCCAAAGAGGGTCTTGTTCCGGGGGGAAAGTTTATAATGAGGAGAGATATACTTGTGATGAACCAGAAAATGTCCCTGGATGGTAAAATTATTTGCTTAATTTGTTTAATAAATAATTTTTTTTTCTTTTTAGTGAAAATTATTACAAAGGAAAGAAAAATTAAGGTTGTAAGGTAAATTAAGGTAAAGCCATAATTTAAAATATTTATATATTCGATGGATAATTTTAAGTTTTATATGGAAAATAAAATTTTGTATTTTAATAAGATTTAATAAATAAGATTTTGATTTCTAAACTAGATCAAAAAAAAATTAGAACCCAATCGTATTCTTATACAATGGATTTCTGCAATATTACAACCAAATCTGGAGCAGTGAAAGTATTAAACGAAGTGTGTGACATAATTTAGCACACACAGAAAACGCAAAATGTGTAATTTACCTTTGTTACCTTATCTAGAATTAAATCTAATACAAGAACAAAGAGAAATTTTTTGTATCCCGCAAAAACGATTTCATTCAAATCGACAGATAAACTTTCTAATCCATTAAAAAATCTTCACCCACTACAAATCGAAAAGAAGAAACATTTTCTCTTTGATGACACGTGTAGAAATTATTTGAACAAGTTTATGCAGATTTTTTTAAAGTTAGGCAACCAAATAAACACCTTAATATGAAATTAAGACAAATATCAATTATCACAAATAATGAGCCATGAAATCGATTCTTAAATAATTCTCGTTATGAAACCAAAAAATTATTTTTTTATCGATTATTCCCATCAAGGATATTTCTTAATGATATATTACATCATTTTATGAGAAAAAGGAGATCAAAAACAATTAAAATTACACAACATAATTGAAGGAGGAATTTTTTGCAAAAGACCACACCTATGATAAAATTTTTGGAGTTAAAGCCACGAACTATGAGAAACACGGTGAAGGGTAAACAGTAGAACACACTGGAACACACTTCTGTGTAGAAAGTCTTGCGTTGTGGGTCGACATCGTTCAGTCTGGAAGTAAGACCAACACAATGATAACCTCGAGTTTTGTGTTTTTCCTCGTGTTGTCAATAGGTAAGAAAAAATAAGTCAAAAAATACTTAGAAATAAAATAACTCCAAAAAGATAATTAAAAAAAAATTGGTTAAACACAATTTTTACATTTTCACATGTAACTGTGTTATAAGGTGAACGTACGGTATTTAAACTTTTTTTTTCTACTACGTCTTGTCTTTTTAAACGTTAAATAAGAAGTAATCGTTCCATATGTGCGGTCCAACGAAGTTTTAAAAAAACGTATTCGAATCGAAAGTCGTTTTGGTTGCATGAAACTCGTTCTAAATGCTTAAGTAAGGTAATTCTTTTTTCTATTGTGCTAATCGTAATCAATTTTTAAGTCAATCTTAGAAAGTGTCGTAAAATTGTCTTGGAAGTTATTTTTGTGCGAAGAAAATCTTTCCTCGCCTCATTGCATATCGGGTAACATGATATTGAAAGTTGTCGATTACTAGTAATAACGAGTTTGAAACCTTGAAAATAGGTTTAAGATCTAAATCTTAATGCTTTGTTTTATAAATTTGTTTAAATTCAATAATTTTTAACTAATTGTCGAGGCGTTGGCTACTAAAATTATTGCAATTTGATTTATACTCACCAATAATACTAAGATTAACTCTTCAAATAATTCTTATTTACTCAAAATACTTTCAATGACTTAAAATTGGTGTTATTAAATTGAACGTGTTAATATTTGGATTTGGAATGTCTACTGATTAATTCAGGCCAAGTACTCTCAGTATATCTTGAAAAAGAGTTCTGTCAAGTATCCATTCGAGTCGAATTGAAATAGTAGAGATGGTGTTCAATCTGAAACAAATAAATGTTACCTAAGTTGTACCAAATTTTGTATTGATACTTCCCACAAGCTTGATTAGTCATAGTTTGTCTGATCCCTTGATTCCAGGATTTATTTCGTCTACCTCTTCTTCTTTTATGCAATCTTGATACCTTACATACTCTTCTGGAAAAGTTAATTTCCATCGTTTCCAGTTATATGCTGCGTTTCCATTCAAACCCAACTAAATCGGTAATTGGTACAAGTAATTCCGTTACCAACAATCAATAAATAATTAACGTTGTCAAGAAATTACTTAATACTTCTTGTATATTATATTTAATTAATTTTATTATTAATTAGCACAAGCTGGTGTTTTGGTACAAGATGCACCAAGTTGTCCTGAACAACACGGAGTTCAAGCTTACGCCCATCCAGAATCTTGTAACTTATTCTTCTTATGTACCAACGGGACCTTAACGGTTGAACATTGCGAAAATGGATTGTTGTTCGATGGTAAAGGAGCAGTTCATCACCATTGTAATTATCACTGGGCTGTTGACTGTGGACATCGTAAAGCGGACTGTAAAAAAGATTATTTAATTTTTTTAAATAAATTTTTTGATTAAACCAAATTTTAGTAACCCCAATAAGTAGTCATGGATGTGAATATCAATTTGGTTTATACCCATATTCCGCCGAATGTTCAACCCATTACATTAAATGCGCCTTTGGTGATCCAATCCCCCAAGAATGCGAACCAGGATTAGTTTACGACGAGAAAATTCATGGATGTAATTGGCCCGATTTACTTCTTGAACAGTGTAATCCAGAAGGTAATTTTTAATATTCTTTGATGTTTTTGTACTGATTTCTTTATATTTTAAGCCGTTATTGGTTTTAAATGTCCAACGAAAATTCCCAACAACAGTGTAGCAGCGAAATTTTGGCCTTACCCAAGATTTGCAGTACCGGGAGATTGCAATCGTTTGATTACTTGTGTTAATGGACATCCTCGTTTGATCGCTTGCGGTAAAGGAAAAGCTTTCGATCCGGCTACTTTAACTTGCGAAGATGACGATTTGGTGGCTCACTGTGGAGGACGTTAATTACTCGAAATTTGAAAAGAAATTATAAAGAAATCTTGGTTTAAATAAAAAAAATTAAAATTAAAAATTTTTTCGCAAATTTTAAGTTGAATTTTGCCGAAATAGTTTTGCCATTTTTTTATTGATATTGTTTGTCGGAATTGTTTATCTATTTGTATCATATTTGTATTTTTTTTTGTAAATAATTGTAAATGGTTGAAATCAATAAAAATAAGGTTCGAATTGATTTGTGTATTATATAAATCAAATTGTGGATACTTCCCACAACGGCTAATAACCTCGATTAGTCATAGTCTGCCTGATCCCTTGATTCCAGGATGTATTTGGTTCACCTCTTTTTCTTTTATGTTAAGGTACATATCCAAAAGCTATCAGAAGACAAGATTATGCTTGCCGAAGACTAAATATTGATTTGAGAAGACTAGATACTACTAGCAGAAGACAAAATTTGCTTCCTTGTCTAATTTCTTCACTTGGGATATGTTCCAGTTTTGATACTTTTTATGCTCTTCTTGGAAAGTTCATTTCCATCGTTTCAAGCTATGAAAAGCAGGATCATAGTGATCAGCATTCCAGAATTGTTATCTTTTTGTATCATATTTGTATTTTTCTCTTGTTAATAACTGAAAATGTTTAAAATTAATAAAAATAAGGTTCAAATTGGTTTAGATTACAGATTTCTATAATATTTACAGATCTCTTCATGAGTTGGCTTATCTACAAAATAATTTAATTTTAACTCAGCTTTATTTGTTATAATTATTGACTGCAAACTATCTTATTACTTTAACGTTTTCTTAGGAATAAACAAAAAGGTTTTTGAACAATTAAAATTCATGTTAATTTTTTTCTTTGCCATTTCGCTTTGTTTAGGAGTTTGTGTGATAAACATTGCATATAAGGTTCCTTTTTCCATCCTGATGATACATACAAAACGCTGAATAGGTACAAAAAAACTCAACATAAACCTAGAGTGGGGCGTTGTGCATCCATTCAAAACGTCAGCTTTTCATAACAGCAATCTTCTCTTCAGTTGTGGTCGTTGTGGTTCAGTCGCAAATGAATGCTTGGTGTTGTTGGTTTGCATCATTTTTTTATCGAGGTTCAGTGACGAGTTTAACGAATTTTCTTGTTCTAAAAGCGAAGATTTAAAGAGGTTTGTAATCGTTCTAAATAGATTATAAAAACATAACCTAAATAAGTACTGTTTGTTGATAAAAAATATGTATTAAACAATTTTATATTAATTTCAATATTTGTAGATTTACTTGGAATGTTGCGGTTATTTATTGATAATAATAAAAATAAATAAGGTCAAGTAATTATCGTAAAACTCTGAAAGTTTTATCAATAACGTTGTAAAATAGTTGTTGATGCTATTTTTGTTGTGGTTAATTATTTTTTAAATATAATTATTATGTAATACTTTTTAATTAATTCATCATTTACTCATTATCTTGAGAAATTTATTTTTATAATTTATAATCCGTTGATAATCGGTTATAAAAAATGCAAAATGCTTAATTGTTTACAGCCACAAGAACTATTTATAGAAAATCATCTTTGATACGATTTCTCTTCTCAATAAAACGTAAATCCATCATCAAGTTTTCTAAAATCCTTTCACTCCAGATAAAAATTTGTTTTGTATAAAATTGTTAATCAGAAATGACGCAATAACTTCATGACTCAAACTAAGAATTATTTATGCAAATCTAATTATGTTCAAAATAATGTAATGTTTCTTTCAACTGCTTCTTATTGGATTTAATTTAATTTAATTCGTTAAATGAGCTTAAATATATATTCTTATTTTATTTTATTAGTACCAATTTATCCTTAATTGCAATTTCCGCTATATTCCCAATAAAAAAAAGATTTTCACAAACCATCGATCATTTTCCATCATCTATTGTATGGTAATCGTTAATTGCTTCCTGTTTCATACAAAATCGGGTCACACCCACCCCTCTCTCAAATCTAGGTCTTTCTAGGTCTCTAACCTTTTTTAGTGAAAAATCGAATCTTTTTAATTGCGGAGTAGCAAATGTTATTTTGAGAGTCCAACTCAAAACTTTTCTTTTGGATGTTTTTGAATTCCCCCGGTTTATATTTACATCTGGAGCCAGTTCGTTTCGTCTGCAACAAAAAAGATTTCTTAGAATTTTTATGAGAAGAATGACGTCACTCATCGTGACGAGATCAAACTCATTAAAATCGACGTCACGACGAATGAGATCATTTCTAACTGTATTTTAAACACCTATTCGACATTGAACTAGTTTTGTATTAATTAGTTCATGATCTAGTTTATAATAAATCTTTTTATTAACAGAAATGGCTGAAATTGAAGAACAAGTTGTGATGACACCAAAAGGAAAAACGTCGAACTCGACCACTTTAATAATTGAACGTAAAAAAATCACAAAAACTAATCAGATGCATGTAGCCGGTGGTGAACATACAGGAATTGTTATTAATAAAGAAGTTTCAAACGATTCTAACTCAATTCCACCAAAACTTTCTTTGGTTTTTTGCGTTTATTTAGTAAGCGCCCAAACTGGTAAACACACCCAAGAATCTCGAACTTTACGATTTTGGTTTAGAAATATTTTAAACGAAAACATGAATGGCGTCAATTTAAATGGAAATATCAATGAAAACGATTCTGATACGGCGAGTGTTGCTCAAGATTTTTTTAAAGAATTGGTTAGCCCTCAAGAATTTCCTCGAGATTACGTTGGATTTATTAAAAAGATCATGAAGTTGATGCAAAAAGATTATTTGACTATCAGTAAATTGGAGGTGGAGTTGAAACAGCTTGAAGAAGCCTCAGTTCCAAATCGACCACGTAAGTTTATTTTTCTTCCCATATTATATTAAAATTTAAAAAAATAACTCACTGATAATTTTTTTCTTCGAATTCTTCTTAATTTTCTTTGTAGCAAAACCGGGTTATCTTCATATACAACTTTCTACCGTCCTATCTTCTTCAGGTTTGGTTCTAATTAAAAAGAAATTAAAAAAATAAAGTTGTAGTAAATAACACTTGAAATAATTTAAATAATTTTTTATGAGGTGGGGTGAAATGATTGATTTGATTGATATTGGACGCGAATAAAAAATTAAACTGTGTTGATTGAAAGTATTTAATTTCAATGATCAAAAATGCATTCAAACATTTCTTTTGCTCATATTTTGATTATATCTCAACAAAACGTTTTGATCAACAAGAAAGCAGAGTTTTTATTTGGACCTCTACAGTTATCTGATCATATAATTAAGTGTAGGAAAAGGATATTATTCCTTAACCCTCTCTTATATAGAAAACTAGTGGAGAAATTTTCTTAAGGGAAGCTTGAGGTTGATATTAAATTTCAATCACACTTTTTATTAACACAAGGTTTCTTAACTTTAGTTATCATGGTATAAGAAGCTTATCGTTAGGTCATAATCAAAATAGCAAGTCTACCCCCCTTCTTCTTCCTTTTGGTTGCCTTCTCTTTGGTATTCTTTCTTCGTCTATTTTTTGTTATTATTATTATCTCCTCTCTTAGAGCTTTACTACTCCTGTCTAACATTGTCCAAGTTTCCTTATGTTTAAAATTCATTTCATTTGTCGGAGCACCCCACAGCAAGCTTCAAAGTGTAGGAAGAAAACACGCATTAGCGTTATTCACTATTACTGAAATTGAAGAGCTCCAAAATGGGGAGGCACCTCCAGAAATAGTGGTAAAGGGTAGACCTTTCAAATAAAAAAAATTTATTCAAATGAAACAATTCGTTCAAAAGTTCTTGCAGTTTGAAATTGGTTACTTTTCTTTATTCCTTTATGAGATTTTTATTAAGATTTTTATCAGAATTGGTAAATCCTTCTTACCATCACGTTCATCATGGCTTTTGTGGCATTTTAGTCTTCATAATAACTTGCAGTTTGATGTACTCTTTGAAAACATTTCTCCCAAGCACACAAATGCAAACTCTAAATTCATGTTATAAAAAGATTACAAAAAACATAAAAACCAAAATGTTGTTTTAATCTCCAGACTTCTTAACTGATTTAATTTTTATTCGCATCTTAAATTAATTCAATCATTTTCCACACCTTATATTTTTCGTGCTAACGACGTGTATTTTTTCCTTTTATTAACACTTTGTAGCCTTTTTAGTTGGTGTTTGTACCTTTGGGATCATTAAAAAAATTAATTAACACTCACTAATCTTGGGATAAGCACAATTTTCGTAGCAAAAATTAATTAAGCAATCATTTTTCACCAAATCAATTTTTTTCTTATTTTATGGGAAAAACGCATGATTTATTTATGTAACATTTCAATAAAAATATTGATCTAATTTAGTTAAATTTTTAGTTTCAGCAGATGAAAATTCTTTAGGAAACGTTGTTTTACTATCAAAAGAAAAAGTTTTAGAACTCATCGAATCGGCTTACCCAAACCCAATTACAATTCAAGATATCTCAAAGTAATTTTACAACAATTCATTTTTAAATTATATTATATTCTTTTAAATTTTTAAGAGATAATAATTGGGATGAAGAGGAAGTATCACATCATTTGGCTGAATTGCAATCAAAAGGACTTGTTAAAGCCATGGATCATGGTGCTTTTACTCGTCAACAATCGATGGATGTTCAAGTAACCGTTGTTAAGCAAATGCCAACGATGGTTAGTGCGAAACAACCAACAATTGCTATAATCACAGCTCAATATTGTGAGAAGTTAGCCGTTGATGCGATGATTGAAAATAAGGAAACATTTGTGAGATACACAACAGTAGGTGAGTTTTAAAAAACAAAATTAACATAAAAAATTTTATTTCAACACAAACCAATTAAGATTCACTCAATTCGTCTTCACTTAAAGATGAATCTTCTGAAGAATCGCTACTAGAATCATCATCAGAATCATATTCGTTAATTTTAATGTTTTTAAACGACTCTTCCAGATTATTTAAACAACTTCCTTCCAATTCAATTAAATTCATACCTAAATCTGATCGGTTTATCGTTAAATTTTGGACCTCAACAACGATTTTTTCCCATTCGTTTTGATTCCATTTCGAAATATAAACAATATAATCCTTAATAAATAAATTGTTTAAAATATAGCCACCAGAATCGTCATGTAAAAAAATATTATAAATCGAAATTAAACATTTTATAATGAATTTTTCGCCTAAACTCAACAATTTTTTTAAATCCACAAGGATTTGTTCACATAAAAAAAAGGATCTATAGATTGGGTAAATTAATGATCGCCGGAATGCGGAAACTAACGCATCTTTTGGGCTTAAAAAACTATCAAACCAACTTAATGAACAACTAACATTAATTATTGTCCAATGAGATTCGCAGGTTTTTTCAAAACCTGTCGTTCGAGCATCATAACAATAAGCAAATAAGATATCTATTAAACTATTTCTACAATAAACAATTTGTTGATCACTTAAATTAAATTCTATGTTTAACAAATCTTTCATAAAATCCAATTCTTCGTCACTAAATTTAATTTCCGACTCCTTTAAATCATCCCACGGACATTTTAATTTACAAACTTCCCTAATTTCCGCATCATCCATTAAATCAGCCGCGTAATGTTCAAAATTAAAATCTTCTTGTTCCTTCCGCATCCTCAAAATTCTCCGATCTTCAAATTTCACTTCGTGCGGGTTTATTTTAAAAATATCAAACTCATTATGAAGATTTCTAAAATCATATCCACCTCTTAATCCAAACCCATACCCCACTTTATCACCACCCCAATTTTCAGCATTTTTCTCCCCATTTTCATCACCAATTATTTCGATTTTCCTTCCACCTTCGTTAACCTCAACTTTCGATTGTAACAATGAAGTAATCAACTCCAAGTTTGGAAAGTCTTCACCAACATTCTCTTTACCATAAATCAGAATAAATTCACTTGTATCCGCGTTAAAACTTACTTTAGATTCGGCGTTTTCAACGATGTTTCCGGGGAGTTTTAACCGGAGATGATATGGAAGGCAATGGAATAAAAAAACGTTATCGTCACAACTTGTATCTAATTCGTCCAAGTTACAAAAGGGTGCTTTTATTGTTATTGTTACAGTACGATCGGTTTGCGTTAAGTGAAAACGCGGAATTATCATGATTTTTATGTTTGTTGTTTTGGCGTGTTTTTGACTTTTTGAGGTTATGAATAGACTTTAAACAAGATGGAGATAACTTGTGTCATGAAATGACTCATACCAATTTTAGAATGAATAAATTTATTAATTTTAACAAAATTATTTATTAATTAACTAATTAAAAGTATTTAATATTATTACTAATTAAATTGATATTAAATTAATTTGTTTTTTAAATTTAAAAATACATAATTGATTTTAAAAGCAAGATGGAGATGGATTAATTCGGATTAATTTAATAAATTTATTTTATTTTAATAATAACTTAATTATTTGTTGAATATAATTTGCATAATTAATTCATTATCAATTCTGTTAGAAATTTAAAACTTAAAATCGAAGCTTTTTAATCAACAACCATAAAGGCTAATAATTAGGAGATTGTAAATAGCAAAAATGATTAAAAATTAGTATTAATATGCGGTAGGTCCGACCAGTCCAACGGGAGAAGCCCCTAAACCTCGATTTGGTAAGAAAACCGTGTGGAAAAGTGCATCTTTGCGCTTAGGTGGTGTCCCAATTCACTCAATCACGCCTTGTTTGTCTACCTTTTAACTCTTTAAACAACATTTTTTATGTAAAAGCACATCGTATCACTGTTTATTGTTTTTTTTATCTTTTTAAATGTTTTATACCCATTTTTAGACTTAGAAGGTTTTTGTTACGTTTTCTGCTTTTTCCATCTTTTCTGTTTGCTTTTATACATTTACTTTATTCAATAAGTGACAAATAGATTTAGGATTAATCAATCATTTCTTTGTAACCTAGGTGAATCTAACGTTTACACTTTGGGGAACATTGGAGCTCATCGTATTGTTTGCACAAAACTTCCTACTGTTGGACACACAAGGGAAGCTATGACTGCAGCTGGAAATACCACAACTAGACTTTTAGGAACCTTCCAAAAGGTGGATTACGTATTTTTAGTTGGTGTTGGAGGCGGAGTTCCTCATTATACGGATTATAATAAACATGTTAAACTTGGAGATGCTGTTATTTCTTGTCCAACTAAAGATAAGTACGTTAAAAACAGTTTTGCTTCATTTATGCTAAAATTGAAAAACTAAATAGTACATTGATTGTTGACAAGGATGACATTTCTTTCTGAGGTTAAGTCTCAAATTAATTTGGAACAATTAATTAATTTTAATAATTAATAACTTATTAATCAATTATGTCAACTTTCTTAAATTAAAAATATCCTAAATACAAAAACATGAGAAAATTAGAAAATTATTTAATTAATTAATGTCAACTTTGTCAATTTAAAGGTTATGTTTAAATAATTTCATTTAATCTTTTCTAATTACAATTTTATACTTAATAGGTACATTTACGTTTACTGCGACGCAGCTAAACAAACGGAAAAAGGGTACGAATTCGAAATAAAACCATATAAACCTGCAAATTCAAATTTACAAAAAATTGCTTCCGATTTAAAATCTTCAATACAAAACGCGGAAAATGAAGCTCCTTGGTTAAAATACATTCAAAATGGTTTAAATATTTTATCACAATCTGAACAAGACTTTAAAAAACCAAGTGCAGAAACAGATAAATTATACATGTCAATAGGCGAACGAGACATCATAGAAGTTGCTCATCCAGTTCCTCAAGATAATTCGTTAAATAAAGAAAATCCTCGTATTCATTTAGCTCCGATAGCTTCAGGAAGACAAGTTGTAAAATCAGATCAACTCCGTCAACAATTTGCAGCTCAATATGGAGCTTTAGCTTTTGATTCAGAGTTTGATACAGTAATTGAATCGGTTTTGGGTAATTGCAAAGATAGTTTTATTTGTATTCGAGGTATTTCTGATTATAAAGATGGTACAAGACGTAAAGAATGGCAACCTTATGGATCTTTGGTAGCGGCGAGTGTCATGAAAGCGATAATTTGTGGAATGGAACCACCTACAAACGTTTAAAGATTCTTGAGTAGAAATACGAATTTTAGGGACCTAAAATAAATGCTTTTACATCGACTAAGAGCCTAATTTTAATGATTTTTCATAAGATTTTTGTTTTAAGGTGCAAAGTAATCTCAAGCTAGTCACTGAACCATTTTATTATATTAAAAAGAGTAAAATTTTATTTTGTTTCCTTTTAAAGTACCCTCTAAGTTTTATTTTTTTGTTGATTTGTAATTTTTTATATTTATTTGAATAAAATGAATACAAATTAAGTATATCATGAATACGAATTAATAAATATTGATGTTAACAAATCGATTTCGTTTGTATTTTCCCTTAAAACAATTTTTTTAAATAATTTCTATTTTAAATAAACAATTTATTCGAAGGATTCTAACTTTAAAAATCAAAGTAGGCCAAGATTTTTTTTTATAAAAACTAAGAGAAATCTACAACAGATGGCGACACAAATGGAGCGATTGTTAAAATGGCCGCGCCGTTGTCAAAAATAGCAACACGGTTCGATTTTTCATTTAATTTTCTTGTTTAAACCCCATTTAAAACGTTTCATTTGTGTTATTATTCTCTCGTAAATCGTTCACGTGGTAAGTGCGTACGAAAATTTCTTGTACCCCCAATGTGGCTTGGGTTTTTTCCTGGGATTAAGTCGTTTCACCCCCATCTAACCTAAGGTAAGTTTTTCGTTTCCAAGTACGATTTAACCAGTTAATTATCGCGTTTTAATTGATTCTAATGATAGTTAAATGATGTTTTGATCATTTTTAAGTTGTTTTACGTGACGATCCCGTCGCAATTTCATTTAGATTTCGGAAAAACCTGTTTGCGTTCACATATGTTGTGAAAGATAATAAACGTATTGGTTTTAACTGTAAATATTTAATTTAATGGTAGAGTGACACCCGTGCTGATAAATCGTGTTTATTGGATTTTCCATGAATAGTTTTTATCCTCTTAAAATATCTTTGTTTAGAAGGTAAGTTTTTTTCGTACAAAAAAAGTAGTAATTTTTTGATTTTGTTTTTATTTACGTTGGTATGATCAGCTGTCATGTTTTGACAGATCTTTGTAAGATAAGTATTAATGAGGTTATGTTTTTGAATTTTTGGGTTATCTTGGTTTTGTTTGGGTATTTTTAGAGATTATCTGTTCTTGTTTTGTCGTCTTAATAATATTATGGTATATACGAAATATTAAATGTATTGAAAAATTCTTTTTAAATTTTTTTAGGATTTACCACTATTTTACAAGAAAAACTTTGAATAAAATGAAAAATTTATTTATTATTGGGTATATTCTTGGAAGTATTTGTCATTTCTTCTTTCTTTTTGTCTAAAAATTTACCTAAGTTTTAGGTGTAGAACAGAGACAATATCTTTTTAAATACAAGAAAGGAAGAAGCAGGTAGGTTTTAGCAATACTTTTGTGGAAAAAGTCATGATTTGTATGATTTATAGCTATTTCACGAGAACGAATAGTTTATAGATGTAACAATTAAACTTTTTATTATCTAATTTTACCAATAATTTCTCAGTATTTTTCGATAAGATAAAATTCACGATAACTTATAATTATAACCGCACATGGTTTCGATTACTCATAACATTCTATAAATTGCAATATAAATCCGTGATGACATGGTTCCGATAACATCAGTAATAGCCGAGTTTTAGCAACTTTTTTTAATAAAACCACATATTTCTAAAGTATTGCTTTAAATGAATAAATTTATCCTAAATGAATCTTCGTTGTTTTGGTAATCAAAAGATGAACTTTGGGCCATTTACCTTCACCTGTATATCAAACGGGCGATCATTTTTAGTACCTAAAACGAGTGGATACGTTCTCCTCCCAATCTGCTGCAATCGTCGTTCTGTGAATGGCTATTTTTAACCGGTGGCTCACTTTAACTGGCCGGCACACACCGAGAAACAGTTTGCCCGTCAACGTCACGTGTACGCAACACGATTTTCCGCGTGTTAAAAATCTTAATAAATTTATTTTCTTTAAAAATGATTTTATAATATTAATTGTAATTAATAAAGTGAAATGTTTTTTAAGGATTTCTCTTAATTCACGGATTATTATTTTAAAGGTAATTATTTTCTTTTTATTTGTGGTTTAGAACAAGATTTTTATTAATATAACATTAAACATTTTTTTCTCTGTGTTTTAAATGAGGGGGAATTGTATAATGAGGCTGCTTTGGCCTTGTCGTTCTTTTTCATGTGAGTGCGCGCCTTTGTTTATAACAAAAAGGAAAATCTTGTTACGTAAGCACAAATTGTTGCAAACCGTCGAAGAATTCGTGACAATTCTTTTCGGTTTTACTTGGATTTTCTTGTTTTTACCACTTGGAAAGAAAGTGGCTGTACATTTTTGTTGTTGGCCGAGGACGACGAATTCATGGTAAATTCTAAAAATAAAATCACAACACTCGTTTTTCAAGAAAACAAGGTGACACGATGACAAAAACGAGACACTAGGATTTCTTTTGTAAGAAATTAAACAATATTTTTTGCTGGGCGATTTGGAAGCAAAATAAACTTTTTTGGGTCGCAATAACAAACAATGATCTTGGTAAAATTAATTAGGAAATTTTTGGCAAACTTTGACTTCAGAGGCAAACAAAAAATTTCCTCTTTTGGAAATCCCTTACCATCTTGATTTGATGATGTGAGTGGGGTTGGGGGTGACTCAAGCTTTCTAATTGGGATACCTTGGACTGTTCATTTCCTCGTTGCAATTGTATAATGGAAACTACTTCATAAACATGTTGTTTCTCAAGTACAACGAGTTTTCATTGTTGAACTGTATTTTTCTAGTTTAACAATTCAACAATAACAGTTGTTAAAGAGAACTAATATCGCGAAAATGTTTCTATGTTGTTGATTATGTCTTTTTATGTTCACAGAAACAACTTTTCTTGTAATTTTTCCTTTTCTTGTTAAAAGTTCTGATGAAGTCTTTAAACATCTGGGATCTGATTCACAGATTACATGCGTTCTAAGAAAAATGAGCTAGTTGTGAAGTAGGAGTTATTGCTACGAAAATTTACTCTCTAAAAGCTTTTTTCTTCGGCTGATACATGCTTTATGCCTGGATTTAGGAGAAGTGACGATTTTTTCATCGCGTCGTTTTACCAATAACAAGTAGCACATTACTTGTTACGTTAGACGCAATTAAAATATCTTTTCTAAAGGATATTAACATACAAATTCAATTCATTTCTTTTATTTTAAGTTTTCTCTTAAGAAAATCAACGCAACTTTCATTGAAATGAATTATTTAGTTTGTTACACGTTTCGACTTATGAAGTTGGTTTATTTTAAAACAAGGTAGAAAGTGGTTTTTGATTGTACAGGACGCATTTTAACTACTCCAATTAGAAAGCACCCGAGACAGTTTGATTGAAGATAGAAACTAAAACCATAAATACAAAATTTACTTAACGAACGAATAAATTTCATAAAATAATACACAAATACCTACCAGGATATTGATACATAAAATTCAGATATCCAAGGTTATTTCGAATTGTTTGTAAGCTTTAAAGAGTTAATTGAGAATTAATTTGGATGATGTAAATTTAAATACAGTAAAGCACTAGAAACATTCGGGCAACGGTGTAGATAGTTGTTCAAATTTGTGCGCATTATAATTATTCATTCAAACATTTTAAAGTACAATTAAAAATGTTTCATATTCCTAAAAACCTTTTAACTTTGTTGAGTATTTTTTTAAAGTAATAAATTGCAAAATGATAAATATAGGATAAAAACGTTGTTTTTGTGTTGACTAACGACAGCGTTTTTCATTTCGTCAAGTTTATATTTTAATTCTGACAGTAAACATGTTATCAACCTAGTCTATAAAAAACTTTAACATTTCATAAACAACATTAAAAAAATCTTTTTTTATTATTGATTCAATTTGTAATGATTTTATTATTAAGGATTGAATTGATTATATTTTTAGGATAACAGGTAGAAAGTTTTTGGAAACCTTATGTAATCGTTTTATTTTCTCTAACACTCACGTACTCTCTTTTAAACTTTTTGGTTGACAATAAACTGTTGTAGTAGTCGAAAAAGAGACAGAAATAGGAACACTTTCACCCACGAAATGCGGTTACTCAACGCAAGGTGACGGTTATTTTAAACACGCAATAGTCGTGTTTTATTTTCCAACATTTATATTTCCATAACTATCTTTGCTGAGGTCGTTTCAGACACATGTAATTGTTATTTTAGTGGTTATCCGACGAGAAGCGGTTAAGATAATATTTGCTCTTCTTGTTTTTTGATTTGATCCGTGAAAACAAACAAGTCTATCTTTCTTAAAACTATTTTGAAGGGCGCGTTACGACATTATCGCAATAATAAATAACCTTTATTTCAACTCACTCATTGTATATTTTTTATTCAACTTTCAGGTCTTAGAAAGATAAATTTCTATAATGGTTAATAACTGTTAAAAGAAGAAAGAATATTACAACGGAAAATGAGAAATTCGATCGAAACGGATGTTGCACCGTGTGTGGCCAGTCAAAGGAAGAAGGGGTTCTCATCTAGGTTCTCTTTGAGACGTCTCATCTACGCCAGCCCCATATTGGGACAAAGAAGACAACATCGGAGCTCGTCGAGTTCTTCGAAAACCGCTAAAACCCAAAGTAATCTAAGTCTCTATTTGTATTCTTTGATATCCTTTAATAGTTCATCGAACTTTCTCATTTTTTTAATCATAAAAAAAATTAATTTTTAATTTTTTTATAGATAAAGATGTTATTGATGGTAAACCTGGAAGTTCTTCAAGGGAATCCAGTGGGAAGCAATTTCGAGCTGAAATTCATCAAGCACACAGTAGAACTTCAGTGAATACCGTAAGTTTTTAATTTATATTAATACTCAACTTCATATAAATCTTATTTATTAGCATGGAGAAAGTGGTTCTTCCTGTATCGAGTGTCCATTATGTCTCGTTGTTCTCCCATCGACTGATTTCTTCGAAGTCACACAATGTGGACATAAAGCTTGCATATCCTGCCTTCAGCAATACCTTAGGGTTCAAATAACAGAGTCCAGAGTTTGTATGACTTGCCCGGAATGTTCTGAGAGTCTACATCCGAATGGTAAGGGAATAAAATAAAATTTCTAATAAAACGGATATTTTTAGCATAGAAAAACATGTTTCCCCAATCAAAGTCTTGTTTTTTACGTAATTTCAATTTATAATCGTTTGTTATGTTCCCTGTTTTGTGATTACGGATGCAAAAGGCGCACAATGGGTCTTAATTTGCATTTCTTGATTCGTGTTTTATTAATCGTTCTCGGTTTTTTTTTTTATTAGGAATTCAAGTTTGATTTATATTTTTGCATACAATACCCTTGAATGACAAAAACAAATCATTATTAATTTTTAATTCCTCATTGAATGCATTATTTTTTTTAGAAATTCGAACTATAGTAAACGATGAAGCCCTCTTCGCGAAATACGAAGACTTCATGGTACGTCGGGTGCTCGCCGTCGATCCAGATACAAGGTGGTGTCCCGCCCCTGATTGTAGTTTTGCGGTGATAGCAAGCGAGTGCGCTAGTTGCCCGAAGTTAAAATGCGAACGTCCAGGCTGCAACTCGTACTTTTGTTATCATTGCAAAGCCGAATGGCATCCAAATCAAACTTGCGATGCTGCTAGAGCTCAACGATCTCCAAACGTTCGATCTTCATCGATTACTTTTAGTCAAGATTCCCAATACAGTAAGAAAAAACAAAACATTTTTTTAATCCGTAAATATATCTAATAAATCTATTTTTGTTATAGGAGATGATATCAAACCATGCCCACGCTGCCAGGTGCTTATTGTTAAAATGGATGATGGTTCTTGTAATCATATGATGTGTGCGGTTTGCGGGGCGGAATTTTGTTGGTTATGCATGAAGGAAATTAGCGATTTGCATTATTTGAGTCCTTCTGGGTGTACGTTTTGGGGGAAGAAACCATGGTCGAGGAAGAAGAAAATCTTGTGGCAACTGGGGACGCTTGTTGGAGCTCCAGTTGGAATTGCTTTAGTTGCTGGAATTACAGTTCCTGCTATGATTATAGGTAAATTAAATAATTACTGATAAATTTTATCCCAATGTATTATCCCTGATACAATCCAATATTTTCCTGAGCTTTTTTTAATGTTATAGCTTTCTATTTCATCAATGAGTTATCATCAATGGTATGATGGCGATGCCAATGAATCATCTCTCTATCGGCCACAATCTCTTGCTATACTTCTCATTTGTAGAATTGACATTTTGTTGGTTTCTTTTTTAATTGTTCCTCCATGTCATTTTGGGTCTTCCATGTGTCCTGGCTGCAAGAGTGTTGTAGGACTCTATGATCATGCTCATTTATGTCTATCCTCAATGCATCTTTTACACTAGATAGCTCAGTTATGGCCCACAATTCTTGTTAGAAATAAGTCGTCGCCAGAATATTTGTAGTATGTATCATTTGTCCATGAATACTTAAATACCTCAATGTGATTTCTGACAATATTTAGCTCGCCTTCTTTTATTATCCCCGATATTTCTGAAGATCGTCTCTGACGTTTTACAATATCATCCCAGATATCTCTCAAGATTGTTCCTGAACATTTTTTAATAAATGTGATCTTTGCCAATATTTAACAGAGTCTGGAACATCTCAATAGCAACCTAGATATCTCTTAACATCAAAGAAATACTCAATATTGTCTTTGGCATCCCTTAACATCATATCAAACATCTCTGAGACTCCTGAATATCACCCCAAACATTTCATATTATTTCGTAGAACCCTTTACATCATTTCTGGTTCATCAATATTACTTCTAAACTCACAATATAATATATATTTCCTATATCAATCAGTATCTCTTTCAAAATCGATCAAAACATTTGTGGGTTTTATTTCTAAATATATTAAGATTCAATTTATATAGATATTATTATTCTTTTTTATTTTTTCAGGCATTCCAGTTTGGGTTGGAAGAAAATTGTACGGAAGATACAAAAATGATAATAAGCATAAGAGAAACGCGGCGATCGTTGGAGGTGTTGTTGCATCGGTAAGTTTTCTTCCAAATTAAAATTTCTTCCTAAATTGAGTCACTTCAACATTTTCTTTCCATTTAAAAAGTTTCAAAAAAGATTAATAAAGTATCAATAATTTTTTTTTAAATTAATTATCTCGTAACATTTTATGTGATATAAAAGAAATATGTTAGGGATTACTAAAATATTAATTTATTTTTTTATTCTCATCTCTATTGAATTTTTGCGAGGTGTGATATAATCATTGTATACATGTTGAGCTACGTTGGGGGATTAAAACTAGGGGAGGGGTTACATTGGGGAGATTTCCCCATCCCCTCAGTAGTTGCTGGCTGCACATATCGATCGGATTTTACAACTACTACGAGCAGCCTCTCATCTTTCCCCATAGTATTACGCTCGAGAGAACGTTTCAAACTAAACTGGGGGAAAGTTTGGGGGGAATAATTGATTTTTTATTACACTGCATGCGCACAAAAGCGAATATCTTTTTTTTTTACTAATTTAAATAAAATAACACATCTTATTCTTACAACTTCTTTATTTATGTTACCTCGCAATGTGACAATGAATCGCATTTTTTCGGTTAATAATAAATGGTAATTGTAATAATTAATAATTGGCACGGAAACGAATTTTACAAGCAGGTTAATTCACTTTCATTTTAATTTTTTTTCTTTGGCTTACGTTATCACAATCAAGCTTCTTCTTGCGCGACGTTTATTTTGAGCAATCCTTCTTCGTTTAAATCGTTTAAAAGTTGCAATAATCGTTCTTCGGTGTTTGAGTCGCCTAAAGCGACATCGACGGATCCTATACAAAGTAACAGGGCTAATAATTGAGATCGTTTATAATCGGAACCTAATTTGTTTCTGTCGTAACCTAATTCTTCTTCTATGTTGAGATTTAATTTTTGGCAACTTCTCGTTAAAGTTTCCCAATAAATGTCTAATAAAGAGTCCGTGAATTCTCTTCGTAAATCAGCGGGAACTGAACTAATTAAAAGAAGAGCTACGTCGTTCGTTGGTCTGCTATAAGTAACCATTTGCCAATCTAAAATGCAACAAGTTGTTGTTTCTTCGATTTCTTTAAACATTAAATTGTTGCACCAAAAATCGGTGTGAGTTATCAAAGCCATTGGTTCTTCTGGTTTGAGTAAATTTTCGATGACACCTTTCGTGTTTGATCTTAAACAATTTAACGCTTCTAAAATACTCCCCATTTCGGGTTTTTTCTCTAAAAACTCTGTTAATTGAGGGAGTCCTCTCTCAACTAATTGTTGATACGAATCCGAAGCTCTGGTTGTTTGGAACAGAAAAGGGTACCTTTCCGTGATCACTTTACCTTCTTTTATCTTGAATGATAAAGATAAAGAGTGCATTTTTGCTATGGATTGGATTGCCGCTATCGTTTGCTTGTGAGTTAAACCACGCGAGAAATCCACGCTGACGAAACCGTCCGGTTTGATGTTTTCTAAAACGAGGACGGATTCTGGAGGAACTGCGTCCGGTTCGGTTGAACCTGGGCTGTAATGGGCGTAGTAACATTTCGGAATTGGCAATGGAAAGTCTTCGTCTGGTGGTAAATGTTGGGATTTGAATGATTCTAAATCTGGAATGACCTAGAAAGAGAATTAAAATAAGAACAATTATTTAATAAAATAACTTACTTGAGTATAAAATTTGATTTCTCTTAAATCAAATTGTGCTTCTGTTACAAAAAATCGACTGAACGGATCTTGCGGTAAAAGTTTGACGATAAAACTAAGAGAATGATTTTCTTCATCTTCTTCAACTTGATTTTTCGGTAATTTATATTTAACGGCAACCGCTAAAATGTCACTTAAAACGCTCTCTCCAGTTTCGCATCCTGGTTTCACGGTAAAATCCAAAACGGTAATTGCTGCGGGATCTGGAAGATGCGCGTGGTGTTTTTTAAGAACCGCTTGCAACCACTCTTCAGTAACAGGCCAATCGGCAGTGCTGCTACTGTCATCTTCGCTATCAGACATTGCCTTTTTTACACTTGTTAACACACAATTAACACGCGTTATTTCCTTCTTTAATCATAATTCGTGAAATTGTAGCCGCGAAGTTTTCTCGAGGACAACTCGACTGGTTCTGGAGAGACCAGGGCGTGTCCTGAAGGAATCATTCGCCGGACGTCGTCGCGATTCGTAGCGTTTCGGTGTACGTCGGCGACGCGTTAAACGATCGATAGTGCAGCAGCTGATTGTATCGTCTTTTGAAAGAGTCTGCGAAGATACTTTTATTATTTGTTTGTTGGGGTAGGGAAGGAGAAAGGATGTTTATGAGTATGTAGGGGGATTAATGATTCAAAATGAGGATGTGAAATAAATATCAATAAAGATTTATGGCTCAATTTAATGTAATTAAATTAATTAAGTAATTAATAGTTTTAATTTTCTAAAAATAATATATTTTATTTTTTTTTAGGTATTAATTTCACCAATATTAGCTGGTTTAGCAGTCGGTATAGGAGTTCCAATCTTATTATTCTACGTTTACGGGGTTGTCCCTGTATCTTTATGCAGGTCAGGAGGTTGCGGGGGAGCCTCAGGAATTCTCGATGACGTCGATATAACCACACCAAGAAACGTAGACACCGCATCGATGGATGCAGTTAGTCAACGCGTTGCTAATCCTTCAATTGGCGAAGCAAGTTTAGTTAGCGGTAGCCAAATGCTACGAGACGCCGATCGGGAATCAGCAAGTACCGTCGCTTTAGCTGGAAGTGTTGGGGTTCCAACAGCTGCGCATAAACTCGAAGTTCAAGCGGATTTAGTTTCTTCTGCTCAACGATTGAGTATAAGTAGTTTATCTGATAAATCGGTGAATGTGAGTTTAGCTGATGATGGAGGAGCTTCAACGAGAGCTTTGGCTGGTTCGATGTTGAATTATAAAGGTAGCGATTCGTGTAGTTGTGTTATTGGCGAAGATTGTATTTCTGAACGAATAAGATTGGAGGATTTAAGTGCTGGTTATACTGCGGAAGGAAGTAGCGTTGAAAAAGCTAGTATAAGTAGTAGTTGTAGTTATCGAAAATGTGGAAAATCTTGGAATCGTAGCGAAAAAGATACTATTAGTAATGATAGCATTTTCTTGGACATGCCAGAAGACAAACCGAGGAAAACGTCGATGGCCGCGCTTCGTAGCCAATTTTTCTTAGCGGAAAATAAGCCGAAAAGTTTCGAGGATCGAGTTATTATAGAGGTGTCCAACGAAACTTTGGATCGCCCAAAATCGCCCTCGTGTTCCACTAGTTACAACATAGACACGTCCAAGTTATAGTTACCCGGAGGATTTCGGATATTTTTTTCTTTTCTCGGTTTTTTGTTTTCGTCGAAAAAAGACTGAGCGAGTAGACACGACATTTATTTATTTTGAGAGTTTATAAAAAAAATATTTTATTTTAAAGGTGATTATTATCTTCTGATCTTTACTTATCTTCTTCCACGATTTTGTAGGCCCTCCTCGTCGGATTTCTTCGTTTAATAATAGGTTCTATAAGTATGTAATAATATTACTAACATATTCTTCAAAAAAAAAAATAATAAAAATTAATCATAGAAAAAATTGGGAGGAATATTTTTTTATTATGTATATGTTTTGGCGTTTTCGTTGTTTAAGTTCAAAATAAAATGTACATATCCATTTCCATCCAAAGAAAATTTAAGAAGCTTTAAGGACAGTTTCGATTTTCTTAATCCTTTTTCTTTCATCGTTTCCTTTTCGATTTGTTTTCTTTGTATATTTCTCGTCCGATTTTTGCTTATTAATGTTTTTGTTTTTTTTTATTAATAATGTATTCAAACTAAATGGAGAACTGAAAAGAAAAGGGCTAATTTAGCTAGTTCTTTTGCGTCCGGGTGAAAGATATCTTGTATAAAAAAAATTATAAAAAGAGAGGTTATTTGAGTTTGTATTTTTTGGTTCTTCTTAGGAATCTTTTCCATACTTTACTTTTTTCCATTTGCTGTATGTACGCAAAAGGTAAGAAAAATAATAAAGGAGTTTATTCCATTTATTTTTGAATTTCTTTCTTATCCAAAACCATCTCAATATTGTTTAAGATGAATTATGATCGAGGCGTAATTTTATTATACAACACATTTTCAATTCTCAATTTTTAGACAAGTTCCAAACCAAATTTACAAATTTTTGTTGTATTGATTCGCTACTTTAATAATAATGGTTACTTTCGTTGTTGCAACAGATGTCAAAAGTCCTTTAAGATATATAGGGTTATTTATTAGCTCACCATCAAACTTTGACATATCATAGCTACATAATCCAATTACAAAAAAAAATGTTAATGAACATGTGTCCTATTTCAATTATTTACGAAATTATAACACTCTAAAGTTTATGTCAAGCATATGTCAAAGTTTTATGGTGAGCTAATAAATATCTTAAAATTAAGCTGGGTTTGCAACTATTTAAGGATTAATAGTGTAGTAAATAATGAAAATAAAACAAATTTGATTTATTTTATTTAATAAATCATCCTAAATTTATTGACTGACATGTATGACACATTTCCAGTTACATGTAACATGTAAAATAGGTGATATGCCTATAGCAAGAAGTTTTTAGTACACATTGATTTCCAGTCAATAATAAAAAAATTCTATCGTACCCTAAAGTCGATATAAGCCGTTTTCTTTTCTTATGTACAAATTAGAGCTAACTGAGACTAGTTGCCTGTAGAAATAAATACGTATTTACAGAATATACAAAAAATCGCTTCTCCTTGGATCTCCCCTACTATTTACAAACCATCCAATAGCTACAACAGAGATATAGAAAATCGTTAACCGACCCCATGTTTTAAAAACATTTCTTTCTCTTTTCGTCTATCATTTTATGTATTTTATCTCACTTCTCGAATTATTCCTTCAAACGTTATCCGAAGAAATTGTTTTAACAAAAATTTTACAAGTATATTACACAGGTTATCACGTTTAACAATATTTCGAAGTCGTATTGCTTAGTTTTATTATTATTTAATTACTTAAAAACTATTATTATCGTAAACGGATTAGGTGCATCTTTCTTATTTAATTAGTTTTAGTTGGTTTTAGTTGATTTTATTAAATTTATTTCATTTTATTAAATTTTAGTTGGTTTTTAATTGGCAGTTGCAGACGTTGTTTTGGCACAAGTTTCGCCCACCGTTTGCGATGTTGTTCGTTGTTCCTTAACATTAGCAGAAGACAATGAGCTACTACTCACTCCAGAATCGCTTGATTTCTCACTAAAACATCCACCTCTCCCTAAAATAATCGCCGAGCTTGAATCTTCCAATCCTGATCCAACTACATACTTGACACTTGTTAATTTATCCGTTTCCTCTTCGAGATTTTTTCGCACGCTAACCCTTGTAATTACATTCCTTCTACACGGATCTGTGAGCGTCGTTTGTCCATGAACGCTCACATACGAGTCTTTAGTTTTCTTTTGTGATGGTTTTTCGTTTGTTGTAACTGGGATGTTTGGGTGAAATTCCTCTTTCAAATTGAGAACATTCTTTTGGGCTTGTCGCACTCGAGCCATAATCTCGTTATTGCATTGCTCGACAACCGCGTCTAAATTGTTTGTCGCATCGCAAAAGGGAGTTGTTGTGTTATTTTCGTCGGATTCTCCTTGCGGGGAGACGTGTTGAACTCCTTTTAAGGAACCGTCATAACAACCAGAATCCCTGGGGAATTGTCTTCTACCGAATGGGGAATAATGACCTCCAGATTCTAACATTAAAATACGATTATGTTCGTCTCCTTCACTGCTTGAACCAGCGATATCACCTTCACTACCAGCTAAAAAAAATTATATATATATCAATAATAAATATTTTTAATTATATATACTCACAATCTAAATCGTGTAGTAATTGAACAGCAGTGAGAATTTTAACCCTATGTTCAGTATTAACAATCCCAAGATAATCTAAATCGGAAGGTTCGATTTCCTTAAAAAGTTCCAAATCTTCATACCCATTAAGTACAAATACGGAGATGTGTTCTTGTAAATTAATTTTTTGAAGAAGATCTTCAACCGAAGCCGGTTTACTTTTGATATTAAGATGCCATTTAACGTTGTCTTTTCTTGGTTTGGTCCGATCGGAGAGTAGCTCGACATTGATGAACTTTAAGGTGCCCTTTTTGCCATGACAAACGCCCTTCCATTGTCCGCTCGCGTTCATCGACACTATATCTATCAAATCGCCTTTCTAAAACCGAGAGCAGTGTTACATTTTCGCGAGCATCGAGGTCACGATAATCGACCCGACACGTTAAAGCTAGCAAGGCAAACAAAATAAATCATACTATATGGAAGAAATTATAGCGAGTGTGTGCGGTGCGAAAACGGTTTTACCTTGTTAACTTTACGTTTTGAGTCGTTATTTCCAGTAAAACTGCAACAAGCAACTCAAACTATAGCTGGCTATTCTTCGTTAGATGATATAAGATGTTCAAGAATTTACCTTGAATTTTAGGGCTTCTTTATCGTACGGACTTGGCGTGTAATCGACGAGGGCCCGAGCCCTACCAATTATTTGAAGTTCCGTGGGGCTTGGATCGGTTTCTTCTGCGGATATTGAGCTATGATTACTTCCAGCTCTCACCAAAGCTTGAGTACCTAAAAAATTTTAAAACAATGAAATGATAATAAAAAAAATGATTAATCTTACTTGAACCAGATCCACTTGGAAGACTTTCAACGGAACTTGCCGAACATGGAAAAGCTTGATCTGAACGTTGCTCAGCATTTTCGCTTTTTAATCTCGAAATTTTTCTTTGGACGTCTTCTCGAAGCCCACGAACTTTTCCTGCTAGTGTTGAAACACCCGCAGATCTTCCATCACCAGACTACAATTAAATTAATACTTATCTATAATAGTAATTATTTAATTACTTACCATATGAACCGTTGCAATTTGTTGACTACAATTATTAAATTCATCTTGATCCTCGTAATCGGAGCTTTGACTCGGCGATAATCCATCTTCACTTCTTGTATATCCCCCGGTTTTTCTAAAATATCTCATCTTCCCCTCCAATTGGCTATAATACTGCGGAGAGACCATCTGAGATGTTTCTTGTTGTTCTGATCTGCTTGTATCAACTGATAAAGTGGATAACCTCGAACTAACACTTTGCACATCAGAAGTTGCGTAATCCCCACTTTCCCTATCCCTGGAAGACCTTTAACAAACAACAAAATTAACCTTAATAAAAAATTTAAACAAAAAAATACCTTAAAGGAATGATTGTTGGTGGAAATCCAGCTTGAGGTAAAATAAGCCCTCTTCGCGGTGTTCCTCTCGCTATTGGCACGGTGGGGACGTCTCTTGGTAAGGAAATATCACCAGCACTCCTCAAAGATATTACTCCTTCTCCTCTAGGTTCTTGGCGCAAATTCAAAGTGAAACAAACCCGCCCGTTTTGAATAGTTGCCGTTGGTCCTGGGCTACTTCCCATAAGAAAATCTTCTGGGTCACTTTCATAAGGTGGCTCATCATACCAATGACCTCTATCATGCGATCCTGGAGCTAACATCCTCGCGTCTTCATCATACATATATGTATCATCTAAAAATTCATTTATTTATTAAAATTATTTATTTTTTAGTTTAATTTACCTCCAGAAAGTGGACCTCTAACTCCTTCTTTGCCCAACTGCAGAAGACCCTGTTTAATATCCCTGAGGATCTAAAATTAATGAAACGAAATTATATTCTCATGAAGTTTTTACTGACAGAAAGAAATAATTTCGAAAACTTTTCGGGGAAGAAGTATACAGTTTCCCTACTTTTAAAGTAAGCTCTCAATTTGCAATAAAGGGCGTTTTCGTAGGGCCTAAAGCGTTACAAGGGAGCTGGAGCGCCATTTCGGTACGAGGCACTTTACCGTCCATAAAATATGATATGCATCTTTTACATCTCGGGCGTAAAAATTACGCGTTCGTTCCCCGCGGACGGAACCCTCTGGCGACAAACGCGGTCATAAATACGTATGGGCGATCTTTTTTCGGCGGGTTGAGTGGTAAACGTGTCTTCAGTACTTTAACAGTGAGTACGTTCCTTTGACGGTGAGAGATCGTTACAACGATAATCGAATGGAAATACAATTTATGCAAATTACTACGCGCAAGATAATTTATACGAGACTCCGGTGTGAAATTACGTTGGGCGTATGGGGAGTACGTTCTCTACGACGAGACGGTGCTAATCAAAGGCGTGAAAACAACAAAAGAATTAGCGACGTTCCCCGTTCGTTGTCAACTAAATACGGAGACATAATATCGGGTGTAATTCTATTTTATACGTTCGGATCGTAGTAAAATTTTATTAACCTCGAGCCTGTTTCGCCAGCTGTTCGTCGCTGCGAGCCCATTGAGATTAAGGGTTGTTGGTGCGCAACAGTAAAATTTTATTGTAATTATTAGAGGCTACAATGCGCGTTTATTTTCTGTTATATTCCGACGTTTTACTCAAAACGGCCACATGAATAACAACTATTAGACTATATTTACATCACATTCTCTAACTATTCACATCGTTAAAGATAAACACGCTTTAAGTTTTAATAAATATGTTTTATTTTTTAGTTGAACTGAAATGAAATATGCAAACAAAGAGGTTGTTGGTGATTTGGAAGAAACAATATACAAAATAAGTAAATCAAACTATTTGTTTAATCTATTTTCACTTTGTTTTAGGTGTATTGGAATGAATAGGCAAAAGAAAACTATGGCGATGATAGCAATGGATAAATTTCTTTTCAGTCAGAGGAAGTACAAAAAAGATATCAGATTACCATACTTCTCTTATTATGGTGTTAGAGAGGAAATAAGGATGTTTCATAAAGTTTTCCTGATACAAATCTATATCTTGGCATATCGGGCAAGTTGCATTATTCAGGTTATGGTTAGATTTCGCACACGTCCTGTTTAGTATTAATGTTCGTTTATTTATATTCTAGCTGCGTATACTGATATGGTGGCTTGAATATCAAAGACGTATTAACTGCTAACGAGTAACAGCAGAATGTTGTAATGAATTATCTTTGCCATGATCGAGCGTTATCACATTTAGTGATTCCTAATACCAAGATGTGAGGAAGATTGAACAAATGCTTTCTAAATTTATTCAATATCTGGTGCCAGATGAGACACAATTTACTTGAGATGGCTCACAAACCTTGAATCATAATTTTGATAACGATCGCAGCCAACCAAAATGAGTCAAATGATTTCTTTTGTATCTAGTGAGATTTTTCAATCTAGATTGATAAGAAAGGTTAGTAAATATGCATAAAAGTTGTAGAAGTAACTTTTGCGGTTATCTGTACTTATGCGACATAAACCGTACATATTTCACTAAGATATCCGCTTATACTATAGCCACACTGTAGTTGAGACTATAGCCTCACAAAGCATTCCCTAATCTTACTTAATGTAAAATTCTCTTTGTTGCTCTTACCTCTTCGTGTTCCTTCGTGAATTTCTCTCTCTGTCGCAGAGCGTCCTGCAGTTTGAGCTGTAACATACAAACGATCGAATAATAAATATAAAGTCCGAAACGGCGCCGTTGAAGAGAAGAGGAGAATGTGGCGTGCGGGGTAACGCAATAAAAGCAGCAGTAAAAGCGACGTCCATTTATCCATTCGCAGTGCGAAAGCGCGTAAACGACGAGATAAGCGCGGGACGTGCATATGGGAAAGAAAAAAATACAACACAAAAGTAACACATACACGTTCAAATACCTTGTAGATTGTCTCTTCGAACGTGTTCGCCGTCGCTCCATTCATTTGCAGGTGTCGCAACCTGTCGTAGTCTCTAGGATCCACCATTGATCTTAACACGGCGTGTTGGCCGAAATCGTTTAGACCTAAACCGCTTTGCAGTACACTATCGGGCGTATCAACCTAAAAATAAATGAAGAATCATCAAATAGTGTTAATAAAAGTAAACGAATTTAAATTCGAATTTTGAAATTCGAAGTTCGTTTCGAATTGGTATGCGTGGGTGCATCTCTTTCCCTTCGTACGTGTTCTGATGCATTCGAGACTAGGAAATTGGTCGGAATTGTCGGAGGATGAGTCACCTCTCACCCTACGTATTGAAGGTTCTGCGAATGCAAAAAGAAAAGGGAGCGGCGTATGTGAAAGGGAAAGATGGACGAGAGGCCAATGAGTAGGTGCTCTCGAGACGTCGCATTTTAAAACAATGGGAGAGACCGTGACATTCACATGGATGTGATCGATTTTTATTGAGATAAAATAAAAAATACCCCTGTTAATTAATATTTATGCAAAAACGAAACCCAAACGCTAAATGAACCTAGGCGTGCATTGTTAATTACCCGAAAAATTCAAAATTTACACAGTCGACACTTCCATCTCGTTTTATTTTTCGAATGGAAATGAATATTTGACTTGGTATTGATGGGTCAAATAAAAAATGAACGGACAGAGAGATGTGTTTTTTGTGTAAATATTGGAAATAAATACGAAATAATGAGTTTCAAAAGTCAAATAATAGAAATTATTAAGTTATTTTCATTTGATTTATATATATAGTTTTCATCAATTGAATTATTTTATTAATAAATTTTGCGAAATGATCCGATAATCACGACAGACTTTATTCGGAGATAATAGACCCGTGCTAATGAGGATTCATGTTCGTATTCGGGTCGCATTATTAAATTACGATGATATATATTCAACGAGAACGTGTATATCTATACGCAGCATGAGAGGTTGATGCGAAATTTTGTAGTTGTATGCATCGAAGCTTTCAAAAACATCATATGGGGTACTACAGGCAAATCAAAATTCACGCATTTCAACTTTGCATCATCACAACTTTCAACGTCTGAATTTTTAACGCAGGCTCCTTTTTTTCCACTCGGCTTACCCAGTACACACTAATTGAGACACGAGACTAATGCAAGGACCGTCTAGCGCAGATAATAGTGAAAGGAGACCCGTAAACGCTCGCTACGACACAAAAGGCTCAAATACAGGCACGGATTCACAGTTTTTCTTTAAACCCCACTTTTCTTATTGTTTGTTTGTAGATAGGTAGTGCTGTAAAGGTGGATATACTTAATTAATTAATTAAATATATCGAAATTTAGAAATAAACTGTATTCAAACGGCGATTACTTCTATTATGATTTTGGCAATTTTGGAAAGATATGAAGATACGGTCCTGTTAAAAAACACTTGCTTCCCGTGCGGGACATACAAAGATTAAAGCAAAGATACCTTTGTTCATTTTTTATGCCGTCTGCAGCAGTTTTTTGCCCACTTCTGCTCGCGTCTGACGACGCGACGGTTTCACCCACCCCGCATTTTTTCAACCCGAAGCGGTTGGCGTCGCCTCATAATTAAAATTCAGCAATTTCTTTGACAAAAAAATCGCGCGCGCCAGAAAGACACGGGACATAATGAGATGCCTCGCGGTGCACCCCGAAAACCGGCAGCATATATTAAAAGTCGCGACGTGCGTTGTTTTAGTCGCGTTTTGGGAGTCGATTGGATGGCGCAGGTGCGGTATTCGCTTTGAATTTCGAGCATGAAAGGGATCTTCGGGCCGGAAATTCGCGCGCGGATTACCGAAAAATGAAAACATTCCTAGCTAAAGCATTAATTCAGGCGTATAATCCGAGAATTTTGAATTTATTCTGCTAATAACACTTATTAATCGGATTCTAGCACAATTTCACTTTGTTTACTCTAATATATATATTTTCAGATTTAATTTTAGTATAAATTAAATTAACTTGGCTAAAATCTTCTTTGTTAACTACTAAATGAATATGGCTGAATAAAGAAGATGTGATTTGAAATGAGATTTTCCCCTCTCCCTTTAGAGACAATTAAGACCGTGTAGTTTGCGCTGATGGCGTCAACCGAACAATATGCCATTGGCGAAGTTCTCTGTGTGAGAGAACCTCGGAGTCGTAGTCTAAAATGTACCAACTAAAGTACTCGAATCAATTAATTTAATTACATTCCGAACTTCCGGACGGGCCGGAAGTTGGTGTGATCTCCGGATGAGCCGGCGGCCATCTCCTCGAGGGGAGGATGGTTCCATAGCCACAATGGAATTATCAAAGGAGGAAGGCGGCGAAAACTGCTCGAAATACAATTGCCGGCTTAATTGGTGCCGTTCGTTTCCGCGTTTTCCACGCGACGTGGTACGCGTTTCGGCATCATTTCAGACCCCCTTCTCTGGAGTCGTCCCTCGCGAAGCCCCATTTACATATGCAAACTTCGTCAAAGTGTGCGGTGGTGGCGTCGGTGGCGGCCGCCCGAACCGAAACGGCCGCCCGAACCGAAACGGCCGCATTACTGTTTATTGCGGGGGCGCAACCCCGCGCTTACGGCCGCCGCTGGTAAATTATTTGAAATGGCGCCAGTTTCGCCGGAAAATTTGCATCCAACCGAGGCGATGCCTTTTTCCTGGAGAGCTCCAAAAACGGGTAAGCAGGGACGTAACCTCGCTTTGAACCCCGGATAAGGTGTCGTTAGCTCTCATGGTTAGAGTCCGTCGGGATAAGTAAATGCAACACCGACTCCAACACGAAAAGTAACGTTGTAGGTGGAATCGTTTCGTTTTTAAAAAGTTTTCTTTTATGATCTTTATAAACCCTTTTTAGGATTTATAACATCTCTTTGGAAATGAAATATTTTTATTTACATTAATTTCTATTTTCTGTGTTTCAGTGACTTTCTTCAAACGTATATGATTGGAGTGAGTGCAGTGTCATAAAAACGAGAAATTCAGCAAGTTTTTATGACAGGAACATACAATACATTTCTGTCCATAACCTTACCCAGTTACCAGGGTCAATGACATCCAGGTAAAAAAACTGACCTTACCTAAAACATTTCTAAATAATACTGACCCCTACCAATGTTGTTTAGTAGAAAACTCGTGACTCTTTGAAAATTCTTTACTAGTCCCTAAAAATCATTAGATAACTAGATATTGTAAGTAATCCTGAGATATACTTGGAAAACTTACATGGTTTTTCCTAGATATTGAAAATACCTGAATAAATTTGTAAAATGCGTAAAATTCTTAGAAATTTCTAAATATTCTTTAGAAAGAAGACAGTTGACATGGTGTCATTAAAAATTCTTTGGAAAACCTTAAATATATGTTATAATTCCTTGAAAATGCTTCAATAACCTTGGATATACATAGGTGACCTTAAAATTCGATATGAATTCTCTGAAAATCCTGGAATATTTTTAGAATTGTACTCAGTTCTTGTTGTGATTAAGATACTTTGTGCCAACATCAATCCCCTCTAAATAGTTAGTGTAATTATTGAATTTACATTATTGAGTAATAAGTTAGGATAAGAAGTTTTGTTTAATATGTAATTAATTTTATTGATTTTTTAGAAACTACAGAAAAAGAAACGATCAATGATCACTGGAAAATTTGTATTCATCCCACGCATCTTCGCGTCTTGGGAATAATTCGATTTAGTTCACCCTACAATACTACGTGGTGGAGAGGTCGACGATATCGTAGCAGCTAGAGCTTCGTTAGACGGGTACCGACGGAAACTAAATTACTAATTTTCTGAGCGGAGCCCCAACAGAGCGCGTAAGCCCCATTGCTGTTAATTGCGCGCCCGCGCAAGAAGATTCCCCGATGATCGCGTGGTAACGCCTTTATTCTTAACCTTCTAGACTTGATTTGATTATACTCTGTTTTTAAACCAGGAGGAGTAAACGCGAAAGTCAGATTTACACTAGGAAAAATCACCAGAAAATATCACTAGATATTTTGGCGGTAAATTTAAATTAATAATTATTATTTATTTATTTACTTATTATTGTATTTATTTTCGTTTGTTATCGTCAACACTATACATACAAATTAACATTGAAGTTATGAGTGTATTTATTTCAAAATATAATAAAAAAGGGTTTAAGAACACAAAATATACAATAATGACACGAAACTGTCGAATTATCAATTACCTAACCTTCAAATTCAAAATCAAAATTCAAAATTGCCTGTGTGTGAACCTTCCTCGCATTCAACCAATCACGTGCAAGGTCAATCTGGTGACAAATTTAAAATACTCCTCCTGGTTTAAAAACAGAGTATAGATTGCTCAACATTCTCAAAATTAAAAAAAAAAATGTGTTTTTAGTTTTACTTGGTGTTGCCACCTATCGTTTTGTCGTACAAGCTTTGAGGGTAGTTAGGCGAACACGGGGCAATTTAACGGGTACACGTTGGACCCTCCAGGGGCGCTGATTAAACAGCACCCGGGCGTCCGCACACGTGTTTCCGATCCCCGCGAGAGAAAGGGGAGAGATCTAGAAGACTTAGGGGGGTAAACTTACCCTTTGGGGTACGCCCCTGGTGGCTGCCCTACCGTGCCTTGGACTACTCGTGCCATGTTTCTCCTTGCGATGGGACGTCTTCAATCCCCGTAGGAATCTTGAAAACGTAGTCTTTTTCTTGTTTGTATTGGTGTAGTTCTGGTCTGGAAGTTGAGAAAGAATTATTTTATTAAATCGTTTTAGAAGAGATAAGCGGGGCGGGGTTGTTTAGAATAAAAAGGTTGGTATTTCACGGTTATTACGGGCGTCGCCTCGGAATCGACGCATTAACATTTTCTCGGCGCGCCCCCGAGGGCACTCTAACCTCGGAATATATCGCGTTGCGTCTCGAAAATCGGGAAATTAAAGCTGCGAGAATGACCCCGTTTACTCGGTGGTATGGTAGTTCGTAAGTTTTGTAGTCGTTTAACCTCAAAAACTTTTAACAACTACACAAACTTTTCTGTCATTTAACTACATTAATTGTAACATTTTTTATTATCATCTTATTAATGGGGGAAAAGTGAATGAAATTGGGAATAGTACTAATAATAATCGTAATAACAATTCCCGGAAAATCCAATATCACTATAATTATATTATCTCTAGGGAGATAACACGTGCGGAACATTGTGTTTATTCCTCCTCTTTTATTGCTTTGCTAATTCTATTTCATTTGGAGTAAATGTTTTAGAAATTAAATTTAATTGTAATACATAATATTATAATTTTTTTTTGATAGTTTAAAAAAATCTAAAAATTATGAATTAAATCTTGTTCATAAAAGATGATATCGGTTCAAAAACAGTCCTTGGGGTTTGGTATCGAAAGGGGGTGGTAGCTGGGAGGAGTTTGGGCTTTATTAAAACTTAGTTTAACGAGTTCGGACCTGTTAATTGCCAAGTAATTAAAAACCGGCAGTCCCCAACCGACGGCACCACGTCCGCCTATGAAGTGATAAATCGCGGAAGTCGTAATTAAAGGAAAGTTTTAATTTTCCAAGTTTTTCATCGACAATTAATCGAACCCGGCTTGCTCGCAAGCAATTCCGACCGCGTTCAAGTTTAAACACGCTGTTAATTTTAAAGTTTTCCCCCTACGCGGTCGTTTTATCCCGGAGAATGGGCGGTGGCGATGACCGAGCGCGGTTTCCATTACGGACGAGTTATTATTTATAAAGCAAATTGTACCTCGCCCCGCCGAATTATCGACAATAAATGAATAATTTACTCGCGATTGATTAATTACCACAGTCGCGTTAATTGCGTTTTAACCCACTTTACATTTGTATAAACGTCATTTCGATGATTATCCCAAAATAAAAGTGCTCATTCGTTAAACTCTTTAAAAAATAAACGACAATACATCGAATAATAAATGATGGATTTCGGATGTAGCGACAATATTGTTTCGGCGCGCCTAAAATTTCCTTTACGACGGGTTTATTTCTTCGCGGAGCCATTCCCGTTGTCTCAGGTGTAATTTCTTGAGTGATACATGCTCCATTCCTGCAGGCGAGGAACGGCTCGCGTAACTCACACACGGAAACGGAGCTGTCACCATAAATCTACCAAAAGAATTAAAATGGGAACGGTGGTGTATATGGAATAGGACTGTACAGAAATTTTTGTTTAAAATTTTTCGAATAACAAAGTAAAAATTGAAATTGATATTGTTAGGATTCTTATGGATTTCGGGTTTAGCCGTGCGTCTGAAGACCAAAAAACGTCTAGCGCTGAATAACAATTAAAACAAGAACTTTATCGAATAAAGATGAAACTATCTTTTGACTAGTCTAATATACTATCTAGACTAGAAACTTAGGTCGCTTGCAGCTGTGGCGCAGTGATCAATATCATATCTACTTGAAACGGGTTATTATATCGTATAAACACTGTAAAATAATGTTTAAGGGTTTATAAAGAAGGTGTCAAAAAAATCAGATGACTTAATGTATAATGAAATTAAAAAGACATATTTTGAACAAATTTTTTTATGTTTGAAAATGTAGTGTATAAGAAATTTAGTATAGTGGGGTGTAAGAAAAGTTGTAAAAGATGTAATATGAAAGTAAGGGTATGGTGAAAAGAGGTCCATAACACGATTTTCTAGTGGCAACCAGAGCTGTGATTTAGGGTGACGAAGGTTTTATGTGACAGCAGTAAAAGAGCCATCGATAATGTCCCTAATAAAGAAAAGGGAAAGAAAAAGTATACGGTCGCCCGGTTTTTCGGGATACCCTCCTCCTCCCCCGGGACTGTATTAAGAATTATAGATGGTGTGCGAGAGGGTGGTTAAGATATTGTAGTCACGTCCCAAATAATAAAGAGACTCGATTTTTATTAAATTCCTCACACATTTGAGTTTTTGAACTAACCTTAATTTATTTAATTTCATTATAAACTCATTAACTTAAATAATATATATAGTTAGTTTAAGATTTGTATGTACGTGCTGTGGTGTACTCGGATAAGTTTATAACTAGTTCGAACAAGATTTAATCCGACAATCCAAGACGTGTCGTACATGGTAAATAACGGCCGGCAAGGGCAAGTAAACCAAGAGCAGTCAGGTTCAGGTGAAATTCCTGGACTAAGAAGTCGGTCTCCTCCCCGCTTAATATGCACGCGAAGTTGTGGATTCCGCAAACCAGAGAACCTGCGGGAGCACGTTCGTTCGGATTGAATCTGAACCTTGTACTGTATAGTGCATTTCAATCCGGAAGCGTCGTCATGATCCTGCTTATCGGAACTTCTCCAAGCCCGCATTGGCGGTTGTGCACGGATATTGTTAATTAAACAATATAGAGCCCCCGGGTCGAGAGCCTGTGGGCGCAAGTTTGACCGCTGATTTACATGGGGTCGCCCTTTGTGAACCCCATCTTCCAGAAGTTATCCCTCAGGGAGTGATTGTACAGCTCAGCCATTTCTCTCAACAATTCGAATCGTAAAGAAATTTCATTCAATTAAAATTACTAAAATAAATTAAATGCTATTTGAACACGAATTTAATTCGATGTGAATTTTAAATTAAGGATAGATCGACGCGAGGAAATAAAACCGCACATCAGGAGTGAACTAATGACGCCCCGTGCGAACACATCGATTGCAATTAAATCATTATTGACCCATATATATGTAATTGGAAACTATTTATATTAGAGTGAATCATTTTTTTTTATTATAACTTACCGTTTGGTGGAAATTCATAGAAATATGCCGATCTTGGACTTAAACACCTACAAAAAAGATTTATTAAAAATTAAAAAATGATTTTTATTAAGATCATGGACAATTTTCAATTGGTATACATCGAGTTGAATTATAATAAAGTTTTGCAAAACCAAGTGGGCAAGAACAACCGATTCGACAATTTCCATCACAATTTATATCCCCACAATATTCCGGGCAATTTTGGTTGCATATAGAGAATTTTTGTTGTCTTGAACACCGAACATAATTTAAACATTGCCCGATTTCGATACATTTACGATCGTTAAAAGACCACCACACCATCCCAGGTTTACAAAAACACCCCATCCCACAAGATTTTCCACACGATCTTAATCCTATTACATGTTCGCAAGTGTATTTACAAGGGAAACATTTCGTTTCGTATAATTCCTCATCTTCATTACATATAACTCTTAAATCATCATCAATTGATGTTATTAATTGTTGTACGTGATTCCAAATTTGATTGGGAGCTAATAAGAAATACATAAAAATATATTTTTTATTTTAACAAAAATAAATTAATTTCTTACCCACTTTAAGTAAAAGAAATGAAGAAATAAATAAGACTAAATTTAACATTTTTAAGTAATTATTTAATGATATTGTCGTGATCAAGTTTTCAATGGGATTGTGGGTGTCTTATTGAATGTTTATCGTCAATAAAATTAATTAAAAAAAAATTACGGTTTCGCTTGTATATATAAGCTTATTTAATGGTTATCTTCGGCTTCGTTATTCAATCGTATCCCCTTTGCATGGAGACCTTTACAGGGATTTGTCAGACCAATTGGGCCGTATACCCAAGCAATTAATATTCAATTTCGCCCAGTAATGGGCGAGTGAGTTGATTACCATAGACCAGGAATATGTAAACCAAATGAGTATCGATTGGAACTTCGGATGATGATGCCGACCCGTTTGTTTTCAAGAAATTACTACATCCAACCGAATTAACACAACAATTTATTAACTTACGTTTGATAATTTTGTTGTTGCTGCATCAACAACGGTTGATGGCTCGTCGGCTGAACCAAAAGTCTTTGTTGTTGCCTTGCGATTTGAGCGCCGAAAACTCCATAACCAAAGCCATAAATTTCATCTTCTTCTTTATCACTTAAACAACTCGATGGCTAAAATTGAAAACATAAATTAATCTTATATTTTAATGAATTTCGTAAAATTTACCGAATATTTTCCTGGAACATAAATTGGTTGAGATTGCGAAGTAGTCAACCCAATATGCGAAGAACTCGTTGGTGCGACTCCGGCTGTAGGATGATTATAGTTGTTGGTGGGAGGTGTTCCAGGCGTGGCAGTAACCCCTCGAATATCCCTCGGTGACATCTCAGCCCAATCCCTTCGTCGAAGGTCCTCTAAGTGACTGAGAACATCCCCGTAGTGCGTGCTGAATAAATCTGCATATCTCGAGGCGAGACCTTCGAGGTAGCCTCGTTCGCCATCCTGGAAATTAACGCAACCCCGTTAGACCCACGATGAGGACTTAAACCAGTTATTAATCTCCAAGATTGGATTCTAGAGGGGTGGAATTTTCTTTCAACATCGACGTTATGTATTATGTATGTGTGATAATTTAGGAAATTAGCGAAAACGAGGATTTTATTCCAACCGTTTTCGAGGACTTATGGTATTGAGGCAACAGGGTGTGGATTAAAGCCTCGCGTTTAAGGATGAAGAATCAGTTTGGACCCACGTAGTTGGTATAAAAAAAGGGGATTTCGGTGCAAAAAGAAGACGAACCTTTTACGACCGAAGCGGGAATAACTGAATTACCGCGCGTCCCAGGGTCGTAAAGCCCGAACCTGAAGGCTTTACCCCGACGACTACAACGAAAGAGTAATTCGACATCAAACTTTCACTTAGAGTCCCGCCCGATTCGGTTACACTTGTAATTGACAGCGCGGCGACGGTTAATTGGTAATTCGGCCGTGGTTCTATCAACGGGGGGTGCCAGAGGCGCGCGCGAATCGCCATAAATCTCAAAGTAGGCGGCGATGGGGGCGCTGACAGCGCGGCAATTGGCGCGCTTTTTACGCACGTCCGGCCGCGGTGGCGCTAATTTTAAATTAACTAAAATGACGTATTGCACCGCTGTACAGGTTTTTGCAATCGACAGCTTTATGGCTGGGGCGAAGTGTGCCGCGTAAATAAATTTTATCGCCTCCCGTACCGGCAGTAACGCCACCTATCGGATTAGCCGCCCCATCGATTCGCGGTAAGATAAACTGCCGCGCCACCACCGAATTATTCGATGGCTACTGGCGAAGCTTCCCCAAATTTGGGGACCAACACGACAAGGGATCGTTGTTTAACGTTTATTTAATGTACCCGAGTTAACTAAGTTATACTGATATTCACAAACATTTTCTGCAACACTTTGAATCTAACATTTTTCAAAATATGGCATGCAATATAGAATAATACATAGAATGTGTAGGCATTTTTTTCTTCTTCATCAACTTGTGTTTGTCAAGTTGATCAGGTTAATTTCGTTTTTGTACACTTCTTTTAATTTGTCTAGACTATTATTCACTATTAGTCTGATGATGAAGCAAATCTTTTTAAAAGTGATAGTCATCAACACATAATATCAAAAATGAAATTAGATAGGAATTTAACACTTTATTAAATCTAATATTTAATCCAAATATAATTACGCGATGTTATCTATGCAAATTTTCGAATTCTCTTAATGTCTGGAAAATGGAAAACGTAAAGTGGCCTCTCCGCAATAATTCAATGTGTCCTACATTGGGGACCCGCAACGTCGGCCCTCTTTAAGCAAAATAACCCGCGCAAACATTATTAAGGATTCACGGGGCGTATCGCCTCTCCCGGTGTGCGTTTTCTCAATTAAATTCCCGTCGGGAGCGAGTGGTCACTTTCCGTTACCGCAGTTAATTTGCAACCGGCAGCAAATAAGCAACTTTCAGACCCACGCCGCAGGGCCCTTTTGTTCCAAGCCACAAATGTCCCGCGCGATATTATTGCGGAAACATAGTGCTGTTAGTTTAACCGAATCTTGGAAGCACGAAAATTAATTATAAATCCACGTCTATTTCTAATTCTAATTCGTTGTCATTTCGCTATAACAATGATCCCCCAATTTTCGGAACGAAAATTCCCCGGCGTCTTCGCCAAGGATGCACAAAGGCCGTAGGTCCGAGTCCCGAAGGGATTTTTGTGGATTCCGCGCACGTTTTGGGGGCGAAGACCCTCGACGATTGTGCGAACCTCAGCGTCTGCCCGACAGGATACATAAATACAATGAAGTTAACGTCTGAAATTTGCTGCGACTGGTTTACGCTGCTGCTGCTTCTGGTTGCTGCTTCTCGTCCGGCTGCCTTCTTCTTCTTTCACGGTGAAATATGGTCGACGAAAGCCTCGGGGGCAGTTACTGCAATACGTGATCGTCGAACTGAGAACGTAATAGGTTGGTAATAACGAACCGAACAATAAACGACCAACAGAACAATATTTGAAAACTAAACGATTTTTTACACACTTTTTCGAGGTTTCATTAACGATAACGCTTTTATCATTCTCCTTGTTATCAGCTAATGGTTCGCTAATGGATTAAGAGCTAGGCGTTACTTAAACGTAAGAGAAAACGAGAATCGGGGGTAAGAGAAGACGAGAATAAAACAGAAAAAGAGAGATATAACACTGTCCGTTGATTGGCGTCGCACAATTAACCCCTCATTCGGGGCAATTTGGAAAGAGATTTTAGCGCCCACCATTGTGTTGCGAGCAGTTGCGGTCACACAAAACGTTCTCTCCTCGCATTTTTTTTGTATTCGAACCGGACGCTGCAGGTGACAGCTGACGCGATGTGAAAGCTCTGAGCTTAACGGCTTTCAACCAAACAACATTCGAGCGAAGACAGAAGTACCTTTGTATGTGCCGTCGTTTTATAAGTTCAATAATTATTTAAACGTTATATATAGAGACGTTCGATATAATTGCAACCATACAAAGTAGTCATTATATTAGCCAATCATGCATAAATACTTTCCATTCAACCGTGAACGGCAATTTACATATTATCGAACAAGTGAAAAAAAAAATAAGATTTCTACGAATGGCGGTCTAGTAATTGCGAACCGATTATTTATCTCAGCATGGCGTCGTAAGAGTAATTTGCTATTTCCTGTTCGCAATTTCATCTCAAAAAAAAAATCTAAAAAGGTTCTTTCGACGTCAATTGAAACGGAAGAACGCATCTGTCCGCGTACGTTACGTTTGTTTTGTTGAATTCTCGCCAGCACTTTAATCCTGGCGTTCTGGGATTTATGGCCCTGGATATTCGGGACAGAGGCTTTTTGTCGGCTGAGAATAAGAAATATGGGGCCCGGTCGCGTTAACCGCTGGAAATAATATTTTCGCACCGTCGAAATCGAATTAGGCACGAAATGGAAGAGGAAAACTTCCTTCCGCCTTCGCGTTGATTGTGTTTCGTCGCGAATTCCACCTGCGGCGACTTCCGTGGACCTATAACTTGATAAGGGGCGATACCTTCGAAGGTTCTTACTCTCCCCTTTTTTCTTTATTTTCTTTTTTTTCTTCAAAAAGTAGACGATTTCAGAACCGCAGACGACAGCCGATGTACGCCAATTAAAAGTTTGCTAAATCGACAACCGTAATTATCTTTAAACAAAAATGATTGATTTCAAAGAAGTAAAGTACTAACATCATTTGGAAAAATGGGTTTGCAACTAATTTATCGAGAAAGAATTGGAGAGAAATCACAAAAAATGCTTTCAGACCATCTTGAGTTGATGGGCTCAACTTCAGATTGCAGATTAATCAATAATAACTGTTCATGTGTATAAAAAGTTTCTTGGCATTTTCATATAGACAGAACTTAGTTTTGGAAAGAGGAAATACATGTGGTCAAAGTCTTAGTGGAATCTTTATTTATTATGGGACTGCTGTTAGAACTTGAATTCCTCAAAGACGCAAAATACATAATAAATCTATCATTATTGGAGTTGATGTTTAAACAAATATTGTTGTCATTCAACAATTATTTATAGTTGCGTTGTTAATGGTAGAGAAATAAAAATCTAAAGAAGATGGAGGAATCAATTTCCCGGTAGAGGGACCCTCAAGGATAACGCTTTGTCATCCAAACCCTGGTTCCCAAATCCTTATTTATACTCCCTTATCCCGCTCGCACAAATCACAAAGCCGGTGCTTCCCGGTCTCGCGCCGGTTTACAATGTTTACCTAAGGGTCCCAAACAAACGACGGCTGGCGTCGCGACGCCGTCGTCGTTAACCCCCTGACTTATTGCCGTTTATCAGGGCCAATTTGCTCGGGCGTTTTACCCCGTCGAAGGAAAAATTCTCCTTTTGACATTTTCGCGAAGAAAATCTCCTTTTAGAAAGATCATCAGCTTCGAGGAAAAGTATAGAGTCTAGACGGGAACTAGACGAAATGAAGTGTCCGTCGTTAATTAAAGGACGTGGATGGCGGGCGTAACGAGGCCCTCGTGGCGGGACGCCACCATAATTAAGAAGACGGGATAACGACGTCGCCTAGGGATAACGACGCGACGAATTTCGGATGCCCGATTATAGTTTTAGTTGCCCAAAAAACCGATTCAGAAATTTCTCTATATAAGGGACCTAAGCCGCCAGATGCCACCGTCGTCGCCGGATCCTCTTATTTCCCACTCGGCAAGCAACGGAAAGTAATTTTAAAATTGTACGAACCAACCCCCTCGTTCAAGGAATTCCGGCCGACTGCGTCTCGACGCCTTCCACAGAAAACTTTTCCAATTCTAGCTTTAAATGTGGAAACAGAGCTCTTGTTAAAGATTTTCATTACGAGGTATATCTTTATCTTTTCGATACTTATTTCAATTTTTATAAAAAATTAAATATTGTCTAATTGGATTCGGTGTTAACCTCAGCAGATAAAATCCATCTTAGTAACGGACAATGGGGAGGCAAAAAGGTTGACTGGGAAGGACCATTAAAAATCCGCTTGCAATCGCCATCAATTGATCTGGTTCAACGGAGCGTGTCCGGGAAACGAGACGGCCACTTTGGCATCGCATTCACCCATTTTCATCTTTTTGCCATCGCGGATGATTATTTTTAATAGCTGTGGCGAGTAACCGCTGGAAACGACTTCTTCTATTCTAGTGGAACCATAATTTCCCGGGCGATTTTTGTCCCTAAAGAAACCCACCACATTGTAGCTAAATTTCTCTCCTCAAAAATGAAGATTAATACTCCTCTCGAGCTCCTTCTCGACGCCTCGAGAACTAAATAAATAACAACTAAATAAATAATCGTTTTAATCTAAAAAGGATGAATGAGATACTACTTTGAAAATAATAATAAATACAAGCTCCCACAGTTGTGAGTTCGTATTTTTTTGTGTTCTTTGCGTGGTGTTTTTGAAATTGAAACGCGAACCGGGGCACAACTTTG